TACGCTAGTGGACTTTAATTATCTTCCTAGGGCGAATAGCTACTTTATAGTATAGATAGAGTAGTATATGGTACTTAGTTAAGAATAATAGTCCTAGTGGATATATTACGTAACTAGCTATCCTAAATAGCTACTTAATAATAACTTCGTTATAGAAATGTTATATTCTATAAGTCTATGCCTTTAGATAGTACTACGCGTATAAGCTACGAATATTTATATGATCGCGTAGCCTCGCTTAGCCTCGCGCACCCCTACCCTAACCCCTATACTACCTTAAATTTCTACCGTCACTTTACGCCCTTACTTAGTAAGATAGTATAATGAATTCGAGGGGCCGACCTTAAATGACTAAGTAGACTCTATAGTAAAAGTTTTAGCTTCTAAGCTTATATAGTGACTGAGAACTTTACATGAAGGAACTTTACATAAATAACCCTAAGTTTATTAGTGTACGTGACGGAACTCAGCTTGAGTTCCATAACTAATACTTCCTAGGGGTCTTATATTATTAAAGTAGCGACGTATACTAGTATATCTTAAAGTTAATGGCCTATCCACTAATAGACATTATGTTAGTGAACTTTAATTACCTTCCTAGGGCGAATAGCTACTTTATAGTATAGATAGAGTAGTATACAGTACTTAGTTAAGAATAATAGTCCTAGTGGATATATTACGTAACTAGCTATCCTAAATAGCTGCTTAATAATAACTTCGTTATAGAAATATTATATTCTATAAGTCTATGCCTTTAGATAGTACTACGCGTATAAGCTACGAATATTTATATAGTCGTATAGCCTCGCTTAGCCTCGCGCACCTCTACCCTAACCCCTATACTACCTTAAATTTCTACCGTTACTTTACGCCCTTACCTAGTAAGATAGTATAATGAATTTAAGGGGCCGACCTTAAATGACTAAGTAAACTCTATAGTAAAAGTTTTAGCTTCTAAGCTTATATAGTGGCTAAGAACTTTATATGAAGGAACTTTATATGAATAACCCTAAGTTTGTTAGTATACGTAACGGAACTCAGCTTGAGTTCCATAACTAATACTTCCTAGGGGCCGACCTTGAATGACTAAGTAGACTCTATAGCAAAAGTTTTAGCTTCTAAGCTTACATAGTGGCTGAGAACTTTATATGAAGGAACTTTGCATGAATAACCCTAAGTTTATTAGTGTACGTGACGGAACTCAGCTTGAGTTCCATAACTAATACTTCCTAGGCTAAAAAGATTAACTTCGAAAATTTCTAGTTCGTAAGATATAAGCGATTTTATAATAGAGAGTATTTCTCCTCTAGAGTTAACTCTATAACTAGTAGATTACGCTAATACTTAGAAATCTAACTATATATACTTATAAAATATATCTTAACTCTAATGATACTTAAAAAAACGATCGAATTTTACGGTGGGTACTAAGAGATATTCGACTTTAAATTTCCTTAGTACCTATTGTATAAAAAATCTTAGTATCCTTCAATGGGTACTATTAAGCACATTAGTAGGTATCTAACGGGCTTAATTAATACTATTATCGCTATAAATGACTAGTAATCTACTTTAGTTATATAGTATATTAATATTAACGGTAAATAAGGAGTTAGATACGGTACGAGTACTAAAATACTTCCTTAACTTAGATAGGTTTATCCTTAACTAATGCTATTATTATCGTCGAATAACTAATTATACTAATGAACGTAAATTTAATAGTAACTAGTAAACTATTATACTTTAACTTAAAGTCCTTATAACGTGGGTGCATAGGAGTCGCGCAGCATAGCGAGTCACGCACCTAACCACCACCGTACGACAATCTAATTCAATTACACTACTAACCTAAGATAAATTCACTTAATCTACTCAGAACTAGATATATTAGATATTTCTTTATCCTCTTAATACGTACGTGCATTATGCCTAGACTTTCTATAGGTACTATATCGTCGTTAAGTTAGCTCACCCCCTCTCGTATAACTACTACTTATACGCTTTTCTTACTCTACCTACTTATCCATATCCCTCTAGTTAATCATATCCTACGTATCTCGTATAGTAAGTGATCCTCCTTATTGGATCCGTATCCTTTTCTCTCTACGACGCTTACTTAGCGTACGATTTACCTCTTTAAGCTCCTAGATACGATCCTTTATTAATACTATTTGATATATTATAGTAGTCGTACCTTTCACTATCTAGTCTATCGCCTCATAAATCGCTATTAGAGAGCTATCTTAATATTAAGCGACTTTCCCCTTAATAAAATCAGACTATAAAGTTACTTCGTACGTAGTCTATAGCGTCTTAGAGACCTAAGGAGTAGTTATTAACGAGAGGAGTATTAGTAGTATTAGCGTCTAAAGCTTTATATCTAGCTTCGAAAGGACTATATCTAGATTAAAAGGGATAAGCCCTACCCCTCGGAAATCTCCTTATACGTTATCTTCGCTAAAGGAAGTAAAAAAAGCGTTCTTAAACGTAGTAAAGAACTCGACCTTAGTAATGTAGGTTACGTATATCTAGATTAGGTTCTCGATTTCTTTACCGTACGATCGCTTTAAGGGACTAAAACACCTAACGTTAAGTAGTTAAAGTAGATACGATAAATATATAGGTATATAGAGTGTAATAATGTTATTCTCCTTATAGTAAGCCTTAAAATCCACTAAGTGATGACTTTTATAGTCGTCTAGGATTAATAGACGAAACGTACCCTTTATACGACTACGACTATATTTATTAAAGTATTTGACCTAATTAAGACTAATCTCGTTCGTTATCTATCTATTATCGCTAAGTGCGATAACCTAGTCGGACGGAAGGGGACTGTCTCGGTACTATAATGCGAGGTGATACTTACTAGTGACTACGATAAAAGGCGATATAGCCTAGCCGTATGAATTAACACTCTAGATTACTATAGTCTATTCTCGATTACTAGACTATACTATCTTAACCTTTCCATACCCTTCAGAACTCGTTATAACTATTACGGACGAGATTAGACCTATCATAAACCTAGTCTCGTTAAAGTTCTAAGTGTTATCTTTATAGATCCTATACTTAGCTATTACGTTCCGTACGAGGTTAAACTAGGCTTAAATAATTACTAGATCTTCGTATTAGGCTCTCTAGTAGTTATATCTACGTATAAATCGCGTTCGTAGCTCTTAATGTCGTTTAATAAAGTTCGATGCCTAGCGAGGTCCGACGCGTAACGCGCTACGCGTTATACGTAGTTTATTAGCTATATCTCCTACATCACTAAGTCGGGGAGGAAATCCTCGCGTATATAGGTTAAGGACCTCTCGTACGAGGACTGATTCTTTAAGGTTAGTTAAATTTCGAGAATTCGCTAGTTAGTCGCGTCAGAAAGGTCGACCCTTCCTTCGATTACGGAGGGTTACTTTAGGGATATTATAGACTTTAGTAATAGATCGTACGCTCTGTTTAGGATCTTATTTAAGAGCTTAAAGGGTAAGAAGTATTCTAGCTTCTTTCTAAGTCGATTCCATTTATTTTGGTGGAGTACTTAAAGAAATAAGTTGAAGGTAATATATAGCGCGGAAAGTGCGCGACTCGCTATGCTGCGCGACTCGCTATGCACCCACGTTATCTATTATTTATATTATATCTATCCTATCTATTCTACTAGATTTACCTATAACTCCTAACTCTACTAATTTTACTTACTTAGCTTAGTTCGGACTTAACTCTAGCTACCCTTAGGATTAACTCTAGCTATTCTTTAACTCTAACCCTTAAGTCCCTTTTCTTAACTTTCCCGTAGAAATTTTAATGTTCCTCCTATATAAAATGATTAATTTTCTATCTACGATTCTACCTATCTACGAAGTATAATCGTAGTGTAAATTACGTAAGTTATAAACTACGAGCCTCTATTATAATATACTCTAAATGTAAAACCGTAATCGCTCGAGAACTAATTATTAGTCTAAAGAGAAGTCAATTATTATCCTAAAGTTAAGTCGCTAAGACTAGGGTTTAGGGTTCTATACATTTTGTATGGGGAGTAATCATTAGTCTGGGTAGGATAATGAACCATATTTTGGATAGGAAATTCTTAGGGATAGGCCTAACCTTAAGCGTGTTAAGATGTATGGAGACTCTCTGAGCCTAAACACGCCCACTACTATGCCCTTATCCTCAGCGAAGTTATGCCCGCTAGAAGTAACGAAATCGATTAGATCATGAGGAAAAGGATACCTGGGGGTGCTCGTCCCGTTGGTGGGTTTGTAATCCATATAAAGAGTGTGATGAAAGAGGCAGTAAGGTTGTTAACGCGGCCAAAGGCGGATCTAGGGATTTACCGCCACTTATGCTTCACCTTCTGCTATATCTGGACCCCCTAACCCCCACCTTCCCCTTTCCATTCCTCCTCGTTCTTCTAGTGAACTTGGAATATCGTTTTGGCGGCGGCGGCCTTTCCTTCAGGATCTCACCATCGCTTCAGCCGAAGGCACTACCAGGACCCTACTTTTCCACGATCCCAGGGACGCAGTTCCTGGGAAAGATATTTATCCTCTCAGGTGACTCCCGTCGATCACCCGAAGTAACCGACTTGATTCGGGATCTGCTGGCAGATTATTTCTTATCGGATCCGGCACGGCCGAATGCGCAAGTGCAACCAGACATGCGGCACGGGGTCAGTTCCAATCTAAATGCACGGCCCGAAGGCCTACCATCCAACGATGGACAAAGAAGGTGGGTTGTTGTTTACATAAGGGCATGGGAGAAGTTAGGCACTGAGCCTCTGGCGAAAGTAATGAGGCTTGAGTAGGAAGCTGCATCAGCTATTTTGGTAGTCATACCACTGTTTACCACAATATGAAGTTCGAAGAGAAAACAGTGGGAATTGACGTGATGAAATAGAGCTAATATGACGAACATGTAGCCTTGGCTTATACATGGATGGCTAAATAAATATGAAGCCTACCCCGAAACCAAGCCAGAGAAGCGGGTGTCTATCACAGCTTTTCTCTGTAGTGACGATACTTTGCAGGCCATATCCCTTGCTTCCCTGGAGAGAGAATTCCATTTGGATCAACCGTATCCTTCCAAATCAGTCAGTGAGTATTAGAGTGAGGAGGTCTACTATGTAGCATACCTTCAACCTCTCTACAAATCTCCGGTACGCATGGTCGTTGAAGTCATACGCGTCCGCAACCAGATCTGTAATCGTTGTGAGAAATAACCTTAGATAGATGGAATTCTGTCATACCCATGTAATTGATATGAGACCGATATTTACTGAAACCCCTCTGGCGGCCTTCTTTATATAGATCTCGGAAGATGGTGTCAACGGCTTTGCGATGGCCTGGATTTGCCTTGTCGAAGACCATCATATTGACGAAAATAAGATGTCGTTCATGCATGAAGAAGTCGCAGAAGAGGTCAAATCCCTGACCTTCACAAATGCCTCGAGCAGTTTTCACCCACTCAAGAACCTTTTTTCCATCAGAAGGAATGATGGGAGAATAGTCCGCATGGGCGCCGATGCCGAACTTTTCTTTCGGCAGTCTGTATCTCGTCATTGGTAGGCTCCACAGACTGGGCACTCCAACAAAGAAGCCACCATGTGGATCCGGGATAGATGTTGCTTCCAGAAGCTTACCGTCCTCCGCAGAGAAGAGGTGACCTTGAAGACGGTGCACCGAGCCAGGCGCTTTTTGTCCGATTATCCTCTTCAGTTCATCAAAGTGAGATTGTACTACCCCCTTTGCGCCATACAAACCAAATTTGACGTTCCAATATCCGAAGCCCAGTTGTTTCTGAAGTTCGCAGAGCCGCCAGTCAGGAATCGGACCTTCTTGTGGCCACAACTCAGCACGTTTGCCAGTCATACCCAACCATTCCACAATATTAGAGACGTATACTGTGTTCGGCAATAGTCCATCTCTCCGTAATGATCCAAATATATCAACGATGACTTCCACATCTTCGAAATTGGGCATGTCAAACGTGCAAGACATGTAGGCTTGCGGTTGTGGATGAAGCCATATTCCCATCTTGGTGACGATGCCTAGATTGCTCTGCAGAAACAAACCTTCGATGGACGGGCCGAAGCTAAATTTCGATAAATGTGCTGACGGTGAATTAGATATCGCAAATTGCCCTGTCCGCACAAGGTCGCCGTCCGCAAGCATGATCTCCATGCCACTGATGTGTTGATGGTGTGTCGCTGTTGGTGTGAAGCCAGTGCCCCGGTCCACAGTCCGTTGGAATGTCAGTATCTCTGTCATTCTATGCAATTAGACCACGTACATTCCCTACAACGCTTCCCCATCCCAACGAAGGTACACTTGGCCAGACCCGGAGTTTGTGCTCGACACAGTAGAGGTACAGGTCAGTAAAGGTGACCCCAGGCTCGACAACCGCGTAAGAAAATTCGTCATTGACCTCGATTATCTTGTTCATGCGATGTAGGTCAAGTGCAACCGACCCATTAAGTCTTGGAGCTGGTCCGCCATATCTACAATCTTAGTTCTTGAATTTAGTCATATACTGGTTCAGCAGTCCACTCACCCCAAGTTCTTTCCTCGCGAGAAAGTCCAGACAGGAATACTGAACTTATTGGCGACTTTAAGGGCCGCTCGGAGCTCATCCATCGAAGAAGGGCTGTGGTTTCAGTAACACTTAGACATGCATTGCTGATGCCGAAACTTACCATACCGCCGCACTCGGCATTTTCCTTTTCCCCTCTTCCTCCCATAGCTCGTACGGATCTACATACTCTTCCAATGCTTGACCTCGAAAGGAATTCTCCTTCCCCACCGCATCTTCAAACTCGTCGAACGCGCGATCAAACTGTTGTTGGTTCACACCTGGAGGAAGGACATCCGCAAGGGGACACAAAAGAGCTTGCGCAAAGAGGTTGCGATGATTCTGTTGATATTCAGGATCACTATATCGAACGGGGGACTTCATATCGCTGAAGCTTCTGTTCGTTCAACACGACGGTCGATGAGCTTTGCCTCGAAGGCAAATTAGTTGCGTTGGCTTTTGAATGCTTGCCAGATTCCTGCTCCACATTTGCTCCAAATGGGGAAAGTTTTCTCAGACTTCGACCCCACATGCGCCGATTGGAGAAGATTGTGCTTTCCTTCGGATCCCACTCCACTTCCCCGAATGCCTCACGGGAATATTTCATGAGTTTCTCTCTGTGCAGGCGAACGTGCACATTCTTTTCAGCTGTCAAGAACTCTAGTTGAGGATTGTAGCCTTTGGGTATCGTTTCTTCGTTCTCGCCCATTTTCCTACTTTGCAGGTTTGGCTTGGCTTGGCTCGATCCACACGAGTTTGCTGACTGTGTTCCGGTCGGATTCAGTCTGAATGTCCAAGCCTCGCGGCTGATAGAACGACAGGAAAGTCTGTTGCAAATTTGAGACTTCAATGTGACAAGCCTAAATCGACCGTTTATTCGAACTATCTCAACTGTCCACCTCTCCATTAAATAAAGCTTATCAGAAGAATGCTGACCGCGACCATCAACACCGTCGAAACTCCAGCTAAAGCATGAAGCCCAGTTTCAGTAAACATCTGTGGGAACTAGGAAGGGTCTAATGAAACCCCAGATGTGGCGCACAAAAGTGATGAATACTCCCGCGCTTGCAACATCTTCTCGGTAGCAATCGACAGCATAGGTCACCATGATTGTTGTAACGATTTGGTTCCCAGCGCTGGCAATGCCAGCACCAACAAGCGGCGTAATGTTGTAATGAAGGGGCTGCAAACGTTCAATTGGACTAAGAAAACAATGATGCCCACAGTGGTCAATAAGTGACCAATACTGAGCCACAAGCGGAACTCGGCTGGTGCAGGACTACCAAGCCTGCTCTTTCGTCTATCCATCCACCAGTCGGATGTGTAACCGCCCTAGAGAGCTGTTAGTACAGATCTCTCTCTTGAATAGACCCAATCCACAATCTGTTCTCCCCCCACTGAACCAGTTACCATCGCAATGAATTGCAATCCCATTTGCTGAGCATTGAAGTGAAACTTGGGTCCAAAAAGCTGCGGCACTTCCACAGTAATCATGACACTTCCAAAGAGGAGGATCATGGCGTACGCCGCATCTGGAATGATTACCCGGGAATGGCGTATAAATCGGAGTGGCCGGACGAAATCGTACCACGTCAAAGGGCGGGGTCGATGCGCTTGAAGGTGAAATATTTCTGTTTGCATACTGCACCAGTATGCATGACACCGGTACGGATTTATCGAGTCTCAGGGCCGAGGAAGATGTAGAGAATGAACTGGACCCCGTTTGTCTCAAGGCACATGAGCGGATAAAGAAAATAGAGGGATATTTGGAGCTTACAATAGCCAACACATAGAAGATCCCTCTATAGTTCACCCTTTGTGCAACAGAACCAAAGATGAACGGCGAGACCGGCACATCAATTGTAGTCAGGAGAGTCCAGATGCCCATGTATCGTGCTGGATCCCTCTTGAAAAACGTCTCCGTGACGACGACACTACCGATCGCAGCGGGAGGACAGATGAAGAAGGCAACGATAGCACGACACAGGGCCATGGTAGCATATGAGTGGCTGTTTGCGCAACCAACATTGCCAACAAGGCTGCAGATAAGGGAGACGAGGAAAATAGGACGTCGCCCAAATCGATTGGACAATGGTCTCCATAGAAGCGGAGCGCCGCCAAGAATTACGATCTGAAGGGAGGTTAGATATGGTGTACGTTGAAGACTGACATGGAGATCCGCGCCAACGCTTTCGAACGCAGATTGGATTGAAGCAGCGGTAAAAGGTGCCATTATGGCGTGAAAAGCAATCAGGACGAGGTTGGCCAATTTCTTCGAGTTTGGCCAATTGTATGGGTCGGCATCATTCAAATCTGGGATGGGATCCAAGTCTAGGGTTCCGTAGTGGTTTAGAAGATAATATTTATGCTCATCCCGGAGACTGTTAATCTCATCGCGGTCGAGGTATGTGTGGACAGGTGCAGAGTTTTCTAGACATTGTGTAGACTTTTCGCCTAAGGGAGAATTGTGCTCCGTCTCGAAATCGTCATTCCTCTCGGCCTTCTCTTGGTCATCATTCTCCATACTGCTAATAGTTGCTATGTGTTGGTCCTGAGGGTTGAACTGGAAAGACAGAGCTTCCCCGGAAATTTCGGTAGGTCTTATGTATCCTGAGCCTCAGATCCATTTCCCTACCTTTCCAGGGATGAGGAGGAGCAATATCCTGAGCTTTCAAGATCTCCACGGAGGTCAAGTGGCCTGTGAATGTCTGCGCCTTGTTCCTATCACAGAGGACGGATTTTCCAACCGTTGAGCAAGTTGTATCTACGCGCTGATCTCGTCACGAAGAGGCAAATCCCGATGGCGCAGCGGGGCCACCGCAAGGATTGTGTATCCATTTCGCAGCTAAATTGTCCATAGAAATTGAGCGGATACAATCAGGATTTCAGAATATGACTCGGGATTTCAGTGCAGTGACCTCCACACTTAGGTCGAGCTGGATTTCCCCCTAATCGATCCTCCAGTCAAGGCAACATCGTGGTGGGGAGGTGTTAAGACTTCGCCTGCCTCCCTTTAACAAGGTGTATTCGATAAGGGACATATTGAAAAGGAAATGATCAGACGAAGTGTGGTGAAATTGAAAGGGGTCGCGAAGTATGTAGGCCAAGAGTCTCCGTACGGAAGTATACTTATTACTCCAACGTAGCAATGTTAGTGGCAATGCCGGTAGCTAAGAGCAAGGGGAATTTATGGTTAAAAACTCAAGCGCTGCCAAGTCATCCAGGCCTATTGTAGCTTCTGGGTGATGTATTTCGTCGTCTAGGGGATCTCAGTCCATGCTTGCATTGAATCCTCAGAACCCTTCTGAGAGACAACAAACACTGATACCTGCTATATGGCAGAAGTCGCGCGTTCGAACGGCATCGCAATAGGGTTGGCTAGCAGTTGAGGCAATCCGTGGTCGTTTCTGGGTTGCAAATCCCTGCGTGGAGACTATTAAGCAACGCCAGCTACGTTGTCTCTACAACCATCATCATAGCTTGTGGAGATTACTCCTGGTCGGTTGCATACCGAGTGCCACCGCATATTAAGGTTCCAGGGTATGAATATAAAGATCCGGGGGAATGGAGATGGGCAGGGAAATCGAACCAAATGTCTCGTTGACAGAGCTGGTGGGTTAGATATCAATTGTTTTCGAAATTATTGAACAGTTGTCATTCTGGTCGCATTGCAGAACTTGGGTACCATGATCAGTAAGACCATTTGACCTCTTTGCACAATCTATCTTCCGGTGAACATGACTCCGTCGACATCTTCAATTAAACCTTGCCAATGTTCTCCACCAATGTCTGAGCTCCGTGGGTGCTTTTTGTCTCGCCATCATGGGTAACGGCAAGCTCGTCTCCGACTTTCTGGTGCACAAGGTCGGTCACTCCGAACAAGTCGTCCATCTGTTCGAGGGACATTCCTATTGACAGGACTTAGATAAGCAGATTCTCTGATGTTTCTGTTTTGTACTCACCTTTCGTGTCTGGAACAAAGAACCATACAAACACAAATGAACAGATGCAACAGACGCTGAAGAATATGTAGGTCCTGCAGGGCACCTGTCAGTAACTGAGCTGTTTGTGGTATTTCTCAAGTGGGTCGAGATCTTACTCACCCATATCCATTACTTCCCATGTTCACCAACATGTTTGGTACAGCTCTGGCAATAACAAAATTCCAGAGCCATTGGGAGGAAGCTGCAATAGACACATTCATAGAACGCAATCGCGCGCTGGGGATCTCTGACACGTATATCCAGGGTGTCGCTCCCCACCCCATCTGGAAGAACACCGCAAACAAGTAAATACACACAAGTGCAAAATATCCGGCACCGGAAATTGGTACGCCAGGCTTGGGTGGAGAAATGCGAACGTAAAGTCCAATGTACATCATGTCACAAGCAATCGCAATGGCTGTCCAGAGGAGAGATCGTCGTCGCCCGAGCGAATCGGCAAAGAATATTAGATAGGTAAGACACGAGCACATCTTCACAATGCCGTAGATGCCAGTTGCCAGAAGACTCACTGAAGTCCCTGTAATCCCTATGTTCTTGAAGATTGTTGGTGCTTGAACAAAATCTAGTCAGTACATTCCCTAGATCAACTAGCCTTGAACGTCTGAGTCTCACCGTAATAATTAATTGCGTTCGAACCAGTAAGATTTTGGAACATCATGAGAATGAAGCTGATCAAGGCCCGTCTCCGGTTACCTGGAATCGTCCACATTTCGCGTTGCAAGGCTCGCCAGCCCGCACCGTTGATCAGGAGTCGCTCCCGCTCGAGTTGCATTGCGATGTCTCGAAACTCGTTTTGCACGTATGGATGGTCCTCTGGGAGGTTGCGGACTAAAGATAATACCTTTTTAGCCTTTTCCCACTCGTCCTGCTTAGCGAGAAAGCGAGGCGACTCGTTCATGAAAAACATCCCAACGATCAAAAGAATTGCCGGTATCCCTTGAGTTGCCAGAGGCACCATGTAGGAGCTGGAACCGGTAAGGTGGAGTTCGGCACCGTAGTCAATCCAAAATGCAAGCATCACGCCGAAAGTGTTGAAGAACTGAAAGGTTCCAGTAAGTGCACCGCGAAGAGCCCGAGGTGCATTCTCTGAGACATAAAGAGGAGCAATCATAGAGCACGCTCCCGCCCCGAGGCCAGCGATAAGCCTAGAGAGTGGTCAGAAGAGGATATTGTTCCGGACGCCCTGCCTGAGACGTACCGAGCTGTATACATGCACCCTAGGTAACCTGAAGCTGCGAATTGCATTACGATCCCCACGAGACCGATGAAGGCGGAGACGATCAGGGAAGCACGTCGCCCGTATCTGTCAGCGAAAGGGTATGCGACTAAAGCACCAAAGGTGCATCCAAGCTGTAGGAAGGAGACAATATTGGCTGAGAGTGTCGCGGCTTCGTTTTTGCTGAGGCCATCAAAGTGATATTTCCTGTTGTCTCATCAATTATTTTCTCCCGCGTGCAGAGCGAAGCGAAAAACATACTTGGTGAATGCAGGGAGAACGATGACACCGCCAATGATGCCGGTATCCATGCCAAATAGCATACCAGACATACATGCCTTGGGAAAATAAAGTTAGAGGCCGCGCGCTTCACAATGAAGAATGTAAGACAATGAAAAGGGCTTGGGGCCGTATAAAATGGCGCATACCGTCAAGGTCAACACAAAAGCTCTCCATCCATAGATTTCGACGGGGTCTTCCTTCATAGCATCATTGCGGATGATCTTCTTGAGGATGGAAGACATGGTGTCGTCTGTATTGCAATTGTAAAGATGTAGGAGGCAGTGTCTTGCAAAGCACAAGAACTAGGCGACTCGGGAGTGAAGGTGAGAAAGGGAAATATCAATATATCATCAGTCTTGAGCAGTTCTACCTGGGGTAGGCCGACGGAATGCCATGACCCCTGTAGCGAGATTCCATCGGCAATGCAGTATAACCGCACACGGTAAATGATGAAAGACGAAAAAATACCAGTCGGGCGTTTCTCCGTACATCCCTGGGGCTCGGAGCAAGTCACAAGGATGGGCAGTCGGTCTTCATCCTGATCCTTATCCCAAGCCTGGGTTTCTTAGCGAATCAGCACAATAGGATTATTGATTAGCGTTCACCCGGAAAAGCAATGCACACCAGTTATTCCGGAAAAGGTGATATTGCGCTTGATTGGCTCCTAACTAGCGAGCACCCTCCTTCTCCTGATATGGGGACCCCGGCCGTTCTGGGGTTATGTTCGAGGTATGCTGGGGCTCTCCATAACATGGTCACCTTGGTGCAATTACGGTATCTGCTGCACGAAAGTACTCCCCAGTTGAAGAGACGAAAAGTTACTTATGATCCCCAGGCAGCAAGAAAGGAGAACTCTAAATTCGAGCCATTGGAGTCGAAAAAGGCCTGCACACTGTCGCTAGCTAGCCGAGAATCACATGGAAGAAAGGTACAAGTGTAGCAAGCGTTCTTGAAAAGCTTCAGAAGTAGCAGAGTGCTGGCAGGACGGTCACTCCAAATCAGTAAGTGATCCCTGAAATCGGTTCGAACGCCAGGAGCTTTTGAAGTAGACATTACAAGCCATTGCTTATCTGAAAACATTCAACAGCAGGCGTTCGATGCTGACTATGGTAGATTCTATCTCTATACTGCAAGTTAGCGTTTCCAAAGCTTGCTCCTCCCTACTTCCCCCGCTTCTCTGATCTTTCACAAAGCTTCTTAGTTCAGACACTACATATCTTGACGAATCGTGGGCGACTCCGCCAGTGCCTTCCGGAGTAGTTTCTCGTCCCTTGGAACAAAGGTTGCCTGAAACCTATGAGGCTGTGCGACCAGTTTAGTTGGATCGGCCGTGCCACGAACTGGATCAATGTCAACATCTCCCTCTAGACCAATCTTGAAGCAGCTGATGAGTCGCATAACAATAAGATACAGCTCACGATTGGCGAGCAAAAAGCCAGCACACATACGGTAGCCGACACCGTAGGTGAATAGAGGTGCATCTGGCTGTTCCAACCAACGATTAGGTCGGAAAACTTCAGGATCATGCCATAGCTTTGAATCTGTAACCAACATATCAGCGGACCAGAAAGGGGGCAGGAAAGGAAAGAAAGCGTACCCATATTACAGGCATGAGCATTCAAAAAGAATGTAGTTCCCTTTGGGAAATTCATACCTTTGTAGGTTACATCTTTAATGGAAGTTCGCGGCAGATTGAGTCTGAGGACCGTATACATCCTTAACCCCTCTTTTACCAGAGACACGATGTACGGTATCTTTTGGTCATCGTTCGCGTCGCAGAGAGGACTATCGGCACCATGCACCTCTCGAATTGCCTGATAAGCAGCTTCTTGGATATCAGGACGTTTGGCCAACACGGCTATAAGCCAGGCCACGGCTGTTGTGACCGTGTCGAGACCTCCGGATATCATAGTCAGATTTATGCTGGTAACTTCTTCGTCGTTTAATTGGATTTCCGCGTCATTTATGATTGTTGCTTGAATGCAGGGGCTCTGGACGCCCTTTTCCATGCGATCGAGAAGACCTCGATTGAGTTGATCCAGGTAAGCATCTTGTCGACGGCGTGTGGCCTTAGCTTTCACTGTTTTTTGGTTGAATGGGTTCAACCTCAGGAGAGGAATGTAATCTTGCAGGTTACCGGTAACGCTTCTGAAACGGCTTACTTGGTCCTCCACTTCAATTACCTCGCTGAAAAGCGTGTCATCACGAGAGTTCATCCGAATACCCCAGTTGGTGGTCAATGCAAGACTCAAGCTGAGACGTTGTGCACATGGATAGCAATCAAAGGCCTTCTTTCCCCACTGTCCCTCGGCGAGTAAGTCCTTGCAGAACTCCCTCGTTTCGAGGTCGAAGTGAGAGACGTATTTTTGTGCAGAAGGGCGATTAAGCGCCGTTGCTGTGACTTTACGGCGTCTTTTCAAGCTGTCGTGGTATGGAGTGGTACCAACTGTAGTTGCCACACCAGTGAGAACCTTTGCTTAGGTTAGCACTCAATCCCCCCACGCCGATATATCTCGCATACACACTTTATGAAATGTATAAAACTCTGGCCTCGAACTTAATGCGGAAGTATGCTGCCCAAAAAGGCCTTTTGCTGCCTCCGCAGAGTTGACAACAATTATCGGTACATTTCCCAGTGACACTTGGTATACATCTCCGTATTGCTTGGACCAGATGCGGTATTGCTCTGCAGCGTTCTTCCGGATGGACCACAGATTTCCCACCAGTGGCAGCCCCAAAGGTCCAGATATACCTGGTAGTCGCGCGGTATAGCGAATGAACTCGTTTATAATCACATACAATAACGGGACAACGAGCGTTAAACCCGCGATGGATTGGACAGCTTGGTTAAAGACATAGTCGTTAATGATGAGAAAGGGAACGCCAGGCACGGCCATATTGCTTGAGTATATGTCGAGGGTATTTCTAACATACAAAATCAATTGATGGGACAAAGCATACAATACTATCAGTGAAGCTATGAAGGTATGCGTGGACTCATATTAAGGAATTGCTTGAGATTCCAAATTTGAGCCAAGTGGACTGACGACTTCATTGCATGGAAAGACTTCCCGCTCGATCTCCAGCCGACTTCCCAGGCAATGTCCAGGGACGATCTGAGTCTAGGATTCTGCCTCGTCGACAAAATCCCATTGGACCACGGAAAATTATCCATACGGCGTATCGCCGAGTGGGACCTGGTGAGAAATCCAGGGTCTTTTCCCCATTATCCCCCAGCCAGGGATAATGTCAGCACCAGACTAAAAAGATCCTTTCACCCCTGGGAAGATATTTTCCGGGACCATGGTAATGTTTCCCAAAACATATCCGTATCCATTCAGTTGATTCTTCATGCAAATGAGCTGGACAATATGGATACCGGTAGATCGCCGGGTCGGTTCATGCTGCATCCTGTCCCTTCGGTGCAGACTCTGAACTTTACTCCTAGAGGAAATGGCGCTATTTCTCCCAGCTCATACAGCTTTGCTGATGAGATTAATAATTTCACTCCTGGCCTGCAGGAATCGGAAATACTACAGGGCGACAAGAGCAGTTCTGAGCGACATGATTCCAGCTTAAGGAGAACCCCGAGGGGGTTTTCTGGAAGTAGAAAAGGCGGCAGAAGTAAGGGGCAAAGAACGAAAGTCAGCAGAGCGTGCGACGCTTGTAAACAGTCAGTGGTTCAAGTATCCGGGTTGCCAAATGCGCTGCTAAGCTAGAGGACAGAAAGAGGACACGTTGTTCGGGAGACCAACCATGTGTTCGTTGCAGACATCTGCACATTTCCTGTGACTACTTTGCCATCTACACCAGGGGTCGCCTACCCGCTGTACCAACGGCTTCGGTGGCTGCTCAGAGCGAGGTCCACCTCAGTCCACAGGATGGATTGAATAATGTCACTTCTATGCCGAACCAAGGCCCAGTCATTTCAACACAGCCCCGACAACATGTGGATAAATCAGATGAGCACTCTAATTCTGGACACGCAGCACCCATCTCGTCACGAAACTCGCCAGTTCCCAGTACAAACATTGGTGGCCAATATCATGGACCTTCTTCTCCGATTACCTTCTTGGAGAGAGCCTGGAAGAGGCTTAGGGAGAATCACGCTTCGAGCATGCCAAAGACTCTGGACAAGGAGATGTCTGCCGACCAGCCTATCTTGGTTACCGACAATGGGCATGAGCTGCGTCTATCAGACGAGCTTTTCCAAATGCCATCAAAGTCTCAAGCGTACGAATTAGTTGGGAGGTATTTCGAAATCTCTACTCCTTTTTTCCAGTTTCTCCACCGTGCTACAGTGACGAGCTCGATTGAATCACTTTACCAGAGAGGAGACGGGCAACAAACTACCGCAGACGCCATATCTCAAAGTCAAGTGACACTCTTGCTGATGATCTTTGCCGTGGCTACTTTCGACGTTGGTGAAGAGACTGTTTCCGTGAACTCAAGAGACTCCAGACAAAGGTGCTCCAAATGAGCAAACTTCTTATCATTACCTCACTGACATTTCGAAATTCAGTGAACAGTTCCTCGAGGCTGCGCAAAGACGGTTACAGAGAGAAGGTGGTGCCCCAACTCTTGATTCAGTCCAGGCGAGACTTGTCGAATGTTTATACCTGTTGTCAACACGGCACGCAAATGAAGTCTACTCGAAGTTCGGAACCACGGTCGCGTTGATTATAACCCTAGGCCTACATCGTCGGAAGCGCTCCGGGGGTTACAGATCGGAAATCGGAGCTGTTGAGCATGAGTGCCGTAAACGAGCTTTCTGGGTTGCCTATGTCCTAGACAGATATCTCAGTGTCATGGGCGGCCGTCCGCGGACTCTCCAAGATTTCGATACCGATCAGGACTTCCCGGCAAGGGTGCATGACGATGAATTGACCTTCGAAGGAATAAAGCCTAGGAGTGGTTATTTTGACTGTGATATGGACGCACCAATCATGCACATAAAGTATCTCTCTCTACAACCTCATCGCAACGTGAAGCACCTGCTAATTTCGAGCTCAGGCTTGCCCGGATCAGCGCCCAAAGCTCTGCCCAGGTCTATCCCCTACGACGAATAACTCAAGACGAACGACTTTTACAGGCCCAACGAATCGCTGCGCATCTGTCAGCATGGAAGGGCGAGTTGCCGCCGTTCCTCGGTATCATTCCTGCTTCAAGTCTGATCCCCAAATTTCAACGGCAATCTATCATCCTACGCTTAGCGCATGCGCATGCTGCTATTCACGCCAACAGGCCGTTCCTTTTGAGTAACTTCGCAAATGCCTCCAACCCGCCTCAATTATCACCAAAAGGCGTGGATTACATCTCCGAGTGTGTCTCCGCAGCTCGCAGTGTTGTGGAGATTCTGGAGCATTTCGATGGCAATGGCATACCTTTCCATTCCTGGTGGTTCACTCAGTACGTCTCTTTCTGTGCTGTAGCAGTCATCTACATCTACACAATACAACAACACCAGATGTTGGTATCCACGCCTACGGCCATCATTTCGGAGGATACATCTTTTCGGCCATCATTCCTAGTCTCGTGCAGAGAAAGAGATTGGTTCGCCGTTGCAGAAAGCTGCCAGCAGAGGCTCGCAGCTGCTGCCAGGGAAAATTCGCCAGGAAAGAGGTATGCCATCGTCTTGGAGGAATTGCGGCAGGAAACGTGCCGCCATCGATCAACGCCAAGATTGGTCTGTGGTGAACTAGACATTGTTTCGCGGAGGGTTGAACAATCTCTTCGGCAGCCCGCAATGCAAGATGGCTGGATGGGAGAAACCGATACAGATTTTACGCATATATTTGATGATCTGGGCGCAATTGATTGGGTTGCGCATTTATACCACCAGGTAAGACCATCTCACACCCTGTATTCTGTTGTGTAGAAATCGAGCTAATCACGAGCTGCTGCAGCAGGAAGAACACCTCCTTGATGCTCAGCGCGACGTAGATGGAACAAACTCTTGAGTTGAATGGAAATACCGAATGTATAAACCGATATAAAACTTTATCGTATGAGAATGGTTTTTGCAGTCTCGAAGGTGCAGTCATCCAGGATCCTTTCTACTAGTATTGAAACAGCCCTGTGCTCTTGTTTGCGCCATCTTAGTGTCCTACCTCTTATGCTCACTGCTCACAGTCTCCATGCAATACGCACAACAAAGCCGACAAGACCCACGAGAAGAACGCCCAGAGAAGTCCTACTCAACCTTGTCTCCTCCACCACCCTTCTGATCTTGGTGATTTTGCCGCTTGTTCCAAACATGTCAACCGCAAATCCCGCCAACCCGAACGCGTTGTAATCTGCCCACTCCACTGCTGCCAGTTGTTCCTGGTAATCAATGGCCGTACCCGGCCAGTTGTTCGTAATGAGACCGTCCGCTCGCTTCCACCAACTGCTACAATTGTGGTCGGCGAACGACGTGTTTTGCAATGACTCTTGCAGGTCAAGCCAATACTTCAGCGTTTTCTCCTCCGACGGACATAATGCCAGTCCATCTCCTTTGCGCCTGGCCTGCAGAACTTTGTTGATTAGGACCGAGATGTACTTTGTTTGGGCCTCGATAACAAGTATCAAAGAGTTGTGGGAGAGATTTGTGTTTGGGCCGTACAGCATGCCAAAATTCGGAAGATCTGGCACCGTCACGCCTCTGTAAGCATATGCAGCTTTTGTCCAGATCTCCTCCAATGGCCTGCGGTTGCGCCCAGTGATCTTGATCGGTGACAAAAATGAGAACGTGTCAAACCCCGTTGCCAACACGATCAAGTCGAACTTTTCCGCCGAGTCATGCCCTTCGAATTTGACTCCATCTATCGTAAACAGCTCGATCTTGTTAGTTTCCAATTTGACGTTCTTTCGTAAAAGGATAGGGTAGTAGTCATCGCTGATCACTGTCCTTTTGCACCCGGGGTGGTAGTTTGGGGACAGTTTGTCCCAAAGATCAGGACGATCAGGCAGCTGTTCTCTCAAGAGGTTATAGTTCATAGACCTCATGAGCTCAGCATAGGCAGAGTCAGCTTGTGTGACTGCAGAGTGAAATGATTCTCGGAAGTCCATCGCCTCGGCACGTGCTCGCCAGCGTACTGGCGGGAGATATGCAAACATTGCTTGCTTCCAGTTTGGGATTTTGGAATCATGCCGTGGGATTACCCAGGCCGGTGTTCTTTGACAGATGGTAAGTTGAGATGCCAACTTGGCGATTTCTGGGGCGATCTGCGCGGTGGTTGCACCTGCGACGCGTTAGAGAAGCAAAGAGCACGCCAGACTTACGTACCAGTTCCAATGACAGCAATCCGCTTTCCTTTCAAATCATAGCTCCAATCCCACCTGGCGGAATGCATGATTTTACCTTGATAGTCTGCGTATCCTGGAACATCAATACCCTTTGGGTTGTTGAGTTGGCCAGTCGCAGCAACTAAAAAGTCACTAGTAATTTTGTAGGTAGGTGTGAATTCCGACTCTTTCCCTTGGCCAACGGTCACAGTGGTTTCCCACTTGAGGCTTTTATCATTCCAGTTGGCGGCCTCGACAGTCGTGTGGAATCGAGTGTATTTGTAAAGACCATATCTTTGAGCGACGTCGGTCAGGTAATCCTACATTACCATCAGCGTATGAGTTCATATGTGGAGAAAGCACCAACCAGGATCTCTTCCTGACCCGGATACCGACGAGACCACTTGGGGTTCTGGGCAAAGGAGTACGAGTAAAGCACACTGAAGACATCGCAACAGCAACCAGGAAATTTGTTGTCTCTCCTAGACCTTGTCAATGCAATTTGTAACAGGCGTCGAAGCACTAACCATGTTCCGCCAAAGCCGCCTCCCTTTTCCAAGATTATAATGTCCTTAACCCTCCGATTGACCAAAAGATCGATGGCCATACACATTCCAGCTATGCCTCCGCCGACGACGACCACCTTCGCCTTCGTAAAGTTGCAGTTAGCATTCGACATTCCACAACAACCTTCATCATGTGTTTCGTTTTCTCGAGGTTGGTACGAAGGCAGATACCCAGTTTTGGGCGACATAATGAATGTTTGGAGAAGTAGGTTGACAAAAGTTCGGGGGCATTCCAACAGCCTACATATAATGTGAGTTGACTGGAATATCACCATCAACTGCGACGTACACGCAAACGCTCGGTCAAGGTTGCTTTTCGAGACCGATGGTTCTGGACACACTTCTGGTGCTACGCAAAGCGGTAGCTCCTGCCTATCGAGCGTGCATATCTTATGCCGTGAACATTCTTTGTTTCTGATGCCGTAAAAGGAAGTAGCCTTAACCGGTATTCGGTTCTTTGGGATAACTACTCGGTACTGCGAATGTTTGGCAAGGCCAAAAGAACCTTGCGAAGATCGGCACACGGGTACGAGGACCAATCGGCGCAATTTGATGGTTTTCGCAACTATTCCCAAGGAGGTAGCTGGCTGGATGTCCGGCCCCCGAGGACCTTTCCCCGTTCAACACTATCAAGGCATGTGCCCAGGCCACTGGAGCGCAGAATGGTCAGCGAGAGATTGTAGTGTTTGCACAACACGAGGAATCCCGTCCAGCGACGATCCTAAGTGTGGCAACCATCCTCTGGAATTGGCAAGATGTTCTCAGGGAACTGAATATGTGCATCCCAGGCATTGTAAAACATTGCTTCGTTTGAAGTCCAGTCAACTGCCATTCTTGGGGTAGCTCAAGTACCGATGTCCAGCAGAAGCGCACCGTAGAATCGTCTTAGCCTCCTTTGAGCCTTCCACGCCGGCTCCAAGAGCTTCACAGCCTTGGCATTGGCATGAAGAAGGAAGACAGTGTGATCTGATGATAGGTTTGCGTGCTTTCTTCCAAAAATGCGCCGACTCCCCGGCCATACTTGACGTTCGGCAGTCCTGTAGGACTACCGGGAGCCGCCTTCTCTTTTGCCGTCCTCAGGGCCTTCAAGGGCAGATAGACAGAAGCCGTCTTAACTTCGGCACCCAAAGAGGGATCGTACGGCCATTTGACGAAGAAGATGTGAATCTTGCCGGTATCCCAGTATTGATGGTCCTCCCAGATCCGTAATCTTTGAGATTCTGGAACATGGCTTGCCTCTGTTGCATCAACACCATCCTCTTCGAGTTCCATGAGTGTCTGCAAAATGGTGCTACCGGTACAGCCTTGCAGATCACCTTCAGTTCTGTTTGTCTGGGCAAGCAAATCGATAGCAGACCTTCGGATAACTGGGTCTCGGCATCTTCCAGCAACAAAGGCCAATGTATCAATCACACCAGAGTCGATTCCGAAGGAGGTCCTTCTATGAGGTCTAACATGGTCGCCGATTGCTTCTCTGTAAAGGTGCAAAATCTCCGCGAATTTATCAATATAGCGATCATAGCTGCACTCCTCGCTCGTCCCAAGGGTATCTAGGAGGATAGAAGCGACCAGTGCAGCAGCTCTGAGGAGCTTCTTTGAGGTGATCAAAGCCTCATAACGCTCGAGTGCAGTGATCCTTGTGTCGTCGAGAGCGGCGTTCCAACTTGCCAGCAAAGCCTGCGCCTGTGACCGTTGCTCGCTGGGTGCGAAAGATGGGTCAATATTTTCTTGCGCCCAATCAACAATCTCTTCAAGTTTGTTCCGGGCCTCTAGGAGGTTCCCAAAGCAGTAAGGGATATCCGGTAGCATCAGGCGATGCTCTATCTTGCTCCGTTTGATTGCCGCACTGAGGGCTAAAGCAGAAGGAATGTCAACGATGCTGCAGAACCTCATGCGCAGACGCTCAATGATAGGGCGGAGGAAGTTGTTCAGCACAGTCTTCTCACTGTCCGAGAGGATGAGATCGCCCGACCCTAATCTTTCATCAATATCTGTAATCAAGCTATATCCAGATTTGAGCAGCTGATATGCAGTGTGGCTGTCCTGCAGGTTCTGTAGACATATGAAGATGACACAGGAGATCAGAGTTGCGATGTCTGACATTGCGGTTTCATACGCCATTCGCGAAGCTTTGCTGCTCTGGTGGAGAGCCAATTCCTGCAGATTCGAGCGTTCGTCCGACTCTCCGTCCACCTCTGACGATTCATGGAGTGCACCGAGAGCAACTACCCCGTGGAGGATAGATCGGTTCATGTGACAAGCTTGAAGGATAAGTTTGTTCCAGAATGTTGCGTCTCTCCAGCCGGACCACTCCGGTGCCGTCCTCTGGCAGAAGAAAACCAGGCTGCGCAGTTCTTGGGGTTCGAGCCCGGGCAATGTGTTCACGGCTTGCAAAATGCGGTTTGAATGAGTCGTCGGAGACCTGATCGTTGGAGATAAAGACGCCGAGAAAAGTGACCGCTGATGGTCAGGACTCTGAACCTGGACACTTGTATCCAAGCGAAGATCTGGTTGTCTCAGGGCGACCGGTGCCTCTTCGGGGTTGGATTGATCCTTTTTCTTGGGTTTATGAGGGGTTTTCTCTGTTGCTGATGCAGATTTAGCAGCCGCTTCATGAGCGGCTTTGGCTCTGAGTTGTCTTTCGTGCTGGACATGTTTGCGAATCTGTCGGGTCTCTGCCTTTGAGCTCCGCGATAGAACCGCTGACGCGCTGTCCTTGTTGATCCAGAGTAGAGATTCCGGCATCCTGGCCGTAAAATCGTCGCGCGGAAAGACTGAAACAAGCAGATATTCAAGTTGGGTCCTATGAGAAGGCAGGCGAATAAAACGCCCGAGCAATATCAAGAAGTGGGGGAATTTGGATTGTAGAGGGTGATCGACTGCTGCAATGGGGGGTTGGACATCGGCAGCATTATTGTCATCGTCGTAATGCCAACAGGCATTCCTTTTGGAGCTTCTATCCGACCGGTTAGGCCGCCTTCTGGAATTGTCAACAGCTGGCAAACAGGTGGGACAACCTGAAGGCGTTGCTCGGTCGGGACTTCGGAGACAGGGTCAACCGTTTCGAATTGGCTACAAGCGACGACTATGGTTTTTGTTAATTCCAGGGTGCTTGGGGTTCGGCTACGGGGACGGGGTGCATTCTTTGTACGGAAAACTTTGTGGGAGTTGAAGTAGTAGTGGTGGGTGAGTGCGCAGCCATGGCTTGGACACAGACGTCGGCACCAGCGTTGGGACTACGGCCGGCTGCAGCTTAGCTGGTCGGCTAGGTCACGGCCCAGACGAATTGCTGCTGCTGCTCGTCCACCTATCGCTGAATAATGCCCCCAGAGTGTGGGCCTAGTACGACTTGCTCCGACTCGAGGATGCTCAGCAGATCATCCTGACAAATTCATCATGGTTGTAGCCGCTGGGTGAATGGAGAGCGATGCATATTGCAAAATGGTTCAGCTAGGCACTCCCTGACATCTTGTGACTCGAGAGACCACAGGCTACACCTCCGACTTGATCTCTGCTGCCTCCATCTCCTTCTGCTTCCCCTCGCTGCTGTGTGCAGATTGGCCATCGAGAACCTCGGCCCCTTCACCAGTATAGTGCACGTTGATACGAGGGCCCTTGAACCACTTTCGGCCGTCGATCGCGTACCAGGACATGGCCAAGAACATAGAGCCCCCGTAAATGAGACAAGTCCAGTTCATTGTCAGTGCATTTAGGTCTTTGCCCTTTACCGCTGGGAAGCACAGGGCCGGAACAATCAGCAACCACCAGCCAAAGGCAACAGCGCCTAGGGGCTTTGAGTATTTTCCAAGGTTCCAAGGCCCTACCGTATACTGGGTTAGCAATTGCTGCGTAGTTTTGCGGACCGTCTTACCTGGTTTGAATCTGCCGTGGTCGAAGAATAACTTCAACGCCACAGGCGTTGTGAATGCCGTGTACTGTGCGATGGCACCAATGCTGAATACGGCGCCAATAGCGACGGGACTCGCAAACATCAATAGGCCAAGCAAGGCTGCGACGAACAGAACGCCCCAGGTTGCGTACACTGGTGTCCTGGTCTTTGGATGTACCTGGCTCCACCACCGCGATCCCACGATGGCACCATCTCGAGAATAAGCGAAGATCACACGAGTCGCGGTGACTGTGCAACCGACTCCGACGAAAAATTGAGCAATTATGTTGAGGGAGAACATGGCGAGACCCGCCTTTTGGCCCAAAACCTGGAGGCACAAACTTCCAAATGGCTGCCCGTACTGACCCGCAACAACATCGGTTATATCAGTGACTGTATACACGATTACCATCATTATGGCAAAGCCCAAGACGAGCCCTGACTGCGCGGTCATGGCAATCGCTCGGGGAGACGCAATGTTGGCATTGCTGCATTCCTCTGAGAGATGGAACGGGGCGTCATAGCCGGAAAGGGTCCAGATTGTCGTGAGAAAGCCCATGATGGTCGACCAGCCGATAGGCCACTCGGTCCCGTTGGGGAAACTGGTCCAGACGTAGTGACTGTGGTTTGTCTTTGGATGGTTGATTGAGCCCACCGGGAACCAGATGACGAAGATGAGTATGACAATGAGGTTCCATATTGTACCAATTTTGTTGACCCAGCCGATGAACCAGGTTGACTGCATTGTGATGAGGCCATTGATAACGAGGATGGCGAGCAATGTGAGGTATATGTGCCAGGTTTGCGGCTCGTAGTCAGGATAAGCAATCATGCCACAGGTGACCAACATGGAAGCCAGAGCATAGTTGACCGAGCATGGGCCGGTGACGAAACCGCAGAAATTGGACCAGCCGACAAACCAGGACGCAAGCGGACCCCATCCTTCAGGCGCCAGAACGGCGGAGGCGTAGTAAAGACCCCCAGCGGTAGGCATGCTTGAACATAACTCGGCCATGGTGTAGGCGGTAGCCTGGATGAAAAGCGACGCAATGAGCCATCCCCAGATGGCGCCACCTGTTCCCGAATAGCCCAAGCTGTAACCAATTGTAGATGCAATAGAAGGCAAAAGGCCTAGAACAGAGAATGACACTGAAAAGGATTCAAATATTGTAAAGTCTCTGACCGTCGATCAGCAGTGCGGACTTCGGAATAAACTAAGGAACAGACCTCTTGAACTCTTGTTTATAACCCAAAGCACCCAGAGTGACCTCATCCTGGTTGGCGCCTTCTTCCAAGACAGCATGTGCGCCGCGTTTGGCGAAGACGGATGTCACGCCCACAGCGTTCTCGTCGATGACGGTCACCGATTGCTTGCGTGGGGCGTCCATTCTCACAGAAGCTCACAGGTTGATGGACTGTAACAGCTTTGGTGCTAGAAGGCGAGTTCGCATTGAGGAGGGACCAAGCTGGTCTTTATTGCCTTTCCCATCCAAGTGTCGTTCGCCGTTGCTGGTTCTTAGCGAGGCATGATAAGCTTGTCTCCACTGGCGCACCAATATTCTGGGTCTTCTGGGTGCAGCACTTCCGCGATAACTCGTGGTGATTAAGCTAGACTACCATCGAGATGCAGGGCCACCATCTCTCGAAACAGCAGGAGCATAACAGGGCCAGAGCTTTGCGAATGCGCCTTTGGAAATGAACGACAGCCGGGAGAAGGCCGCTCTGAATTCAAATCCATGCTGTCGAATGATAAGTGGCATGCCCGACAGGAATTCAACTGCCTGTGTTGGCCTTATCAGTGGCTTGCTCTCCAATTTGACCTCTGGTGGCGTTGCTATCGCCAATGGGTTGGCGTCTGGAGGGGGGCAGGGTCAGACTAAGGAACTTACTCGACAGTCATCGACACGAAGTCTTGATTTGTTGAAAGGCAAGGGGAGAGATAGGCCCTGCAGAGTAGCGTTGAATGGGCATTGATCTTGTCACACCCATTTACTTGGCAACGGAGCTATACGAGGATAGTGTCTCGCAAATGCTGCGGGATTCCAGCAGCGCCTTATCAAGAGTTTGACAAAGATCTAGCTAGCACACGTGGCAAAGAAACGACAATGTCCGCAAGTTTATCTCGAACCGATTCCACTGGGAGGGTTGTAGAACATGCACAAGAAGGTTCTCGTTTTGCTGGCAGAGTCGTCAAGGCGGTGTTTATCCGACCGGAGCATGTCGAGAACGCGGGGAAGAAACAAACCAAAACGTAATAGCAACCCCAAGGAAGCTGGGGGCTCTCTTGACAAGCAGTAGAAATGGGAGATGCATCAGCTGTGGAAGAAGATACATCTTCAAGTTGCTCCAACACCTGCGCGGGCCCAAATATTCCTTGGTAGCTGTACTCATCGAGGCGGACTCTTCACACATCCAGATGACCTGAGGCACCCCTGAGAATTATATCAATTGTTGAATGAGAAGAGGGCCAGGGCCATCGTGAAAACCCGACAATCGCTCTTTCACCACCAGGGTATGTCTTGCAGAAGCCAAAAAGAGCTGACGACAGGAAACGTCGAAATAGTGACTCGAAGACAATAAATACTGCGTAGCCTCAATCACGGATCTTTTTTTCAGGGACCGAGGACATCACTGCAGCTGCAGGACTAGACGATCTGAGACAAAGGGGGACGCACATCTGAAACAGGTGGATGGTTGGACCATGGTGGGTTATGGAGAAAGGAGTTCTGCATCTGCGACTAATTCAGCATCACCGAACAGCGCGAAGACGGGTCACGACCAGTGACAAGACATGTTCGAATGCAATACCGTGACTGGGGAAGTTTTGGATGTGATCCACGCCGAAGAGGACGCGCAAGTGGACGAATAAGCCACACAGCACAATTGCTGGATTGCCGGCCGCGGCCACAGCCCCGAGACCGAACATTCGAATGAAGCGAGCTGGGGAGTTGGAGGGCTGAGGACTGTGACGATGAAGGGCAAAAAAGACGGAGGACCGAGCATGCAGTAATTACACGCACAGCGGCTTCGTCCTAGCAGGGTAACTCCTTCTTGTAGGCACCTCTGGCATGGCTAACTTGGTAGAAGCTGACACGGACTGGTTGGGTGCTGAGCTGACCCAGGTGAGTATCGATAAAGAGCCACCAAAGCCCCAGCAACGGCCCACGCGCAGGCCCCCATTCCCCCGAAAAGGCTGGCCCAGACCCCAAACGTCCACCACGTCGCCTTCTGGCGGGCTTCCCCCTGTTTTTCCTGGTGGTCTCCTGTGGGCTGCGGCGGGTTCGTTCCAAGGCCACGATGGCTAGCGGGTCCATGCCAGCCAACCTTTTTCCTCGTTACCTAAACCCCCAAGCGCTAACACAAGCCACAACTGCGTCAGTGGTTGGTAGATCTCACTTTCCCATGTCGCATCTTCAGCTCCTCCAAGTTCTCTCTTCTGTCTTCCTGTCTGCACTTCTCCTGTAGTTCTGTAACACTTCCACCATCTCACACTTCGACATCCTCTGTCTTCTCAGGTACAACGCCGACAACCGGACTTGAAGCCTCGCACAGACCCACACGACATCCCGATTGCTCAGCCAGCACATCAACATATTGCCATTATTATCTGCTCGCGCCCTCGCACGCACGAAACCAACTTCTTCTCACGCCGGTAACGACGCCGCTGGAGAAGCTCGAACGGCTCAAAATCCCATTCCACCTCAATAGAGCACTCCGAAGTGTCTCGAGAAAGCCCTCCGCGCCCTTACGCAAGCCTCACGACCGGATTCACCAGTGTCCATGGCCCCGATCTCGTAGCGCTCTCGTGCCTTGGTAGCCCGCCCTCGCGGTGTTTGAACCGCATCCCTCCATACCATGGAAAATGTACCTCCTCAGGTATGGGCAGTGGCTCACACCTTGATAGCCCGAAATGAGACGACCAACTCAACCTCAACAAATTCCAGTGCTGACACAGCAAACCGTCCGCCTGTCTATAAGGCAATCGGTCTCAGTCTGGCAGTGGCCTCGGGGCTATTCATTGGTACCTCATTTGTGCTGAAAAAGACAGGACTGCTCAAAGCAAATGCTAAATACAATGAGGAAGCTGGTGAGGGTTATGGCTACCTCAAGAATTTCTACTGGTGGGGAGGGATGACGCTGATGATAGTGGGCGAAATCTGCAATTTTGTCGCCTATGCCTTTGTCGATGCTATCTTGGTTACGCCCCTGGGAGCGCTGAGCGTTGTGGTCACGACCATTCTGTCCGCCATCTTTCTCAAGGAGCGCCTGAGCTTTGTCGGTAAAGTGGGCTGCTTCAATTGCATCGTTGGCAGCATTGTCATTGTTCTCAACGCTCCCGAGCAAAGCGCTGTTGCCGACATTCAAGAAATGCAGCACTTTGTCATCGCTCCCGGCTTTCTCAGTTATGCTGGTGTCGTGATTGTGGCATGTATATTTATCGCATTGTGGGCCGGGCCGCGCTACGGCAAGAAAAGCATGTTGGTCTACCTCAGCATTTGCAGCTTGATCGGTGGTCTCAGTGTCGTGGCGACCCAGGGATTGGGGAGTGCAGTCGTTGCGCAAGCCGGCGGAAAACCTCAGTTCAATCAATGGTTTCTTTACGTTTTATTGGTCTTTGTGGTTGCGACACTGCTGACCGAAATCATCTATCTCAATGCAAGTATGCTGCTTCCTAGGTCATGTCCGCTGCTAACCTTTTCCAGAAAGCCCTGAACATTTTCAATGCAGCCCTCGTCACTCCAACATATTATGTGATTTTCACCAGTGCCACAATCATTACTTCCGCGATCCTCTTCCGAGGTTTCAAGGGTACAGCCGTGTCCATCACGACCGTGATCATGGGTTTCTTCCAGATATGTGCTGGCGTCGTCCTCCTACAAATGTCCAAATCTGCGAAAGACGTACCAGATGCCGCCGTTTTCAAGGGTGATCTCAATCAAGTCAGGGAGATTGCGGAGGTCGAGCAGCCAGAAACCGAGCCCAAGGCTGATGCTATTCGCGGCACTGCGGCTCTAATCAGGAGAATCTCCGTCTCTCGGCAGAAGATGGAACAAGAGGAAGCTCGACGGCTGCGCGAAGACAAGCTCAAAGACCAACTCGAGCCGCTTCGCGAAAACGAGATTGTGGAATGGGACGGACTCCGCCGCCGAAAAACGGTCATTGGCGAACCTGGAACAGTTGTGCGAAGAAAGACCGTCCATCCGCCACTGGGGATGTCGCATTTTCCAGATCCAAATCAAGAAGACGCCGAAAACGAACCAGGGTTCTTTGAACACCTCCGCAATCGTGCGCAGAGCGTGATCCGTCACCCTAGTCCCCGTCACCATGCCACCATGCCCGAAGATTCTTTGCGGAGCCCAATACATCCCGTTGCTTTGACGGATATCAAGGTTGTTCCATCCAAAGCCGAGTCACCTATCGTCCCGTACGGTCCAGGGAGCCTCGAGGACGCCCAAGAACGGATTTATGGTCTCCCTCAAGGGCAGCTGAAAGAAAGAGCAATCACCATCGCAGCCCAATCCTCACCCCGGTCCAAGCCTCTACCCGCGAAACCGTCACCATCCCCTGCACTCAAACTCCCACACGAAGCAAGACGGCAATTCTCTTTCACCAACTTCCTTCGGCCAGGTTCACGCACCCCTGAGATTGACCCTATGCCTTCACGACCAAACACTTCGCGCCGGACCAGCAGCCATGAACAACGGCGAGCCATGAAGAATGCATCCGAAGAGGAAAGACTGGGACTTGTCAAGGGTGATTCTCACATTGCTTTGCTTGAGCATGAATCGTCTCGCTCACCTGAGCGCCCATCGCAGCCCCCTTCTTATGCCCATCCTACTTCTCATTCTCAGTCCAGCTCTACTTCAAGCGTTGATGATTATTATCCCTATCAATACCCTTCTCCTCCTCAACATTCTCTGTCATATTCTGACGAGGTTGATGGTTGGCAGATGATGAGCACCGCGAGTCCGCCGAACGAGACGAGCCGAGCTTCGACACCACCCGTGACGGCAAGCAGCCGGAGAAGGCCAAGTCCGCCGAGGATCTATCATCCCCCACCTTTGCTCACGAGGAGTTCACCTCCAATCGACAACGAGGAACGACCCATTCCGGGAACAATGGTGGGCGGAGGACCGACACAGGCCAGAGCCACACCAGCAGCGTCAAACCGTTCCCAGAATTCATCGATGAGTCCACCGAGGATCACGATCCGGCATCAAGACAATGGTTCACCCAGGACAGGTGGCGAAGATCACCTAGCTCGAGTTTCCGAGGACGCAAGAGTGAATGATGCCTACAACTACGAGGTGACCCGCACAGAAATCATCGAGCCAGAAGCCACCCGAAGACGGTTTGAGGAGCAGAGCAAAAGGGAAAGAGAAGAGAGGCGGTTGAGAGCCACCGGGCGACGGCAGAGTTGGAAGCCTTCCGGTGCTGAAGAAGGAGGCAGTTTTCTCTAGGAGTCGGAGCGTTGTTTGGATTGCGCAGTTGAGCCTCTTTTGGTAACAACAACGAAATACCCCACGATGTTTTGGTACGCATGGGAAACGGACCTTTACGACCGATAGAAACGAGAACTTGACGAGGCCAGCGCAAAGCTAGACCGCGATCTCAAGTTATGTATATGTACGATACTTGACAGTAGGCTGAACATAGAACTTGTCCTACCACCACCAGGCCTATAACTGCAGCCGATGAGCCTCCGTAGTTAGTGTATCCGATCACATTCATGTGTCGACTCCGTTTTCCATCCATTGCTTTTACCTCGCCAGTCCGACGTCATAGGCTGTGGCGGTGCGCGTGCTCCCAAGGATTCCCTCCCCCAGGACGACGACGATCCTGTCGGCTAGTGTTAATTCCGAGGGTCCGTAGACTCGGCCTGCTCGGACGAAGAAGTCGACAGACAGAGTTCACGCCACCAATATTGCATTGACAGCCTGCTCTGCCTCTTCTTCTTGTTGTTCCTTTCTCGGATTGGGACAAGGCGTTCCTGGCCTGTATTTACATGTCTCAGCGACGTTGGATCACCCGAAATGGCCGAATCTCCCGCATCCGAAGCCTCACAAGAGCCTGAATCGGGCGACGAGTCGAACGCGGCGCATCCGCCAGCTAAAGCGCCCGCGGTCAAGGACAAAGAATGTCAATACTGTCATCAGCAGTTCACCTCCTCCTCACTCGGTCGCCACCTCGACCAGTTTATATCCAAGAAGAAACCAGATGGAGTCCATGATGTTGAGGAGATCCGGAGGCTGCGAGGAGGCATCACGCGCCGCACGGCGAGAAGCAGCAAACGGGACCGGGACAAGAATGATCATGAAGATACCCGCTCATCGCAGGCGTCTCCAGGCCCCAGTATCGGTCCTCAACCGGGTACTCTGATCTCGTCCGCCATCGAACTCAACCGTGTCCCTCCTGGCGGCATGCACGTCCGCCTGAACAGACTCAATTGGCAGGCAACAGGCGTCATTACAGACCCAACCACCCTCGACTCACCGGCCACTGCTGCGGCTGCGGCTGCTCCTCCTACTCCTGCGGTCGTATCGAGCCCTTCCGGGACCAAGCGCAGTTTCTCTGTCTACGCCCAAGACCTTAATCCCGCCAGCAACGCCGAGAATACTCGCGCTCTCGAGCTCGCTCTACGCGAGGTCCTCGACTCTCTCCGCGCAGCCACAAAGCATGCCTCTCCTAAGCCCTCTCCCTTCAAGTTCGACATACAGACCCAGACATTTCCTTCGCTATGCTTAAAACTCTTGTCTGCGCCCGCAACCCTATTCCAAGCTTCTCCCTTCTCCACGCCACAATCCATCCCAATCAACCCACCTGGCCCTGATCAACTTGCCCCCCTGCGTCAAACGCTGACCTCGACAATCGATCACTGGAAATGGCATACCCTGCGCCTCGCGCAACCCACGACTTCCAACATTGCGGAGGAGGCGGATTTCTTGACACGGAGTGCGGCGCAGTGGACTGAATCAACCCTTTCGCATCTAGAAACATGCTTTCAAAATTGGATGGCACACCCGATCGAGATTCGCAATCTATTGTGGCAGGTCGAACTGCTAAGGGCGTACAACACGGAGCAGCAGAAAGTGCAGGAGACGGAAGAAAGACTGGAGAGATTACAGCAAGAAGCAAGTCAACTGCAGCAACAGGTCGAATACCTCTCTCGGTGTCAGTGGCCGCGCGAAATGGCGCTGTGGCCGCCCGAGCGTAGGACGTTCGGAGCGTCCATGCGCGAGGAGTTGCGACTGATAAATCTAAATAAGGTGCCTGCAGGATCAGTCGGATCCGACGCACCGGAAGAGATGGTTTCTCTGCCTTCGGAGAACGTTAATACAAGGCAGGGTGACAAGTGGGACTTCGACAAGTTGGTCAACAAGTGGAAAGCCCACGTGCGGGAAGATAAGAATCGGCGCATGCCTCAATCTCTGGTATCTGTGGACGGTAACGGTGGCGGCGTAGGAGGGCCCCCAGCCGTGAAAGTGGCAGAGCTCAAGAAGACACAGAGCGAACCAGGGGTAAACGGGTTATCCAATGGTCAGTCGCCAACCAGTACGGACGAAAGGCGAAAAGGTGGAAGAAATCAAAAGGCAAATATCAGCATTATTTCGGACCTTTGAATCGAGACAAAATGCAATTGACCATAATATAATGATATTGTAGCTCCAAACTTGACAATATCTACATTGGTTGTCCAATATTCTTAGCATATTATTGCATCATAGTATTGTCCGCCGATGGTGCTGCTAACAAACAAAGCGTTCATCGTATCATGTCAAGATCCCTCATTGTACGTCCTAAAACCAAGTATCCCGCTCATCTTCCGAGTAGAGCAATCCAGAAACCGACCTTTTATTCGCCAAAACTTTGTTCTCGAGATCATTATCGTCATCAAGGTGGAAACGTACACGCTTGCGCACGCGTGGAGTTTCTGAGAGTGTTATTCCTCTTCTTCTCCCTCTTCTATCTCCTTCTCCCGTTTCGCGAACAGGCTGACTCGGTTCTGAATCGCATAAATGGCGTAGCCCACGATGGCCAGCACAACGAACAGGCAGATCACAATGATCGCAATCACGTAGTTTCGTTGCACCATGGTTCTGATTAAAAAGTGGTTGTGTGGAGGGTGGAGGAGGCTGCAGTGAAGGGTGGCGGCTGCTTTGGACTGTGTTGTCGCGTGCAAACGGTTCGCTCCGGGCACGTGAGTGAGCCACAAAGGTGAAAATGCGGAACCGGAGAGGAGGCGGTGGACTGAGTCGAGGTCCGCGAAGGAGCGAAGCGCTGTCGGGGAGTTCTCTTATGGGGACCGGTTCTGATTGATGGCTTCGAGGAGAGAGCGATCGCGGCGAGTTCGGAGGCGGCGCAAAGCCCGGCAAGGAACCCCGACTAGAAAGGGCAACAACAGTTTGCGGCGCCGTGGGATCAATCTTGGATAGGCCTGCAGGGGACGTGCTCAAGACAGAAGGAGAAAGTCTGTATCAGGAATAGTCAACTGGGCAGTGGTGAAGCTGGGGATTTCGTGTTCTGGTTGTGATGGGAGGCTGTCGAGGACGATGGAATGTTACCAAGAATTTGGAGTATTTGAAGGACTACATGTAGTTATCCGCAAGCGCGAGGCCCAGCCTCGCAGACTCTCTGGACTCATTATACGATGGCTGGTTGCAAAGATGGGTGGTTGGCAGCAACTGAAGTGGCAGGATACGTACTCGGTAACCTGACACGGCGAGGCTGGCTACGCACTAAACACATGGCAGCCTGGTAATCGCGAGGCTGGCATTTGGCTTTGCAACCATGTGGACTTTTGTCACGTGAGCCTGTAAACTTGGGCCAATCAATCTCAAGAATCTCTAGCTAGTCTTCCTCACATGGGCACCTCATATGGGGCACCAAGTACAAGTAATATGTTGATGTATTAATAATATTAGAAGGGGCTTCCTAATTCTTGAGGAACAGGCATCATCCTAGACTCGTTATGAGGAGTACAAGGTACTCCGTACGGGCATTGAGTAGCTATCGACTACTGATATCCTAACCACCCCAATCAAATTTGCAAGTTTTTTACCACATGAGCCGCTCACACTGGGCTGATGCAGACTCAGACGGACTGGATAAATGATGGATGTTACAGCCACTTCCACATCTTTGGTGATGTACATGTCCCGCATGTGGACTTTCGCGAGTGATAACCCCCTCTGAGGAAACAAAAGCAATGGAATGAACGACAGTTTAGGGGGCTCTTGAAATCGATTCATTCCGCCATATCTAGTGCACCTCACCAGGCTCCGCGCTCGCACCACCCTCAGGAAAACAGCAGCCATCACTGATGTCTCAGATCGGATTTATCAGGGCGTGCTAGTCCTCCCATATGTTCGAATCCGGATCCCAGCACAATGCACTGCCTGTCCCTCTCGACAAACATTTCCCTCTGCGTCTATTCCTGACGACTCGAGGTCAGTTTTCTTCATCTTTTGCTGCTGCAACTTACTATTCTTGGACTTTTTTGTTGCTGTAGTTATTCTTGTGCCTTGCACACCAGTCAGTATTCTTTGTCCTGCAACCAGCGTAAGCTTCATTTTCATTGTCACCTTCCGCGATTCCCACATGATCGTAACGCTATCCCGATCTAATCTCAGTCTCATTGTTTTGCAATATGACAAAGAACGGTCGGATGCTGCTGTATCACAAAATTCCCCTCCCTGGTTCGTACCGTCCTTCACATCACAGTCCAAAAGAAAATCATTCCGAGGCTGGCACCCGTTAGCCCTACGATTCCCGAGTACTATTAAGCGACAAGGCAGCATGTCCAGCCCTCGTCTCGACACGTCCTGCATCGATTTCGAATCGGATAAGAGAGTGCGATCACCGAGGACGCCAACATATGGACCAGTTTCCCCGTCAACTAGCTCAGCGCCACCTTTCGATCCCGCGAAGTATTTTGCCCAGCCTAGCAATAACGACGATGATAGACAGCTGATGCGTCTTTCCCCTCCTCAGCAACAGCCGGTACCATGGATGTGGATTTGTCACTTGTGTCATTCGCGATATCCTCTTGGCGTAACCCGTCGATGTCTGGTTGACGGCCACTATTACTGTTCAGGCCAGACCGATCGACCCAGTTTGAAGAAAAGGAAAAAGCCCAGGGCGTGCTCGAGTGAATTCGATTATGTGGCCTGGAAGAACTGGGGCGCATGGCGCCGAGGAATTCTCAGAATCCTCCAGAATGAGAGGGTCTCAAATGGTTGCGAATTCTGTGACTTTCCAAGTCAGTGTCGGTATCCTGCCAATTCGCACCCTCTTGGGAGTGAAGAGGCAACACTACTTTTCCCGACTGCTCCTATGAGCGACCGATTACCCGAGTCAGAAACGCAGACCACTGGGGTCAAAGGAAAAGGTGCTGGCACGTCAAAATCCAACGAGAACGTTGACTTTGGCCAAATCGTGGAGAACATTCATTCCGATACAACGTCAGAGGCGTCGAGGTCAGAGAACCTCCGCAATATCAAACAGCAAAACAAAGGTGTGTCGCGCGGGAAGAAAAAGCGTTCTGGGAAAACACCGACGCCTTCATTGAGTGAAGAACTGGCTGAGGAAGAGAAAAGGTTGCGCGAGCTGATCGGACCGGGCTTGTGGTCGTGCTTAGAAGATGTTGGTTTGGACAATACATTGACCGGGTGAAGCCTGAGGTTCTGATTTTGCACACCGCAAGATGGTTCATTATAAATTCATGTCGAAATATTGACTTTCTGTCTTCTGATGGCGTGTGCCAGCCTATTTCCCGACCAAGCTGCCAACGTACTCTGCAATTGCCAACATCTTCTCTTCCGTGAACCTCCGCCCGACGATCTGCACACTAACGTGAGCGCCGTCATACAAGTCGGCATCATAAGCTTCAGAGGCCTCCTTGTCTTGCTCGTTGATTGGCGTATAACCATCGGCATATTTATCGATGGTTTTGTCGGCAATGGTAACTGGTACGACAACGCTTGTATAGTCGAGCCCATTCACAAACACACTGTAACCGTAGTACTTGTACAATTCGGGTCTCGCAGCCGGATATGGCGCGAGCGGACAAATGAAACCATCCACAGGTTGACCGGTCTGTGTGAGCTGCGCAGTGCTATTCCAGTAGTCCAAGTATTGTTTCTGGTATTTCCGCTTCTCAATGTTGTTAGCGGCGATCTGTGAGGCGGTCAGTTCCTGCTTAGGCCCGTCACCGAAGCTCATTTTAATCTGAGGAGACATGGGCTCGCCGGAAAGTGCAAAAGCACCGTGCACGTCCTTTCCACCATCATATCCCCAGGTCATGAATGTTATGTCCAATATTGTCTTGTGCGAAGGTGGCTTCCACTCGATGATCTGATGTCCCGCTTTGCTGAGAGCCTCAGCGAGCATAGACACTGCTCGCGCCACAGGCGGCTGAGGATTCACAATACCGTCCGTTTTCAGTACTCCGAAGCTCAGTCGGCCTCCCTGTGAAGATGATTTGACAATATTGTGGATTGCTTGCTCCTGGGTATCACGCCACGGCATATCGATAACTAGGGGATCGTGAAGCCAGGGCTTTTCTGAGAGGATAGCTTTTGTGAGCAGTCGAACAGATCGAGCGGTAGTGGCGAGAGGACCGACAACCGACAAGACACTATTCTGCCCATCCATACTGTTGGCCATACCTTCGTACGGCAATCTCCCAAACGAGGGCCGAATGCCATAGAGCCCATTGAACGCCGCAGGAATGCGGATTGAACCTCCAATGTCAGTACCAAACCCGCCTGGCGATCCCCTCAATGAAATCAGCGCTCCCTCACCCCCAGAGCTGCCACCAGAACAGAGGTAGCGGTTTTTGGGATTCCAAGTATAGCCAATGATGTTGTTGATGGTCTCTCCACTCATCAAAGTATGTGGGACGCTGGTTTTGCAGTATAGCACTGCACCGAGGGCTCTGAGTTCCCTAACCATTTCACTTTCATATTGGCCTTTGCGTAGGTCATCGGCACTGCCTTCAAAAGTCCCTATCCAGCCGACATATCCCATCGTGGTTTCGACATTCTTGACATGAAACTGATCTTTCAGAGAGACAGGGACTCCGTGAAGAGGCCCAACTGTTTTTTTATTCTTCGCAAAGTACGCGTCAAGCGATTTGGCAGATTCCAGAGCAGCGTCGAAAAAGGTCTCATGCAGACAATTGACCAACTGATGAGCCAAAGAGGCCCTGTGACAGAATGCTTGTGTGACTTCGACCGCAGACCATTCACCGGCTGCGACCTTTTCGGCGATGCCGACCGCGTCGGTTTCGGTGATTGCAATTTCTTTCTCGTCTAGGAATTGCTGAATGTAGGAGCTAGTGACGTCCTTTTGCTCTTCCGGCGTGGGGATCTTTTGAAGTCGCCATTTCTCAGGGATGGAGTTGAGAATAGCATCTCGTTTTGTTTTCGCACGTGTTTCCCAGTCGGCAACCATGATGGCGGATGCAGTGGAAGCCCGTGGTAACTTCTCAAGATCCTTGACGAAAAAGTTCACGGTTTGCTCGAGAAGAGCCTATCGTCCTGTACCCCTCGTGAGGTGGTCCGGTTATATGAGGGGGTACCACGAGTGACACTCTTGCTCGGAGACGCACATCTCCACCACCATTGGCGGAGATTAGAACAAATTGATAATGGAGACAAACTTCTCCTGCCTCTTTGGGGATGATTCCATCACCCCGAGCCGGCTTGTTCACCATCGTCAGACTGCTTGAACGTCAAACACCCGGTCTTCATGCGGTCATCTGGCGAACATTGAGATTGATTCGTTTCTTGCTCATCCATCCTCGCCACTGCTGGTATGGTCCAGCATGCCCTGTATCTGGCCAGTTTTGCAGCCAAGCAGGACACGTATCAGGGAGAATCTTTGGCACGCCATGCCAAGCATATCTGGATTTTCCAGACATGAGAATGGCATCCCCCGACCTCAAGCGAATGACGGCAGCGTCGGCCTGGTCTTCGTGTCCCACGAGAAAGATACCTTCACAACCAAAACTGATGCTGATGAGGCTGTTGTTGGATGCCTCGCTGACATCTCGGTGCACACTCAACGTGTCTCCAGGACTGTAAAAGTTGACAATGGCGGCCTGGGCGTCAACCGTTGGAAACAGTTTCTTCAACAGAGCAGCTATGTCGCGAGGGAACGGTGGTGGTTCGCCATCGGGATAGATTTTGTTCGTCCAGTCGTATTGACCTCCAAGGGTCACCCATCGCAATTTCGTTTCAAGCATCTGCGCCGAGGTCATGGGTTTGTGGGTTGCAGGATCCTTTGGGTAAACCATCGTATTGAGGCCTGAGGCGAAGAAAGAGGAACGCGAAGGATTGTCAACATTTTGCGGGCAGGAGATATGATGATGGTGATTAAGATTAGTCTTGTGCGCAGGATTAGAGAGATCACGGTGAAGTAGCCTATCCAGTAAAGCAAGCTGAAGCCGAGGAGGGAAGAGGGAGGGAAACACCCGAAGACCTACCCTTGGTCAGCAGCGATGTGAGATGGCTCATGGCAGTGCGAGCGAACCAGGTAATCCGTTCACCTCGAAGGCGGTTCGCGGTGGTAATGAAACGTCTTGGACTACTTGCGTCAGACCGTCCATGGCATTATCGAGCAAGTCCGCGGTCAAAGCCTCGAAGTCGCTCTGGCGAAGAACTTCAGACTCCGGTAATGCGGAGATTTTGTTGACATCTGGGTTTCGTGGGTCAATGATGTCCTCGTCGGCTTCTATTTCTGCTGCAGGCCGTTTCCGCCATTGTTTGAAAAGCTCTCGCATATGGTCAGGGGCCCTAGCGTGGGCGTCATACATTGTCATCGTCGTGGGAGCCCTGCAAGATCACCAAAGAAAACGGGTGGCTTGGCTCTTGTTGGAAACAAGCAAAGTAAACAAGAAGGCAAGCATCGGTACTAAATTTCGTGAGAATATCTATAGTCAAAGTAGCTGGATGCCAAGCGTCCATTACAGCCACTTTCCACCTCAACCCTCTCTTGCTCCCTCTTTTTCCCTCGAGGGTGTACTATTACTCTGCCATTTCGATCATTCTGGCAATGGCGTGAGAAAGAGGTTTCCCACAACCCATATAATCCTGTAGTCCATATCGCGGGTGCGTGCAAAGAAGGTGTTCTGGCGCCGACCATTATTCAACAACGAACGAGATGCCGGGTGAATGTCGGGCCGTGGTTTCGGCTCCATTTCCTCAGGCGACTCTCCGTAAACAAAGGACTTCATCTGTTCGGCAAAGACCACATTTGTACAACCTTAGAGCCTGCTCTTCCTGGGAAGAGCTCTTCCACTTCTCTTATCAAATTATGTGGTCATATTGATATGGCGTGTATTTTGTCTCAGAGATGGTTGTCAGTTAATTTGACAAACAGTCGAACCCCGCCCAAAGCATGGCGGCAAACGGTGAAGACTCTGAGAGCGACACCATCGATCTGAATCCTAGAGCGAGCGTAGGTCTACGTGAGCCTCTCCACGAGTGCCTTGCTAATATTCGGCATGATAGCTTCGTCAATCCTCCTATATTGATCCCGCCACTGGCACACGGTTGAGCAAAACATTTACCCTCCACAACTTCGACCGCCCCCACGCCTCCCACTACACCGTGGACGACACCACTCCTTTGCTGGGACAAATCGAAGAAATAAGCGCAAGTGGCTCTCATACCAATCATGGCTCGTTGGTGTCAAAGAGCTTGGAATATGCGAGTCGAGTCAAAGAGTTCATGCTCTCCGACACCGGAAAGGGAATCTTTAAGTGCGCACTGGCGTACTTCTTGGGCAGCCTCGCCACATTTGTTCCCAAGTTGAGCGAATTGTTCGGCAGTCAGAATTCGAAGCACATGGTCGCCACCATCACGGTGTATTTTCATCCGGCGAGATCTCTGGGGAGTATGTTGGATGCTCTTCTGCTGGCAACATCCGCTTTCCTTTACGTGGCCGTTGTGTCCCTCCTCAGCATGACTACCGCTGCCTTTTTCGCAGATACCGTCCATCTTATTGAGCTTGGACATGCCCTTGTTCTGGTTGTCTTTGTAGGGGGTGGTCTCGGACTTGTCGGTTGGGTCAAGTTGAGGAAGAACGATCCCTTGGTGAACATAGCATGCTCTCTGGCATCTCTGAGCCTGGTCACCATCCTCACCAAAGAGGGAGCCATCCAAGCTGGTGACTACTCCTCGAAGTCCATCTCGCAGATCCTCAAGATGATCGTCGCTGGTGTGATAGCCACCATGCTCGTGTCTTTTTTGATTTTCCCCATCTCCGCCAGGCACAAGTTGAGGAAAAATCTTCTTCAGGTAACTGACGCCCTTGCTGATATGCTTGCTTTGATTACGAGCAGCTTCTTGTCCGGAGATGAAGCAGAGCTGGAAGATAGCGTCTTCCAGGGGATTAGTGAGCAGCACAAAAAATTGTCCGCCACCATCCCACAGAATTTGAAAGAAGCAAGATATGAACATTACCTGCTGGGCACTGAGAGACAAGCCTTGATTGAGGCTAGGCTAGCACAGTGCATTCAGCGGATATCACAGAGCATTGGTGGTCTTCGGAGTGCTGCAGCCATGCAGTTTGTCGTTAACAAGCAACCCGCCTTTGGTTCTGCGCAATTCGCTGCAGAACAAACTGCAACACCACGCTGGTTGGACTCTATGGAGAGTTCTAAAATCATCACGGGGGAACGAGACTTGTTGAACTATTTTACACCACCCTCGCCCGTGCAGGTATCGGTCAGGCCGCTGACTGGGTCGCTGTCGGGCCAGACACATCCGCCGTTTCGATCGCCCGCGCAAATATTTGAGCTTTTCATTCAAAACCTTGGCCCTTCCATGAGGTCTCTGGCTTTCACCCTGAAGGAAATACTGGATGACTTCCCCTTTGATGCCTCGAAGCGTTATGCCGTCGCCACCAACCCCAAATTCAAATCGAGCCTTGATCGAGCGTTAGAGTTGTACAAAGAGTCTCGACAAGATTCAATCCTTGTTGTATATGGTCAGAAGGATATGGATCGAACTCGGCCAATGGCTGTCCAAGCAGACTGGGAGGATGCCGCTGCCTGTTGTGGCCACTTTTCCTTCTCTTTGGTTGAAGTGGCTGAATCCGTGAAAGAGTATTTGACCATCCTTGACGAGCTACAACTCGAGGTTGACGAGCACCCTGCTGGGAAGACTTGGAATTGGCTCAAGTTTTGGCGCTCGCCATACAGTCAAGCGGAGTTGGCCGGGCTCGATCCCGATTACGCCAAGTTGGCCAAAGGTTCGGATGAACTCGACGTCAAGTTTAGCGACAAGCAACTCAAGGTATCTCGGCAGCATGATGTGCCCCAGTGGCCTGATCAACCTCGCTTTAAACAACTATTTTTCCGCTACCTCTACGCTGCAGCCTCTTTTCTTCGACGCGACGATATTAGATTTGCAATCAAGGTCGGACTGGGCGCCATGTTATATGCACTTCCAAGTTTTATCCCCTCGACCCGCCCATTATACCAGCACTGGCGAGGGGAATGGGGCCTAGTATCTTATATGCTTGTGTGCAGCATGACAATCGGGGCGGCAAACACGACAGGCTACTCGCGGGTGCAGGGAACCTGTCTTGGAGCTGTTCTCGCAGTGGCCGCATGGGAGTTGTCACATGACAACCCCTTCGTCCTGTGCCTGTTCGGGGTTTGCATGGCGTACTGGACCGCGTACATGATCATTGGGAAGGGCAAAGGCCCGATGGGGCGGTTCATCATGCTGACATACAATCTCAGTGCCTTGTACGCGTACAGTCTCGCTGGTCGTGACGACGAAGATGATGGAGATGAAGAGGACGCGGCGAAGAATCCTTTGATCCTTGCCATAGCCGGACATCGGGTGGTTGCAGTCATATCCGGTTGTATCTGGGGATTGATCATTACGCGCGCTGTCTGGCCCATATCGGCCAGGCAAAAACTGAAGGATGGCCTTGCACTCCTGTGGCTTCGTATGGGCCTGATCTGGAAGAGGGATCCACTGGCCACACTGACCGAGGGTGTTCCTCCAGATCGATATATGAATCTGCGCGAGGAATTCTACCTGCAAAGATTCCTGGCTAAGCTCCAGGGCCTGGCAGAGGCTTGCAAAAGCGAATTCGAGCTCCGGCGCCCGTTCCCGCATGAGATCTACGGTCGGATCCTTAAGAGCACCGAACAGATGCTTGAATCGTTTCACGCAATGAACGAGGTGATCCTCAAGGATCTGAACACATCCCCCGGAGAGGAGGCACTGTTGAAGGCCACCGCCGATGAACGAGCACAGCTGTGCCGGCGCATCAGTCACTTGTTCAGCGTTCTTGCGAGTTCCATGAAGTTGGAATATTCCATCACGAGTGACGCGTTGCCTAGCATTGAAAATACGCGGGATAGGCTCCTGGCAAAGATTTTCGAGTATCGGCAGAGTGACGCGCAGGAACAAAGGACTAAAGATGAGGACTACAGTCTCCTGTACACGTATGCCCTGGTCACAGGCCAACTAAGCCTCGGGATACAGGATGTACTGAAAGAGGTAGAAAGTCTCTTTGGCGTCCTTGATGAAGAGGCGTTACGGCTTCAATAGCACGGGGTAATTTTGAGCTGTCCACGAACCGAATACATCATCGCCTGTTGTACTGAGTACTAAATTCGCTCGGCTGGCGCTCCTTCTGTTGTCGACCCCCAAAAGTCGTTTCTCAAAGCCAAGCCGTGCTCAATGCCCAATTTTGTAGCTGCGTACGCGTCGAGGGCGTCTTGCTTGCGGAAATGTCCCTCTACGCTGTGGGGGATAAATGCTTGATCAGGTTAATGCGTACGGCGGGTTGGTAGGTAGCTAGGTGTTGTCCGCAAACCATTGGGCGTACCTAGGAGGACTTGTAGTCGCCTGTCACGACCCACAGCGTTTGGTGGTTCGGAGCCCTGAGGCGCGAGGGCTCGGGAGAAGCACAGCCTCCGGGTCGCCTAACAAGCAGCGGCAGGGGAGGACGTGACTTCGTGTGTCGAGCCATGACGAAGCGTGGCTGTGTTTTTGATATCCGTAATAAGAGGGTGCGGTCGGACAGACTTGCCTGCGCCCGTTGATGGCGTTGTCGTCTTCATATCTGTAGAATCAAACTGAAACCAGCAATACTTTAGGCTCGTCTCGACTAAACAGTGTGTCTGTTTTACCATAGGACGCTCTCATCTCTGGTACCCTCTGGGAAATCACGACAGTTCTGAAGCGCGATGCTGGACGAGAATCTGCCGAGTACGTGTGACTGCCTGTCCCTCTTCCACCATCTGAGTTGCTAAGAGTTGCAGCCTTTGTCCTCAAACTGTCCAAAGACAAGCCCAAGCAATTATCCACCTTTCTTTTCTCTCACCATGGGGCTGATTATGAGCCCTCTTACACGGTACGACATTTAGACCCTGACCACCATGCTTCGAGAAACCGATATGCGACAGCACTTTACGATGCCTTCAGTCCCGAAGTTCTCTATGCCGAAGTCCTACTCATCCCAGAATGGACACAACCTCCTCAGCTCTCCGAGCAGGCCCGGTTGAATGGGGCAATCCCACCCCCTCCCGAACCTATCCTTCCCTCCGAGTTCGTGATACAACTGTACAATCCAGATCAACAGATTGTTGTGAGGCACAAGGCAGCAAGTTTCAACAGATCTGCGTCATGGGAATTCGAGATGCCACAACAGACCTTTCGGCCTCCATCCGGGTCTGCCCTTGATCGGACACAGTACGATCCCGCTGCTTCGGAAATCACGCCCAAGATTGTCTTTAAGTGGAAGAAGGACAGCAAGTTTTCAAAAGACCTGGCATGTTTCATGTCTGGTAAGAGTACGGATATAGAAGGGAAGGGAAAACACAGAGACCCAGATATCACCGTGTCGATATTCAAGGCTCTGAAAGAATTGACCTTATACGAGCCAAATTTGCAGAGGGTTGACATCGAGGATCTGAAAGGGTTCGAGGTGGTCCTCTTGCTTGGGGCTGTGGTGATCCGTGACGTATATTTTGGTTCCTTGAAGGAGACCTTCAATCTGCCTGTCAGCAAGAAACCCAGCCCAGCTAGTCCTAGTGCTGGAAATACTGCAATCCTACAATCGGATGCCGGACCTCAATCAGTCTCGCCCACCCATGGCCCGCGTGTGCCTTCCACAGATCCACGGAAACAGTGGGAAATCGAAGCAGAGTCTGCTAGACTGCGGAGACAGGCGCTAGAGGAAGAAAGACAAAGGCGGCGCAGAGAAGAGGAGGAGGAACGATTGACCAGGCAGTTGTTGGAAAGAGAAGAAAAAGAACAACGGAGGAGAAAGCAAGCGGAAATTCAACAGGAGACAGAGTGGCTCAAGCATATGTATGGACGAGAAGATGCATCTGCTCGTCCTGACCTTCCGCCTCGAGAACCACGACAACAAAGACATCACTCTGAAGCAGGACAATCAGCGTACCTTCAGACGCAACAAGGACCATATCCCGTAGCACCATATGTCAACAGCTGGGGGGGATATCCACCAGGTCCGTACATGTCGGGAGCTGCTTCACAGTCTAGTTTTCTCACGCCCGTGCCTACGCAACAACCACAAATCAAACCAAAATCGAGTATTTTCAACTTCCGACGCCGGAGCGACCAGGACGCAAACAAGTTGCAAAGAAAGCGAAGTGCCGTGTTTTGATACAGGGAGCTTCCTCTTTGGGCTACGACGGAACCTAGCATACGGAATCTGATCGGTGATTTCCCCGGTTGAACCTCATGTCATCACTTAGAAATTTCTAAGGGTGTTGCTATCTCTCTGTCTTCAAAGAAGATTTGCATCTCCACGCTACATCGTTTTCAGCCTCAATTTGAGAATGGCTACATCCTTGGGCAAAAGAATTGTCTTCACGGGGGGTTCGGGAAAAGCTGGACGACACTGCATTCCATATCTGCTGAACAAAGGACATCAGGTTCTGAATCTGGATCTGGTGGACTTCCCAAAAGACCACATCCCTCCTGGAAAGAGCGTATACACGATGAAAACAGATCTGACTGACGGCGCTCAAGTCTTCAATGCATTGTCGTCGTTATTCTCGATGAGCGAGTTCAGCCTGCCGAAGCATCCTGGTCCTCCCGATGCTGTCATCCACTTTGCGGCATATGCCCGAAACATGATCGTTCCAGATAGCGAGACTTTTCGAGGCAACGTCATGAGCACATACAATGTGATCGAGTCTGCTTGCAAATTGGGTGTCAAGAAGATTGTTATAGCCAGCAGCGAGACAACCTATGGCGTTTGCTTCACACAGGGAGACGATGACTACCATTCCTTCCCTCTTGATGAGGAAACTTACGATCGCAATCCGGAAGATACGTACGCCTGCAGCAAGCTGACTGGGGAGCGGATTGCGCGGACTTTTGCCCGCCGGTTCAATATCGACATCTACGCTTTGGTGATCGGCAATGTGATTGAACCACACGAGTACGAGAGGGATTTCCCCCGACACGTGGGCAAGCCAGAAACGAGGAAAAGAAATGCCTGGAGCTATATTGACGCTCGGGACCTCGGTCAGATTTGTGACTTGTGTGTTGCGAAGAGCGGACTCGGCTTCCAGGTCTTCAATGCAACCAACGACACTATTACAACGGCAGTGCCGACAGAGGAGTTTTTGAAGAAGCACTGTCCCAACACGCCAATTACGCGGAAGATGGGGGAGTGGGAGGCGCCGCTCTCAAACAAGAAAATCCGAGATGTCTTGGGATTTCAGGATGTCCACGATTGGAGAAAGTATTACACTCACAAGGAGTAACGCATCCGTATCTACGAGTTGACAGAACGACTAAAAGTGAGCTAAACCGTCGATTCCCAGTGCGCCAATCAGTATGAAAGCTTCGGGCGTACCTCGTCCCTTGCCCAGCTGAACCAAGAGATGAGAACCTATGAACGGCTCCTGGTCCTAGCGTAGCTGGCAGTCGAATGGCGATGGAACAACTAAAGAGCTAGCTGTGTTCAATGAATTCCGCATCAGTGCTCAGCAACTCCATGTACACAAAGACTTTCAAGATGAGATGTGCCCTATAGTCAACTCAAGCATGTAGCTTTCCATGCCGTGAGGGTGTTGCGGGCTTCCCGAGTGGGGGTCGTGGCAGCTCCCTACCGCTCGCTAGGGACGCTCCTAGGCGAGTCCCTAATAATTAATCAACTGTGGCGAATTTCCCAGCTTCCCGGAGTTCGGGCTTGTAGGCCGCCCAGGCTGCATACGGAGTACAGGTAGTCCAGCTCGCCTGACCCAGCCACTCAAATCTCGTGGCAGTCGCACTTGCAAAACACGAAAGACAATTCGATCATCGCTGCTGCCAGCGCAGCTGGCCGTACTGTCTTTGATCCATTTGTGCAGGGCCACCATCTTCCCGACCATCATTATTCCGTCAACCTGCGAACATCGACATCAAACGCGTCGTAGGAATGATACGACTAGTACCGACGCCGCCCATCTCTTGCCATTCATCAAGTCAAGTCCCCATGTCGAGAAATCCCTGACGCCGCTCCAATTGTGTCTGATGTGCCATGAAAAAATCCAGTTCAGGCCGGCATCGAGCCGGCTCAGAGGCATCTTCCAGATCCCAGCGACCGAGAAATGATGATCAAGACTCTACAAAAGCGCGTTCCACTGCGGATGCGATGACGACTTCGTCTTCGCGCCCTAAATCCGGCCGGTCCAACTACTACGAACCAGATGCCACTTATGCGACAACGATCACCGACGAACCCTCACAAATATCTGATCGATACCGAAATGATTCACGAAAAGAACTGCAATCCAGCGACACGCGGAAACGGTCAAGCAAGACCGACGGAAGGACGAAATACGAGAAGAGTCGTGGGGACAAGGAAGACAACGATTCATGGAAACCGAGGAAGGAAGACAGCACTCGTGACTCTCACAAGTCCAGCAAGTCCAGCGGGAGAGAGCGCGCTCGTGTTCACCGGGATAATAGCGCCTCTCTACCTCAAAACCAGTTCCCGGGAGAGTTTCCAGCGACATACTCTGAGCCGTACCGGCCGCCTGGACTAGCCGCAGAGTACTATGGTGACAACGGGGAATCAGTCGCCTTCCAACCTGGCGTCCGCCCCAATGCTCCAAACATTGTCACCAGCGCAGAGCAAGCCCATCTCCTGGAGCCGACTGTCGAAGCCAAACCTCCTCCTGAGCCGAGCAGTATGGGCCAAGTGGGTGCTGCTGCTAGCTATTTTGGTCATGCCGACTATGATGGGAACTTTGGATCGCAGACTACCCCTTCCAAACCACCTCAGAGGCTGAGCTTGGGATCCGACAAGCCTCCCAAGCACAGCTATTACGGGGCGAGCCCCAGAAGCAGTCCTGTCCACCAAGGGAGTCATGCACCAACTTTCGGACTCCCTCCTGGTCCGATCGGCTCCTATCCATCCTCAGGCACTGCTGCGATTGGCGAGGCTGCCGAGTACTACGCCGGTGGAGGTGGAGGTGGAGGTGGAGGAACATCAGCCAGTGTATGGCAAACGCCAAACAGACCTCTCCCCGGATCCCAAACCACCTCCACCCCGTATTCTGCCCCCGCCGGCATCGGGGGCTCCCACCAGCATTCAACTGCAGCCTTGTATGGCGGCGCCGCGGCGCTCGCTGGGGCAGCAGCTGGTGCTTACGTCTCTGGCCACTCACACCATCAACACCCATCCGGCCAGCTTCAACCCTCAACGAACCTGGCAGGACCGGCCCACGGATATCCTCTGTCACAAAATACTCAGATGCATCATGCCCACCGACATAAACATCAGGGACTTTTTGGAAGGTTTATCGACTGGTGGCGAGATCCCGAAGCAGTAGCGCGATTCGAGGAATACACCGAGACAATTGGTGTTTGTAAATATTGCTTCGATCCTATGAGCTCACCCGCCGATGCCCCCCGCAGGCACGACTATCGCCGGCGGAGACAGTCCCCTGGGAACCGGTATGGGAGTACAACACGGGTAGACAAGATATATAGGCATAGCTCGGATGAAAATCTACGGAAACACTCATCTATCAAGAAGAAGATGGCAGTTGGAGGCTTAACCGGCTATGGGGCGGCGAAACTCGGGCAAGCAATCACCAAACAGAAACACGACTTCGATGACACGTACTCTGTGAAATCCGGGCGCCCGGTGAATCAGAGCCGAGTCAGTTTCCAAGAAGAGCAGCAGTTTCAGAGGTACGATGACGCAGGTTTTGAAAGACCGCAAAGCCGCCAGAGAGCAAGCAGAAGCAAAACATCCTCGACCCAAAGAGGTCATCACGGCCGTCGATCAAGTTCATCGTCCTCGAACTCATCTTCTCGTCCAATTTCTCATGGCGCAGCATTGAGTGCTGGATTAGGCGCCGCTGGGGTTGCGGTTGGTGCTGCAGCCCTCAACGCAGGGTTCCGTCGTCGCAGTAAGAGCAGGAGTCGATCACCAAGTTCGAGAAAGAAATATTTTTCCAAACGAGTATCTCCGATGCATTCATATGTCGACCTCTCAGCGACCAACGACGCGGCAGCTGGTGGTCTGCTGAGCTTCTTCACCAGCCCATCGGCCAACTCAAGGAAGGGCAAGAAGCCAAAAGGCCTCTTCAATTTCTCAAATGCCTCGAGTTCCTCATCTGACGCAGATCTACGATTTGGAGAAGGGACCGTTCGCAGAAAGACCTCCAAGAAGCGACTACGAGAAAGACAGGGCAGGCAGCATCGGAATGACTCCGTGACTGCGATGGAAGACCTAGTTAATACGGGAACTGCCCTTGCTGACGAGGCCAATTGGAGGGAGCGGAAAGGTAGGCAAAAATATGAGGCTGACAAGCATACAGGTCTAGGCGGTAGGCTTGCAGATGGACGTCGAATCTCCATGGCCGATCACGAAACTCATGGCGGACCCGACGATGAATGGTATGACACAGATGGCGGAGGCGACTCTGAAACCAGTGTCGATATGGCAATGGCATATGGTGGAAGGTCCTCCGCTTCCCAGAGCCGAGAGCATCTCCCTCAAGCGGGTCGAGCATCAGTACCAGGCTACAACTTCAGGGAAGCAGATCAGAGACAGTACCATAACAGTCTGGGACAGGCAAACAACGGGTCTGCGCCATCGTTCCCGATCTCAACAGTCGAAACGGCCGCTCTAGCGGGCGCAGCAGGGGCTCTGGGTGGTTGGACGGCTTCTAATGCGCTCTCGCAGGAATCGAAACCGCCAACTTACAGTGCACTGGATCCGATGCGTGAATTAGAGCCCAGACCGCTATCTGATCCTCCGTCAAAAACTGCATCCCACGAGCCCACCAGAGTATCCTCAACGACTGTGCCCCTACAACAGCCTCAACCAATGGTCCCCCTCGCACCGTTCATCGACCACAATATCTCAGAAGGGATCCAATTTGGGGAACAGACACGACAGACGGGACGAAGAACGTCAAGCTATACCGCGCGAGATTCAAAGCCGGCCAAGATACCTTCTCAAGGCCCGAGAAGCAGCGTTAATTTCAACTCGAGCGACGAGCAGCTTGAGAGCGGAGAACGCGCAAGCGGCCGGGACAAGAGGCGGATGGTCAGTTTTGGCGAAAACGATGGAAGAAAGCTTGACGATGCTGCTATCTCCATGGAATCTACCCAAAAGCCAGCCGTGTCCTTGCGCGATGAGACCTCACCGAGGCCAAAGCGATCGCACGATGTCCGTAGTAGCTCTTTCGACGCCGACGACCGAGTCGCTGAAATCGACCGTGAACTGGAGAGACTCTACCAGGAGCACCAAAAGGCTGAAAAACGAAAACAGGAGTCGGGGCTAAAGAAAGCTGTTGTCGGTGCGGCAGCAGCTGTGGCCGTAGCCTCTATTGCGAGTAAGGGTAACAAGAGCAGGTCGCGCGAAGAAGATACTCCCACCCGAAAGTCCAACTTGAAGAAGACAAGGGAAAAGGATGCGACCTCATCACCCGAAACGCAGCAGGAAAGAATCGCCAGGATGGCGGCTCATCGAGTTCGTTCAACGCCTTCTCCAGTCCAACATGACGACTACAGTGCCTTCTTCGTTCCCACGGAGATCAAAGAGCATCTCAAAGAACACAACGACAAGTCTGAGCACCGAGACGACTTTGGAGCAACTGTGGTTGAAATCGTTCCCGGAGTGCCCAAACCTAGCAGCTCACATCCTTTCGACCCCTTTACCTATCGACAGTTTGGTCTCGAACTGGATGATGATCCTTTGTTACACCCTTGGCCTGTTCCAATCCTTGCATTAGTTGAACCCACGCCGCCCGGTAGCCGGGTCCAAAGTGTCAAAGGCGACGAAACGCCCATCATTGAACCCAAATCGAAAGAGGAACCTGATGATATTGGAGAACCACTCGAGCGAAGGGAGTCCAAAGTGACGTGGGGCAATCATGACACCTATGTCTACGATGTCGTGACGCCGGAATATGAGCGCTCTGACTACGGACCTGATACACACTTGCAGGGCCAGAAGACTACAGGCATTTCATCTCCGGATGACGTTACGGAAGAGCCAATTTCAATCCCCGAGGAGTCGCAAGAGCGACCAAGCCCAAGCCGAGCCTGGACATTAGATGAGAAGGAAGCAGAGAAACTGGAGAAGGAAGTCCCCGTCGTTGATGACAGACCTCAGATCAGCCGCGCATGGACAGTTGATGACAAAGAAGCCGAGGAACTAGTCCAAGAAATTCCAGAACGCCAGCCAGAGAATACCCCTGGGAATACTCATTATGGTACCGAGGATCAACACAATCCTCGAGATACTACTTCCTCTATTAATGGTGGGACTGAAGAGCGGCACGGAGATTATTTCCCAGCAGAGATGGACGAGACCAGCGGAAAGAAGGCATTTTATCAAACCCCTTTTCCTGAAACAGTGAGTGATCTGAGCCCCATAGGGGGTTATCCAACCACAGTCTCGCCAGAAACTAAGTCGAGAACTGTCCTCGCTTTGGAAGATGGGGGCGGGAGAAGCGATGAGGGCATGCGGGATAAGGACAACACGTCTACGGCTGTTAGGCTGAGCAAGAGTGACCGACGTCGTCGAGAGCGTTCCAGCTCTTCTGCCGATGCATTTCGACCGTTTCCATCACATCAAGATCCTTCTGGGCTTTCGGAAGACCTCACTCCTGCGCAGCCATTACGTGTCACCGACAATGACCGCGACCTCGAAAATAAGAGCGCTGCAGGCGGCCCCTCTGCTTTGGGCCTGGGGATAGCCACGTCTGTCCTTCTCGCTACAGACCAGGTGATGAAGGACAGTGCTCAACATGACGAAAATGATTCAGCGAACGGAGGCAAAGATCAGTTCTCGAGACCCGAGGGGCTGACTACACTCACAGACCGAAAGTCGCAGCATCCACGCTCAATTTCAAAGGGGGGATACCATTCAGATCCAGAAGAGTGGGAGCATTCACGGGAAAAGCCAAAGAGGTCGAAGACCGGCTCCAAGAGCGAGGTTGGCGAGAAAACAACAAGAAAATCTAAGTCTAGACGAACGGCCGACAGTGCTGACTTTGAGCCGCTTCGGAGATCCCGCACCGACGATGATCTCTATGAAAACGAAAGATCTGGAAGAAGCCCAAGGTACAGCAATGGCGATCATGATGAAAAGCCAACCATTAGCCGAAGCAGCAAGGGTGAAGAGAGAACGTCGCGGGGTAGACTCCGAAAGGACTCAGATGGATACCATGAGAGTGACAACCGATCTGTCGCAGGCAGCACGTCGGACTCAAGAACGAAGAAGGAATCCGGTGGCTTTTTCAGCAACCTCTTCTCCAGCAACAAGAGCGATGTCAGTACATCTAGTAAGAAGAGCTCAAAATCTTCCAAGTCAGAAAGTCGAGCAGATCAGGATCGATATGACGGATCCGAGTCTCGAAGGAAGCGCAGGTCCAAGGACAAAGCTGGGTTTGATGATGTCGCATCTGCAATATCCGAACCGCCCGGAAGGAGTCGACGCAGTCCAGATCGTCAAACCGTGCATGATGGTCAGAAAGAGGCCTCCAATGAACAAACTGTCGACGACGGATTCGTTTCTGCTGAAGAGACCGCTGGAACACCAGTTAAGGACATTGCAGACCAGGAATCTTTTTTAGCAAGTCGCCCCGAAATGCCACAACCAATGGTCATGGATATACCAATGGGTTCTGATGGTGTCTCGGGGCCAAGATCCGAGAGAGAGACATCTTCAACCCCCAATACCACTGCTAGTATTCATGCACAGGGAACAACCTTGTACACAGAGGGCGAGCATAATGCTGCATCACTTACGGCTTTGATCGAAGGTGACCGTTCTGGGACTCTGCCCACCGAGGCAGGAGCTGGTGTTGTGGAGGAAATGCAGAGCCCCGAGGAGCGTTTTTCAGCTCCCTTTCCCCCACCCGCCACCTCTCGACGCCTGTCTGCTATACGGACAGGCGATATCCTTTCCAGTCCAATGGTGGCCAGCTCTCCAACTGCTGTACCCCTGCATTTCCGACGCCCTCCTATATCGCCGACTAACCAACGCTTTTCAATGAGCTCGCCCGTTATGTCACCAAGTTCGCCGCTGACCACCCCTCGAACCCGTCAAGGAAGGCCAAAGTCGACGGAATTTCGTTCCAGCAAGGAATTCCGGCCGCTGTATCTTGTAGAGAGACGAAATTATGCAAGAAACCCGGCATCTGAACTTGCTGAAGAATATCCATCGTTGCCATCCAGCAAAACCAGCTCCACACATCCGTCTATGGAAGATCTTCGGGCGGAAGCCCATTTACAAGACCAGCCCGAGTCTTTCACTTCATCACGTATCAGCTCCGAAGTTTTCCGTGAACACGGCAGGCGGCACAGTTACTCGTATTGGCATGACGGCGAGAAGAGGCGAGAATCCCCAGACTATCTAGATTCTCGATCAGCCACGCCAGTGCCTGGTGAAGCACAAAGGGCTCGTGACCAGGAAAAGAAGCCCAAACCGAAGTACGAATTTCACTCACCAAGCGAACTACTGCAAGATCCAGCCTTCTTCCATGACGTGGTCCCAGTGGACGAGGATGTTGTGCCTCATAGTCCACTTCCCAGCGTCGCAAGTACGGATGCCGACCAGGACTACATGAGTGCGCGAAGTAGGAGCCTATCTCCCACAGGGACGCGAAGTCGCAGTAGGGGTAGAAGGAGCGCTTCGACCCCGAGGTCAACATCAGCCTCGTGGCGGACCGGAATCGCTACCGCAGCCGCTGGTGCTCTTGTCGGCTCTGCTTTGGCAGCCGCCGCCCATCGGGGACTCAAAGAGTCACAGGAAATCCCTGGGGAAGAAGCGGAAACGCCCAGGAAGCCTGGATCCTTAGCAGAGGTGTTTACTGAAGTTGCGCCAGCTTCCGAGCCTAGAGCAGTGAACGCGACAGGAGCTGGAAATGAAACAACCTTCCAACAGCCGTCTGAGGACAAATCGACCCACACAACTAGTGATCTGCCTCGAGACGATCTGCATCGAGACGCAGAATCCCAGGCCCCCACCAGAGGAGCCTTGAGTTCTGACGCTTGGCGAGACGTCTTCACGGCGATTCACAAGCGCAGGATTGACCCTGACGTGATAACAGATCGTAACACCGCAGTTAATACCGAGTCGGACTCCGGAAGCTTACAGAAACCATATGCCCACGATCACGTATCTCCATCGAAACTGGAAGGAATGGTCCTGGCGCAGTCGTGGGATGGTCTCCCACTTGACCCCAGTGAAGTTGCGGAGGAAAGCATAATCAGTCCTGAGAAGGTAGCAAGGCTCGAAAAGGAATCTGGAGAGAACCACGAGGCAACTTTGCTTGCACAGTCTACGGCAGTTGAGCCTTTTCACCGAGCTCTAAGTCTCGAGAAGCAAACTGGACCCATTGAAGGCTCACAGGAGGGTCTCGGGCTTCAAACGAAAAGTTTCGAAGAGGAAGCAACGCGACCTAGTGACGGACTGAAGTCGCAGGAAGCAGCAGACAGTATTGAGGGCGCACGGCTGACCTCCAGCGAAACCTTCCCACTGATGGTGCAAGCGAACAGAGAGCAAGCCGATGTTGAAACCAACAACACAGAGCCAAAAGACGTATTTACATCGGACATACAGGATGTCGAAGATTTTACTTCTGGAGTCGATGACGCCTTTGAGGATGCAACAGACATGCAGCCGACAGGGACTGCTCCAGAATTAGAGTCTGAGACACTTGCACAACCTGAAGCCGCTCATACTGTCGACGTCGAGGAGCAAAATGTAGCGTCTGTCCAGGCAGCCCCAGGGCGATCACTTGCAGGGGATGAAGCATCAGACACCGCACGACCAAGCCTAGATCCTCTAGAAGAGGCATTCAAAGAAGCCATGGAAGCTCGCGGCTTGACTGCAGGTGCAACCGTCGAGGCAGCCTATCAAGCATTTCAACCGGAGATTCCTGATGTTGGAGGTACCCAATTGTCTACCATTCGAGAGGAAGGTGAAGCCACTGCCTCTTCTAGCGAGCAAGTCTCTGGGTCAACTGAGAGAGAAGCGCCTTCCGGAAGTTCCAAGAAAGAGAGACGGAAACAGAAGAAAGCAAAGAAGGCGTTAACATTGGATAATCCGATGGAATCAGACTCTGCACCTGCAGAGGTTGGTCACAGCCTACAACCTGCAATAGAGGAAAGGCAAGATCTCCAGACAGGTGAGCCAATTTTATCTGGGGAGCTCACTAAAGAGCCCAGTCCGGCAGGAGAGACCCCAAATCCGTTTGGTGATGACTTCGAAATTGAAGCCAGTGAGTTGAAAGTGCCGCATGGCGACGTCAAAGCGGATTCAAATGTTTTCGTGGCGCCTGGCGCTGCAATTGGCAAGATTGCTTTGTCATCGACACCCGACGACGATACCAGCGTTCCAAATTCAAAGAAAGGCAGAAAGGGCAAAAAGGAAAAGAAGAAAAGGTCCCAATCGTACAGTTGGGATGATGTTGACCCGACCCAGCCTGGTGAGTCTGCCCTGGCTGTTGAGCCAGCTGCTCAACAACAGCCTAACGCTATGGCCGCCTCGGATGAGCCCGCGCCGGCGATCTCAGAAGGGCCTGGCGCACCAGAGATGTCCGTTGGCTCTGCAGATACAGTCCAGCAGGAGTCAGATTATGCCCCAGAGATGAGCTCGAAGTCGAGCAAGAAGAAAAGGTCTAAGAGAGCGAGTGTTCCGTTCACCATCGAGGAAACAGCTGGACAAATATCCGAGGAGCAACCTGCTGGGACCATGCTTTCTCAAGAATCACAACCAAGCACAGATCAAGCAGCCCATATGCCAAGTCAGACAAGAGAACCCACTTTCACGGAGCAAATGGTGCGAGAACAGGTCCCTGTCAAAGAAACTCGGTCGGCTCCCGAGCCATTTGTACCGCAAGCCATTCGTGTTACCTCTGGTGTGGCTCCGATTCATTCTTCAGTGGACATTTCTATCCCAGAAGTCGCCGGGGATAAAGCACCGCAAACTCCCGGGGCCGAGGATACACAAATCGGTGCTTCTCTGGAGAACAAGTCGGACCAAAATCAGACGTTGGATGTCTGCGCCGCCGCGGACTCATCTGAGGCCGAAGTTCCACTCGCAAAGCAACAGCTTTCTGGAGACAATGCCCGAACGTCAGCAGATGAATCAGAAGCCGCGGGTCCTCAGATAGCGCCAACAGATGCCACTGTGCTGGTAGATCCCGTCACTTCGACAAATGAGACGAAACAAGAATTGAAAGCGGTAGATACATCCCTTGGACTTGTCCCCGAGGTGGGCGTTGCACAAGATGAAGACGCTGGAAAGCATCTGGGCCTGGAGTTCGAAGCTAACCCTGCAGTCGCTGAGGGCGAGCAGGTTCACGATAAACAGGAGATTGCTGCGCCAACACTGCCAGCAGTTGTTGAAGAGCGCCCAGAAGAACTCCTTACAACTTCAAACTATGACAAAGGCCCGGCAACCGCTCAAACACCTATCAACGAAACCTCTCCTGAAGGGCCGCCGGCACTCGAGGACGAAGATATCTGGGGTTCCGCTACAAAAAGGACGAGAAAGGATAAGAAAAAGAAGCGTGCCCCTGCTTCAGATCATGCCGAGCAGTCGAAATCTGTTCAGAAAGTTCCTTTCTCAGACGAAACTGTGACAAAGCCAGGATCCTCTGGTGCTCGTGGGGACAAGAAGGACACGGAGATTCCAACAGCTCCGGAACCGACCGGAACTCTGTCTCTAGAAGATTCAGAGTTGGTCGAGTATGAGCCTCGCCAGGATGAAGATATGTTCCCGGTGACGACGACAAAGTCAAAGAAGGATAAGAAAAAGAAACGTGCTAGCGCATTCGAAGGCACCGAAATACCGTCATCTCCGCAAGAGGGAGAGATCGCAGGCAGTATCGCGAACTCCAGTATCCCAAAGGAAGGTTCAACGACAGAGGCGCCAACAACTCAAGAATTTGCCGAGGTCGAGCCCGGGCCCACAACATCTCTGGGTCGAGAAGAGCCCCAAGACGATATTGACGGCTTCAGCTTCAGCTTCAAGAAAAAAACAAAGAAATCCAAGGCAAAGGCCAAAAAGCAGCGTCAATCCTTACTTGATGATGTAGCTGGGTCGGCCGACGATGCTGGAGCCGAGAACGATAAGCAGCTCCCGACAGTCTTACCCACCACACCTGCGGCACAAATCGAAGGTGCAGGCCTAGCTACGCATCCGGACAAAAAAACAGAAGCGGCCCAAGATCTGCAATCTGGAGACGGCAAAGCCAGTCCGAATGTTGAAGATTTGAACACAGGCGCTGTTCCGCAACAACCAATATCTGTCCTCCCTACAGAAATTGCGGGGAGCAATGAGGATGCTCCCGAACCAGCAGACTTTGCCATTGACTACCATGTCGACTCACTAGCATCGCTTGATGTTCCGAAAGAGATGCCGCCTGCCCCGGAGCCCAGCCTTGACAAGCTGCCGGATGAGGCTCTACAGTCCGATGAGACCACAGGGGGCGAAGCTAAGGTCATTGAGTCTTTCGCAGACGGTACCGCTGCTCCTGAGACATCAACTGTCGAAACCACCAAGGCAAGCATAATTACTGGATCCCGGGTGGTTGAGAATCCCCCTCCAGAGACAGCAGCCCTCGTATCTCCTATTGAACCTACCGCCGAGCCTCCTACTGAGCCTCCAACAGATCTCGCTAACGAACCAACTACTGAACGCACCGCTGAACTCATCTTTGAACCTACTACCGAGGCAGCTACAGATCATATTTCTGAGTTTACTGCTGAACATCCTTCCGAGCATCCCCCTGAGCTTAATGTCGACTCCGCCGTCGAACCTGAGCCTCTTGTCGAGCCTATCGCTGAAGCAGTTGCTGGACCTATTACTCAAGCGAGTACCGAAACTAGTATCGAAGCTCCCATCAAGACTTCAGCCGAGTCCACAACGGGGCCACTCAGCGAAGTTAATATTACAACGCCGACCGAGGCAATCATGGATACTCCGGCTGGGCTGGCGGATGAAGCCGGGGTCAAGGCTGGTAGCGAGGCAGTTATCAAGCCCCCTCCCAGCCGCGAACCCTCAGCAGTTCCTGGTGATTCTGAGCCCATGACAGAGGAAGATCTAAACTTTTCGAGGAAGCGCTCCAAAAAGGACAAGAAAAACAAGAAAAACAAACGCCAATCAACTCTTACGGCTGAAACAATCCAACCTGGTCCTGAGACTCGTGAGAACCATACACTGGCAGATGAACCAGAGCGAGACTTTGATGAATCCACTCAGGGTGATATCAGCAAGTCTGTTTTCCCCGAAGAAGACAAGCAAGACGCACCGGCTATCACCAAAGATATCGATGAGGAAAATATAGGGTCAACGTATGCGATGGCTAAGAAAGACAAGAAAAAGAAGAAGCGACGATCAACCCAAGTTGCCGATTCACCCCAATTAGCGACTAAAACAGACGCCACCGACCATTCGAATAGCAAATCGGAGACTATGGCCGAGTCTCGACCAGCTGAGACGGTAACAGGCGAACTAGGACCCGATTCAGAATCAATGAGTGGATCCGCTCTGGAGGCAACTCAGCCCAAGGGTGATGTATTGACTGTGGAAGGAGACTCCGAAAATATCCGACACGAGCAGCCTGAAACTAGTCGGCATGAGGACCTGGCATTCACGTGCACAAAGTCAAATAAGGACAAGAAAAGGAAGAAGCGACAATCCAACATCGAATCCGCAACTCCTGAACCGGCCTCTGAGATGTCGAGGGAAGAGGCCTTTCAGCCAACAGCAAACAATGTGGCTGAGCCTTTCACCATTGATGAGACACGAGCTTTGGAAACAGTTGAAACCCTCGATGGGGAGCGCAACCTCCCCACTCCTGAAGATGAAGCTGAAGAAAGGTTGCCTTCTACAGACAAAAAGAAAAAGAACCGGAAGAAGGGCCAGAAACTGAAATTGGATGAAGCCAGCCTGACCCAAGATGGCGAACAGGTTGGCTTGCGTGAAGATCCCTATATCGAAAGCAATGTCGAGAACAGGGTCAAAGAACAGGATGTAAATCTTCCAGAAACGCAGCCGATACCTGGACCTCTTACTCGGCGAGAACCAGCTCCAGCGGAAGCAGAAGACCTGGTTGCCGATACTTGGACCCCAGAAGAGTCCACTTCGATTCACCTAGAAGGGCTTAGTCACCAACTCCAGGCGGATGACGATGTGGAAGAGTCGGGCAAGATACCAAAAGACTCCAAACAGGATGATTCTGATGTCGAAAAGTCTTTGCAAAAGGAATTTGTTCCGGTGAAACCCGTCCAAAACGAAGCTGAGCTTTTGAGTGAAGACGGTAGGCGGGTGCCAGAGATGGGGAACTCTCTTGTTTCAGCTCCAGAAGATCTGACGATCGCTGGGGTCGCCGAGACAGCTTCAACAGATCCGACTTTCGAACAAGCAGGTCTTTTCCGCAAGAAAACAAAGAAAGGAAAGAAGAATGCCCGTCAATCAACCGCTGAGGAGCTTGAAGGACAAGAAGCGGCCAAGCCACCCATGGGAGAAGATGACTCTTCGCCGATTCCTCTTGAAGCTGCACAGCCTGTTACCGAAACGGAGTGGCCAATTCCGAAGAAGTCGAAATCGAAGAATGGTAAAAGGAACAGCCAGCAACTTGTCTTGGATGACAGCGGCGCTGAACCCGCGCCACTCGCGCCAGAAATTGAGCCTGCAACCCTGAAAGGCTCGGACGAACCAATTCTACAAACCCTTCCCGCAGCACCTGATGTATGGGAAGCAATGACAAACCAGGGGGCCGGAATAGAAAATTGGAGCGTCTCCAAGAAGAATGGCAGAAAGAAGAAGCGACAGGCGACTTCTACGGACGTTGAGGGACTGTCGGGATCACTGGAGGCATCGACCGGTTCAACCCCCCCTGCCGAAAGTGAACAGTCAGCACGGAAACCTTCGTTCTCGACATTCGAAGGAGATGTTCTCAGCGCACCGCAAACAGAAGATCTGACCAAAGAGTATCGCTCCGATTCTGCCGTTGTCGATGCTAATTCGAAGTCGATTGGTGATACTGCACGACAAGATAAAACCCTGATGAATCCTACACCCACACTAGAGCGTACAATCATGGAGGTCCAAGATCCCGCGGAGGCTACAACTGGAGACGTTTATACGACCGCTCTCGCAGACATTGTACAAAGTGACAGCCAAAACTTTCAGCCAAGTAACCATCTCGTTGCGGATGTGCCCAACACAACGCTCCCAGAAGAGAACAGAGCTGATATTGATACTGTTATTCCGGACTCTCTAGCAAATGACGAGAGTCGTGGAACCCCTGTCCTCACTGAAGGTGTTGATGAAGTACCAACGAAATTGGACACGAACTCAGCGCATGTTGAAGAATCGTCGATTTCAGACGCTCAAGTGTTCACAGAAAGCAAGCAAGCACACAATACAGAGCGAGATCCGCCAGAGACGCCAATAACAACGCCAGCCGCACAGTCACACTTCAAAGAATCGGCTGGCCCAAATGCAGAGGAGCCATTCGGTATCGCGAAGCAGCGGTTCCAGGAAAACCTTCCACCCGAGCCCGCAACAGGATTTCCCAACAGGCGTCCGGAGGCTGAGACGATATCCACATCAGAGGTGCCCAGTGTAGCGCAGGAGGTGAACCAGGGGATCGAGGACACAACAGAAGAAGCTACTCTATCGTCGCGGCCGAAGAAAAAGAAGAATAAGAAACAGCGTCAATCCACATATGAAGAATCAATTTCCGAGCCTCACCAATCCGAAAATATGGAACACGAGGCTAATCCAGAGGAAGCGGAAACCGAGCCCGTCACCGAACCTGTGGTGGTCGATTCTCCAGAAAAATCTCGCAGAACCTCACGATCGAATGACGTTGCGGCCGGGGAAGAAATCATCACCTCGTCAACAAAGGCCAAGAAGGACAAGGACAAGAAAAAGAAGCGGAATATACTCTTGGTCGAGGACGAGGTGAATGGGCCACAGCCAACAGTTCGAAATGACATCGAACCAGCCGAAGAGGCGACTATTAGCGAAAGTCAGCCTGAAGCAGAAGCTACCGCCAAATCAATCTCCGCAACGGCTCTAGAGCTTGAACCCAAACCTGAACATGACGCTGCCGAGAAAGGCATGGAGAGATTGCCTGCACAGTCTCTAACTCCAGTCAAACATACAGAGGATGTAGCCCATGGAGCCTCAGATGAAACGCGAGAAGTCGCGCAGGCTTCCCCACCCGCTGCAAACGAGATGGGTGGTGTGGGCGAACCTTTCAAATCCAATGCTGGCGGCGAAGCCGCATCACACACCGAAACCGAATCTGGAACGGCGGAAGGAACAAACCAGAGCATACCCGAGGACATCCCTGCAATGGAGGAGCCTGACACTATAGGACCTGGCCTGTCTTTTAATAAAAAGTCTGAAAAGGAGAAGAGGAAGAGCAAGAGGAAATCAGCATTCGAAGAAGAGGAGCCGACGATCGATGTTGTTGATGGACCAAGAATAGACAATGAGGTGGAGATGCCGCAAAATGATGTCCCTGCAGCCCCTAACCAGTCGTCAATATCCACTGAGATCCAATCCGAGAGTGAATGGGGATTCTCCAGCAAAAGATCCAAGAAGAAGGGCAAACTAGGCAAAGCCCCGACAGCCACCGATGGCACCGGGACACCGGGCACGGCAACAACAAATTCCAACGAGGAATTCGCGTCCGCTATGCAAACCCCAATTCAACGGACCGCGTCACCCGAACTCATGGACTCTGTCAAGGCAGAACAAACGGCGCTCACTGCGCCCGAAGCCGGCACTGCTGATTACTTTACTCCCGCCCCGACCAAGAAGAAGTCAAAAAAGGACAAAAAAAGGAAGTCACTCCTTCCGTGGACGGGCAATGAAGATCAAACAACCGAAGATGCCTCCGGGACGTTGACACTAGCACTTCTTCCCGAGTCAGAAGCACCAAAGACAGGGTTAAACTTGGCAAGCGCAGCACTCGCCGCTGGACCGAAGCGTTTTGAAAACAGCGCAGAAGACAAGCACGAAATTTCAACGTTGCCCACAGAGTCACAGGTGACGACAATGGAAGACACTTTGGAATCAGATGCGAGAATCATTAAGCAAGAACCTCTTCGCTCCGAGGATGACATCAACGTCGCTGCAGGCACAGGCGAATTAATGTTTCAATCTGCTGGACTGGACGCGGCGCCCAATCAGTATGCTCTGAACAAAAAGCATGATCCAACTCCTATATCAGATCAATCTCCACCGTTGTCTACGAGTACTCAGCCTCGAGATGAGACACTGCCGAGCGAGATTGAAGTTGATCCGGGGCAGCCCAGCAGGAATATTGCAGACGATTCGCTCCCAAGACTAACGGAATCTACCGATATGATATCAAGTCCACCTGAAACCAAGACTAGTGCCGAGTCAGAAAACGATCAGTTAACTCCATCATTGAGGGAGCCTGACGACTCTCACGAGCACGACGAACCGTACGGGTTCGTCTCAGCTCACAGTCGGGTCCCAGAAGCGACCAGGTATCAGCAAGATGTGTTCGAGACTGATATGATCACTCCAGAGGAGCAATCGACTGCCGCTAAAATTGATGAAGCGAATACTATGACAACCACCACAATCGCAGCTTCTGAAGGTACAGACAGCAAAAGGGGACTCGAAGAAACTGATTTTGACACCAACAAAGACAATTCGAAGCGCAAGAAGAGCAAGAAGGACAAGAAGGACAAGAAGTCAAGAAAGAAAAGCAGAATCTCCGATGGGGCCGAGGACACCGAGCCGCCAAAGATAGAGCTCGATCAAAACGAGGCTCTAGAGCCTGGAGTCTTTGAAGCTGCCCGCGACGAGAGCACGGTGATTTCAGATGCCCCAGAGCAGCTCCCAGAGAACGCCGAGGATTTGTCCGATGTAAGTGCGACCACACGTGAAAGACGAAAGAGAAGGAGATCACCTCCGGCCTGGGCAGGAGAGGAGCCTGAAGACCTCCCAAGAGGTCGTGCGCTTACTCCACCACCTGAACACGATGATATCATGGACACTGCACTTGGCATTGCAGCAGGACTTGGCTTCGGTGCTGGAGAAAACGAGTCAACAAGAGAATCTTCGCGAAACGTGCCGTCGCCTGCCCGGCAACCCTCCAGCGGGTGGTCTTTTGCTAAGCTTGATCCCATTACGAAACTTGCCCATGCAGACACGAACCGAGACAGCGGTGTGCAGTTCGAGTCGCCGACACTGTCCTCTGGCCAATTTATAACCCAACGGGACAGCGGCTATATCCCAAGTCCTACCATCGGACACGGGGAATTCAGCTCTACCCGGGATAGGCAACCAGATATGAATCTACGTCCGCCTCGACCTCAATCGCCAACGAGCTCGACAGAGGACGTATCCAAGGCTGTCACGAGCAGACAGTACGTCGATCAGCCGGCTAGCCTGGAGACACCGAGGAGGAAGCCGTCGCCAGTGGAATCCACTTCGAAAGACAGATCCTCGGTGTTATTCAATTCATCTCCTGCCATGCCATCTCCGTTAAACACCGATATCCGAAGCAGAAGTCCTCAACCTATTGCAAGTCCCCTCCGGAGAAGCCCCAGCATCCATGGCCACCATCACAGCCGGGAGGAGCTAAGACAACAAAAGGCTAGAATTTCTCCACGCCACGAAGACAGTGACCAGCTTGCTTCCAATCTCATCGATCGATCAGCTGCAGCACCAGTGACTCGCGCGGCGTTCGACTCGCATTCGCACAACAACCCTAATCGCCCTTATTCGCCGGGTAAGACGACACTGAATGCGATCAACGAAGATGTACACGAGCCGACTTCCCAGGCGCATCCATTCTCAGATCCGCCCGCGTCTCTTACGCCTCGACATTCTGCGGAGAACGATAGCCTTGCTGCAGCTGGCTTGGTGGCAGCCGCCGGAGCAGCCACGTTTGCAGCGGCCAATGATGTTTCACGTGACTCTCCAGCTCCCGGCGCTAAATCGCTTGGCAGAACCAAGTCGCGAACTTCGTCGTTGCGCAACCTGCGCAGCGTTTCCATTTCCCCATACGACCCAGCCAATTTCGCGTCCGGGTCATCGCAAGGACCGATTAATACTCAGAGCGCCGGCAAGGCTGCCGTTCGTGAGAGGGAAATGGCAGAGATATACGTAAGTTTGGCACAATCTGATGGAATACTCTTGTTCCTAACAGCCTCGCAGGATGGCTACGGTTCCTACCCAGGCAGTCCCCGCTCACCAACGCGACCTCCAAGTATCCGACGGCGGCAGAGCATGCAGCAAATAAGAGATCTTGAGGCAAAGCTGGACCAGCTCGCCAGTGAGAACCGCTCCTTGGCCGAAGCAAAGATCGTCACAGAACAGCAACTCGAACAAGCTCACTTTGAACGCAACCGAAATGAAAATGCTACGGTAGCTTTCAACGCACAATTACAGGAGCGGGATGCAGATATCGCACGTCTCAAGCAAGAAGTGGCGTCATTGATCGCGGCCCACGAGTCGCTGAAGCAAGAACACGAACAGAGCTTATTCAGTCTCCGGCAAAATCATGAAGAGGCGCAATCACAATGGCAAGATTCTTTAAAAGAACTGGAAACCCTTCGATCAAGGCACAACGAGCTGTCAACTGGGATGGAATCCATTGTCAGGCATGAAATCGATACGGCTCTGAGCGAGAAGAATGCCGAGATTCAGCGACTTCGGGGAGATCTTGAAGCGTCAAGAGAGAAGATCCGAGACTTGCAATCTCAGATATTATCGAGAGGAGCAGACGATGTGGTTGTCTTCCATGACGAGGATTACTTCGATCAAGCGTGCCAGAAGTTGTGTCAACAAGTACAAGGATGGGTGTTACGCTTTTCTAAATTCAGCGATCTTAAGCTTTGTCGGACAACAAGCGAGGTCCGGGACGAGAAGATTGTCGACCGATTCGACAATGCGATACTAGATGGTTCCGATGTGGACGTCTACCTAGCGGACCGTGTCAAGCGACGAGATGTCTTCATGTCGGTGGTGATGACCATGATCTGGGAGTATGTCTTTACCAGATACCTTTTCGGAATGGATCGAGATCAGCGGCAGAAACTAAAGCAACTGGAGAAGAACCTTGGTGAAGTGGGACCGCAGAGCGCTATTCACCAGTGGAGAGCCCTCACGCTCACATTGCTCTCCAAACGGGAAAGTTTCAAAGCGCAGCGAGAAAGCGATACGGAAGCAGTGGCGATTGAGATCTTCTCAACACTGTCACGCTTCCTCCCTCCGCCACAGCATCTGGAGGAGCAGATTGTGGGATCACTGCGCAATGTCATGCGCACGGCCGTGGAATTATCGATCGAGATGCGCACACAGCGAGCCGAGTATATCATGCTACCGCCATTGCAGCCCGAGTACGATACCAATGGCGACCTGGCTCGGAAAGTGTATTTCAATGCAAGCTTGATGAATGAAAGAAGTGGCGAAACGACAAGCAATGAGGAGTTGGAGCGTGAACATGCCGTGGTGCGTATGGTACTCTTCCCGCTCGTTGTCAAGAAAGGGGACGACAATGGAGTGGGGGATGAGGAGATTGTGGTATGCCCTGCGCAGGTTTTGATCGCAAGACCAGATAAGGGAAAGAGAGTGAAGAGTTCGACGAGGCACGCTAGCGGTGGTAGCGATGCTAAGAGCTTGCGGGCCGTGAGCACGCACAGTCTTGCCATGAGTGGAATTGAAGGGAACGAGAACATGTTCTGATGGGATAGCACATGTTGATGGGTATTATCGGGAATCTGCTTTCATTTGCATGGCGATGGTGTTGGTGGTTGTCGTTGGAGGAGTATGTCCGATCGCAAACGCGGTCTCGTTTTCTGCTGGCATGGGATGGGGACAAGATTGCAGTTCCCAGCGTTCACGGACGACGATACGAATCTCTTTACATATCTGTCTAGATAGTGTACCTAATGAACGTGGCTATTCATGAGGAAGGACGTCATTGTAAACCACCTCCGTGGCGGGCATTTCTGTTTCGAGGAGGTTGTCGCGTGCGGAGTCGTCGAGGGACTGCGCCTGTGAAACCCGCCGTTGCCACACGTCATGGTCAAAGTGTATATCGGTCAAGCATTGGCTTTTGAACGAGCCCCCAGCAACAAAACCATCATTTGTACATGAGATCCAAAGTCCACTCCTTTACCACCTGTCTTTCTTACTTGTTTTATTTATCAGCTTGTTTTGGCCGGATTGGAATCTTCGTTCTGTCTGCAAGCCACTCCCAGACCTCCCTTGCTAGCCTCGCCTGCGATACCTCTTCATCGTTGAATGCATCCTCTCCCACCCCCCAATCGAGGCCAGTCCTCTAAAGCTACGCAGTCCCGCGACGAGAGCCAATCGAGTATGAGCGCCTCTAGAACCGGTCAACCATCCTCGTCTCAAGCACCAGGCGAAGCCCGACTCTCCACTGTCTCCACAGCCCATGTAGATGGCAAAAAGAAAAGAAAACACCGCGGAGGCAAAAAGAGGAGGAACAGGCGTCAGTCCTTTGCTGCCCCTTCAGAGACCTCTGCAATGCAAAGTGGGAGGGATATACCAACGGACGATCCGTTGATCGAAGAGGCTCAAGAGGCTCCCGGTGCACGTCCGCCCTTCTACCAAGCTAACAGAGGCAACATCAGTGATGACAGTCTCGACAGTGAGGCGCTCCTAGACCACCGAGACCAACCTACGTTACGTCCTCGGCGGGACAGTCGCATAACTCCCTTTTTTGCTACGTCGTATCGGAACTCGCTTTTCCCAAAACTTGATTCGGGCTCGCAAAAGAGACAGAGAACTCAGCCCGATGCTTCGAGTTCCAACGCATCGGACAACGAGGACGCCGATGACCGCACTCCCTTGGTTTCTGCTGGGCCAAAGCCCAAGACTCCCGTCGAGGCTGGCTATGGACTTTTTAGGGTCAGGTCTCATACGTCTACGCTGTCGTCGGCTTCGAAGCAACCGCAAAGAAAGAGGACAATCGGGACTCCTGGACACTCGTTTCCGAAGTCGGATCAAAGCTACGATGTTAACAATCCACCCTCTGTTCCCCCTAGTCCTAATCTTGAACCTCACTTTGGTGATGTCATGGTCGATGACGGCAACTTCCTCACGCGTTCACCAGATAGTCGAAGGAATCTCAATGTTGCCAACAAAGATGCGTTGATCATGATCGATGCCCATGGAGACAATGAACCGAACTCGGCACCACCGAGCCCCAGACTCCGGCCTGGTGGACTTCAACGACATCGATCATTGACGGTGCCAGCTGAGGAAGACGTGTGTTTTCCTACCGATGAGGTATCAGAGGTTGGGGACGAGTATTATAGCAGAACGCAGCCACAGGAACAGTATATCAGTGGCCAACGGCGAAAACGCCGGGAACGAGAGTGGCCAAACCTGTGGGTTCTCGACGAGTGGAGTCGAGAAGAGAAAGAGGCCAGGGAGGCAGGGGAACGGCGGGCAAAGAAGGTCAGCGAACCTGTTTTCGTCGAGGGCAGACTCCGGCCTCAAAAGAACGCCTGGCACCACGTCGAGGAGGACAAGCAATATAGATACACCTATTTCAACGAAGAATTTGAAAGCACGATTCACGCCGAGACGATATCGGAATTGGTACAGCCAGGTGGGACTTTTCGCGAGCTTTTCATCCCAGATCCGCCCGAGTTGATTGAGTCGAGTTCCGAGGAAGACGATTTGTTGGAGATCAGTCAGATCACGGAAACCCCCAGTGCACTGCAAAGTCCCAAAAGCACAACGGCCGTTGAGACCCAGTCGGGAATGCCCAGCATTGCGGAGACGACCCAGTTAAAAACTGTGGCCAGTGGAAAGAGTTCCGATAAGAGCAAGAACTCGGGCACGGCGACACCACAGAAGAAACCTGCTTCTGCTCGGCCTTCCAAGCCGAAGAAGTATGGTCCGAGACCGACTTTCTGGCTCGATGTGTTATGTCCAACAGATCAGGAAATGCGGGTTCTGGCGAAAACATTCGGCATCCACGCTCTGACATCGGAAGATATCATGATGCAAGAAGCCCGTGAGAAGGTGGAACTGTTTCGCAACTACTATTTCATCAATTATCGAACCTTTGAGCAGGACACCAATAGTGAGGACTACCTGGAACCCATTAATATGTTTGTCTGCGTTTTCCGATATGGTATTGTCACTTTTCACTTCTCCCAGATCCCTCACCCAGCAAATGTCCGAAGACGCATTCGTCAACTCTCGGATTATCTCATTCTCAGCGCGGATTGGATCTCGTACGCCATCATTGACGACATCACCGATGTGTACGGGCCGCTCATTACTCACATCGAAGAAGAGGTCGATACGATTGACGACTTGATACTGCGAGCGTTTCAACACACTGATGCTCTCGCCGGGGAGCATGGCCAGAAAAAATTCGACGAAAAGAAGTCAGATGCAGGTGAAATGGGGATCAGCGGAATCGACATGCTCATCCGTATAGGCGAATGTCGCAAAAAGGTCATGTCACTGTACCGACTACTAGGCAACAAAGCCGATGTCATCAAAGGGTTTGCAAAACGATGTAACGAGCAGTGGGAAGTTGCGCCCAAATCCGAAATTGGTTTGTACCTGGGCGATATTCAGGACCACATTTTGACCATGACGGGAAACTTGTCGCATTACGAGATGGTGCTGTCCAGGGCGCATGGAAATTACTTGGCCCAGGTCAGCATCCATATGAACGAGAGGCAGGAGAAGGTACGTCAGCATTCACGCCTCGATCCCATTGACATTGTTCTGATCAGTGTGCTAGACTGCCGACGTATTGGGCAAGTTGACCGTCCTCGGAACCATCGTCCTACCCATGAACATCGTGACCGGCATGTTTGGCGGCAATTTCAAAGTCCCCGGTCAAGACGTGGATAACCTGAACTGGTTTTGGGCCACCACGGCCGGTCTACTCATATTTGGAGTTATGTGTTTCTGGTGGTGCAAGAAGGTGTATAAGATAGTGTGATACCGCGAGTGACCTGTGTGGAAGAGATTCGGAACAAACGAAACAGGAGCCTTGTCTGAGATTGGATACAGAACGGACTCGGTTTGGTCACCTTGGACACGAAGTAAAGAACCAAGCAGCAAAAGCACGAGTGTATCATTCAACACTTCTGGGGAAGTTTTCCACATATGGCAATGTCAAGAGAACCAAAGTTTTGGTCGGATGGATGTCGTATTGTGCATATACATGCGGCCACAAAACGATGGCCGATAATGCTTGTACTAGTACTGAATACTCCGAATATAGAAAGGAGAAGGAGAACGATGCAGGACAGTCTCCAAGTTCAGGAGGCTACCGGCGCCTTGCAAACCAAGGACCAAAGGCCCACAGCGAGGGCCCAAATGGTCCAGCACGAGTTTCATGGCGTTGTGGTGAGGAGATAGTAAAAGGGGCGTGGGCAGTCATGAAATAGCGAGAAAGGAATTCACGGCTTCCCAGAGGCGCACACCAATATTTTGGGTCTGTCGTTGCAGACAATGGTAAAGGTGTCTGGATTAGACGATTAAAAACTATTTGGCTAATGTGCATCCGAGTCAAAGAACAGCCCTCGTCACGTCCCTCAGAATAGCCCGCCCACAAAACAAAAAAGCAATACAAAATGTATCGAGATCGTGGTATCCTGTTATCTTGTGCATGTGTGCCCGTCCGTACTCGCTCGCTATGTGATAAAATGAGAAAAGCAAACCTATCCAGTCATGAGTCCAACCCAAGTCGCTAAAAGAAGGATAAAGTAGCACCGTGTTTCAACTGAACAAAGCCCATGCCCACACTCGTTGGTTTAGAAGACGAGAATCTTGGGTCCATCACCCTTTCCGGCAGTCCAAGATATGGTATCCTCATCCCCGACGGGGACAATCTCTCCACCGTAGATTTGGCCTGCGATCATCGAGCACGGGAACTTGCCCTCGACAGTGGCACCAGGTCCGGAACCGGCTTCCCAGGATGCGCGCCCGTAGGCATTCACGTCGATTGTGCCGAGAGCTTGATTTCGCAGATTGCCCGAGGGCCAGCTCTCGCTATCGGCTGTGGCGGGAGCGATGGTCGTGAAAAGTTGGGCTTTGCCGGTACCGGTAACGTAGCTTGTTGGGTCACTGCCCAGGTCGAAGACCAGTTGACATTGATTACCGCTGTACATCCCATCAAGTTCAAATGTGACCAAGGTGGTAACGTCATTTCCATTGTTACTGTGAGTGCGGGAGACGAGGCCGCGGCTAGTATGAAAATCCACGGCACCAGTGGAAACAGTGTATTGGGAGGTGAAGTCGGGGATGATGGTGGCAATAGGTTGACCCTGGTTGCCGTAGCTTGGAACATTGTATGGCGAGCCAGAGCCCGAACCGGTACTCATGGGAGGGGCTGTCCTGGTTGAGGTGCCATTATTGTAGCTGTAGCTGCCAGACTGACTGCGAGCAGTGAGAGGAGCGGCGCTGGTAAGGGCAACAATGCTGAGGATTCCGGCGACGATTGATTGAGCGTACATCTTGGTCTGTTTATTCTTGTCGTCGAGTGGATATTGAGTATTGACTTAGACTTTGGGACAACTATTGAGAATGCGGGTTTCGTAGCTGTCTTTGAATGCTTGTTTGACTGAAATTAGCCTGGGGATTAGAGTGAGTGTGCTCGAGAGCCTCTGAAGTGAGGTGTGCTGTTTGATCAAAACAGGTTTGAATGAGTGTGGCAAGGAAATAAAACTCAGAGAGAGACTGGAAAGAAAATGAAAAGGAAAGTGTTGGTTTGAGCAGTTGCTTTGTCTGTAGTTGGATGTGGAAGAAGAAACAGGCCTGGAGCTGGAAATGTAAGACGGTCTTATAGAGCCAGAGACACCGACGGCACTCATGGTTGCGCTGGATGGGCAAACTCTTTGGGACAGATGCTTGTCCAAGGTCGTATGGCTGGGCGAACAAGATGACGAGTGGTAGTATTTTTGTCGAGGCGACTGCCTTGGCCTGCAGATGCGCAGCAACAAGGCTGAGCCCTGAGTGGCCGGAGCAGTGCGGCTAGTGAGGCTGAAGTACGAGGACAACTTGGAGCTCGAATCACAGTGCTGACGCCTCTGAAATAGGGCCAGCTCAAATGCAGGCGAGCCCCTCCATTGCCCATTTCACCCGCAGTGTTCCTCTGGGCTTGCTGAGAGCTGTGCCTAGCTTCTTTGGCGGTGAGTCGTGAGCTGCGAGCTTTGGTGCTGAATCTGGATGGTCGCACGCACCGACGAGCAGTCATTGGCATGTGTCCACCCCATCAATGAACCCAAATCCTGTCAAGAGAATCGCATACAACCAAAACCTCCAGATGTGTTCAAGGGGAGCTTGTGTGATTCGCTTGTGAACACAAGAAAGTTGAAAGCAGGTCACTGATGATGCCCGCGATGGTTGCTGGCCTTCCTCTCGCATATCGTAGAAGGTCGGCCCAGGGCTTGTGGCTGAGCCCGGGGGGCACGCTGGTCTCCTTCGCCAAAGTTCATTCCCGACTCCAGACGTCTCTATTCACAGCCAATTTCCCCCCAGAATGGTGGTTCGGCACCTGAAATTCATGGAACTTTTGCGCTGCAAGCTCGGTAGGAAGCCATATGAATTCCGATGCTGAGCGACAGTACCTACTGTCGTAGGTGCCTTTTGCCGGATTGCAGCCCCGTTCGAATCGTGACCAACCAATGCCAAATAGATACTGACCAATCCGAAGATATGGCCAGCTCACAGCACGGATTGCTGTGAGCTGGCCCCTCTAAGACCAGTTCCTTTTCATTCCTGTCACAATGCAACATCCTCCATTTCGGCCCCTTTGCCTTCAGCTTGAGACAGCTGCTGAGGACCACCTGATTCCTCCTCGTCGTCCTCATCCTCTTCCTGATCTGACTCAACATCTGGGGCTCTGCCTTTGCCCTTCGGTTCGACAGCTGTAGGTCCTTCTTCCTCCTCTTCCGCCTCTTCGTCTTCGCTTTCGTCTTCGCCACCCTCGGCAGGCGTCGGCGGCAGATCTTTCTGAGGGGGTGGAGTAGGCAAAACTTCAGGACCCGGTTCGCCGCTCACGGTACTATCTCGATCAGGGCTTTGTGGCGATTGTTCCTTGGGCCGTTGCGGCACATTGGCCTGTTGAGGGGCTGGCGGAGCTGGCGCAGTGGTGGTAGAGGGTCGACCTGCTGGCGCTGAAAGACTTGGATTCGACCCGATCTGTCTTTGTTTGGGATCCGCATCCAGATAATATCCACGAACTCCGATAATCTTGCCTTCTCTTTCACATCCTTCCACCCACTCAGGTCTGACGACAGGGATGTTCATCTCATTTGCTCTTTCCCAGTCACGACCCCGGCCTTCTGTGCAGACGAAATGGGTAGTGTCGATCTTGACTGTGTCATTGATCCTTGCGCCGATCCGTGAGATCGCTGCTTCGAGGCTTTCTCTCAGCTGTGGAGGGAGTATCCCTGGGGTAACAGTTATACCCGTCAGGTTATTCATAGCGTGAGTCTTGACAGCGAGAGTATTGCTCGTATATATGCCGCCACTGGTCTTGAGCACCAAATAGAACGAGTACTCCGTGTCGATCGCAAGCCCGCTCATTTTCGTGCTGAGCGTCTCTAGAGGGCGTGGTATGTTTCCCGCCTTGCTGCCGTTGCGGTACAGGGCAAGTGAACGAAGGGTCGTTGTTGCCAACTGAATGGGATCCCATTCGAGAACGAGGGAGGTTTGCGTGGCATTGCGTAGGCGCAAGAGAGGTGTCGCGGGGACATGAAGACCATAGGTGTTTAATATTTGCCTCTGTAGCGCAGCGAAAGCGGCCTGTGATTTCCGCTCTGCTTCGTGGTTTTGTTTGACCTCGATGTCCACAATCGAGCCCGATGTGATGGTAGAGGGCAGAAGGATGGAAGGAAACTCGATCTAAGGCAGGCGTTAGTCTGTGGACGGTGCGAAACAGAGGGCACCCAACTTACCAACCGCTTGTCCTGGGTGAGCAGGACTGCGACACCCGCATCGACCTTACCAACAGTCAAGGAAACCAACATCTTTTCGACGGCGAGAGATAACAATGGACAATGCACAAAACAAAGACCAAGCGAGCGACTCAACGGGCACGAAGAACTAATCAAGGCTGAACGACTATTGCACGAGGGACCTGTGTCGGTAATGCTGATCTGTTAGATTCAATGGACATCAATTCTTACGGTGCCATCGACGGGTGTTGGCCGCCATGATTCCGCACCAAAAGTTCCCGCACGTGAAACTCAGGGGCGGCTTCGTCCTCTTGTTGCTCGAAGATCGGGTTCCCTTCGAAATAAGGACTTGACACGCTGCATGTTCAAATCTACTCTGTGCCGCGTTCTCCTCACTCTACTTCATATTATTGCAGGGAGAGGTAGAGTCACTGAAATCTCTTCGGCTTTGTGTGCGCACGGGCAAATACAACGCTCCAACTCTGGGACGGCTTGAACAGAACAGACCTGATTCCATTTTTGCCATCTGTGATTGCTTTGGTCTTAACTGGCTTTTCCACCTTGGGACCATAGAATAACGGCTGGCTTATGATGGCCCAGTTGTTGTTCCGCCTCCTGGAACATCGCCTACACCGTCCACCTCGAAATAGTACATCAGACAGGGTCTAACAAACACCGAACAGGGCGACAAGACGGTCATCATGTATCCATCCAGGAACCTTTTCGGTTTCCTCTTTCGACAGTGGAATATTCGACGCTTTTCGGTGGCGAAGGAGTATGAGAGCGAGGGCCGGCGGAGGATACCTCGCTCAATCGAGCGTGAGTAATTCAGGCGAGGGACGGAAAGAGGGCTCCCTCGAAGGAACTTCGATAAAACAATAGGCACCCGTGGTTTAAGCTGATATGCTTGATTTGACATGTAAATTCTCCGCGCCGAACTGTGATTGTACAGGGTATCACATATTTTACAGATTGTTCCTTCAGAAGAGCTTTCGCCCCCAAAGTGACCACATGGAGGACGGCACATCCTCACCGTCTTCGGTGTCTGCTGTATCCTCTTGAGACTTCTTCTCTGCCGCAGAGTCGACACTCGTGGTGTCTAGGTGCTGTTTCTTTCGCTGTAGAGACTTCAGTAAAGCACCACATGCACCAACAAGCTCGCCGTGAGGACAGCTGATGCCACGTTCTGAGAAGACCAGGATTTCGAGAGTACCCTTGAGGCCGGGGATGTAGTTTTTGCCATCCTTGGGTCCAGAACGCTTCCTGCCGTTATGGTAGTATCCGGCTTTCTTCAGGGCTTCCGTAAAGGCACTGGCCCATCTCCGCTTGAGTCGATTGCGCAACACGGCCTTGGGGACCTTTTTGATGCTAGCATTGGAGATGACACGCCATCGAAGCACGTCTGGTGCAAGTCTCGAGTAATAATCTGTAACGGCGGCTCGTTTGGGGCTGTAACGGTCGGCTAGGAATTTGTGATCGAAGAGGGTGGGAACATTTTCGACGGGCGTATATCGCGCCTTCAGTCCGAATCCAAGAGCCTGCGGAACGGGGAGAGGCTTGAAGGGGCGAGTGGTGACAACGGAGGCCATTGGGTAAACATTTTCAACAGCGAGGAAATGACATTAGAACAAGCGGGCTCAGTTCGAAGCTATGGACAGAGCAGCAAGAGGGCCACGAGCACATGAGTCAATAGTAGCCACGCAGCGAAGAAGCAGGGTGAAGATTCTAAATTGTTGCTGTTCGCCAGCCGTGGACTAGTGGCCATGGAAAGTTGCCCCACGAATGATTGCCGCTTAATTCACAAACAACGTCAACCTGCGCATTTCTTTCGCAGTTTCTTCCACAAAAAGACAGTCTTTCTCGCACAATCCCCCACGTTATTAATTCTACAAACACGCGAGACCAGCCTCTCGCGACCCATCAACCACTTCGATCAAAAGCAAACACCCTTCTATTACTGAGAGCAGTCAGCCAATATGCCTAAGAATAAGGGAAAGGTTAGTCTATAGCCCCCTCGCACAAGCGCCACACACCGCATCGAATTTACCCCGCCACGATTCTGTGGTCTCTGTCCATGACAACAACGCAAAAATCACACTGGAAGCCAGACAGGCCTCGTTCTCTGACGGCAGTATGCTAAATTCTCGTCCTGACAGGGAGGCAAAAACCGACGTCGCGGCAAGAACGAAAATGACAACGAAAAGCGCGAACTGACCTTCAAGGAAGAAGGGCAAGAATACGCCCAAGTCCTCAAGATGCTGGGCAACGGCCGCCTCGAGGCCCTCTGTTTCGACGGCGAAAAACGCCTCGCCCACATTCGCGGCAAACTACGCAAGAAGGTCTGGATCAATCAAGGAGACATCATCCTGCTGAGTTTACGGGACTATCAAGACGAGAAGGGGGATGTCATTTTGAAGTACAGCGCCGACGAGGCAAGGTCTCTGAAGGCATACGGAGAACTTCCCGAGAGCGCAAAGATCAATGAGACCGATACCTACGGTCACGAGGGCGTGGACGATAATGTCGAGTTCGATGAGGACCGGGATAGTGACTCTGACAAGGAGGTCGATATCGACGACATCTAATGGACGAGACTATTTCTTGGATGCATTCACGGAGAATTCAGCAGGTCTGGAAGGACATGACTTGATGAGTCACGAGGCTGTATTGCCACTGTACTGCTTTTCTCCGAGCATACACACGAACACACCAGTATGAGTGCAGGTATGATATGATGGGAGTCTGGAGAATGGGTCTAGCTTGAGTTAGAGACAATCAACCACATTTGTGTTTCACGCGGATTATACTCCGAACTTGTGCTTTTGTGACTTGGTTGATTATTCCTTACTATGACCCCCCGTGGCCATCTATCATCAAACCAATCCTCCAAGTGATATCGACGACTATTTCCCCAGTAAAGCGCCGACCGAGGGTGCCGCTCATTCAATTTCACAAATGAAAGACCGCCGCCACAGCCACAGCCACAGCAGCTGTCCAGCCCGACGAATTCGGGCCATATTACAATATCAGGAACCCAGTAATAGTTTACATTAACTGGTCTTCTTCGTCACCAACTCTGCGAGTGAAGAACCTGACGATTTGTCGCCCCGACTCCTTACCAACAAGTGGATCCAGCTCCTCAAGGCTCATGTTAGCGACTTCCAGCACGTTCTTGGCCTCAAGATACAGGCGACTGGCGTTCTTTGCCGTGACTCCAGGGATTGTCCGCAGGAGGTCTTGCGGTCCAGTATTGAATGTTCTCTCTTCCGGGTCCTCGTTCTCATCTAGACCAATCTGCACTGCTCGCAGTGGGTCCGGCTCTTCTTGCTGCTTCTTGAGTTCTTCGAAGATTTCCGCGGTCTGGTAAGGCGACGACGCCCAAATGACCTTGAGTCTCGGAAAGGCCAGTGTGAGAAGCACCAATTTGGTTTGCAGATCCCTGGTCTCTGCATCCGGCGCCTTGAGGACTGAAGTCAAGTCTGCAAACGGGTCTAGGGTGAAAGATTTATTCTGGTCAAATTCGATAAGCAGAAACGGATACTTGTAGTACTGGAGCATTGTCTCTGCTTGGTTGAAGAGTCGGCCATTCTTGAAAGACGCAATTAGATCTCGTATCGACTTTCGTTCCACGCAGATATCCGGTGACAGGACATAATCGCCAACTGTCAGTTGACACGGGACAATTTGCATGCTTCGGCCGTGCAGTAAGCTTGGGAGGGATGAGCGGAATTCGCGAACGTCCACCACCACTCTCGGAGGAGCAGCCGTGGCCGCGAGTCTGCCACCGCCCGCGATTCGAGTGTTGACCGTCCGCAAAAATGCTTCTTCGGGGTCCAAATTTCCAGCATCTGTAAGCGTGACGGCCATGCTACCTCGCTCCTTGATAAGTCTCGTGAAGGCATCTTTTTCCCGACGAACTGCAGATAGGTATCGCTGCTCTTCAACGCTCTTACCATAGTAAAGGAAGTACACACGTACACTGCGGTCCGAGTGACTTGATCTGTAAACCTCGACTCTCCTGATGAAGTCCGCCGATGGGGAGTACATGATGATGTATTTCGGCCTGACCTCTTCGAGAAGTTGGTCATCCTGGTCGCCGTCGTATGGATGAATCACCACTTGGTCCTCCGGGCTGTACAGTTCGAAGAAGTCTTCTCCAGCCTCATTGAGGTCCTCAATCACGATATCGTCCTTTTGAAGCGCTTCAGCGTCTGTGGGACGCAGCTCTGCCAGTAGACCAGCTACTTGCGCTGCTCTGTCCTCAATGATAGCCACAGCACCATTGGCAGTGCGGGAGGGGTTGAGGCCGGAGGCACCTCCGCCTCTCATGCGCCTGCGTTTGCTGGCGGGTGCTTTGCTGCCGAGTCGAGCAGATGTGGTATTATTTCCCTTGATCTCGTTCAGAGACTTCTGATTCTCCTCAAACAGTGACGCGCTGACTTGAGCGAATGTCTTTCTCCACCCAAGATACTCTCGAAGTTTGCGCCTCAGCATGAATTCTGCGGAGCCCTTGGCTTCCAGTTCCTCCACTTCATGAGGAGCTTGCCCATTGTTCGGCTCTCGAGATAGAGGTTTCACGTGCATGGACTGCAGATATTCTCGGATCTGACGGCAAGTCCCTTGATCATTGCACATCACCAACACCGTGTCATTCGAGTCACTCCGCATTGGATTTAGGTAAGCATCGGTCTCAATCTCCTGCAGAATTTCCGCGAGGACAGCCCATTTCGGTTGTTCTTCAAGGACCGGAGTCAGAGAATCTGGTAACTTGGATGTGGGTAGAACGCTACTGTCTTCGACTTTGCCAATATAGACCCGGTCCCTTGCCGAGTTGAATATGACTGAAGCAGCATCCATAAACAGCCACGGTGATTGATCTTGCTGTTTAGAGCTTGGAGGAGGAGAATGTGTTGCAAGAACAGTATCCAGATACTTCAGCAGCGAAACACAGTCATAGCTGAGAAGAGAGTGTAGAATCGTTCGAAGCACGGTAAGGTCGTTCGCGATCTGTTTCGTTCGCCAGCTTACTCGGTGCCACACGGGGTCTAGCTGTCTGCGGACTATGGCGTCAAAATTTTGGTGAAGAGCAGAATCAAGTGTCCAATCATCCATCTCAAGCCCCGAGTTGGCCTTTTTCAGTTCCGAAATACTCATCTCCACGCATTCCATGACAGCTTGTTGTATTGCTTTCATCGAGGCTGTCATCTCAATCTCCAACTCAATGACTTCTGCCTTCTTCTTGCCTTCGAGGCTCTGCGCAATCGAGACATGGAATCTCGGCCACAAAGACGGCTTCCTCAGGAATAAATTTCGCATCATGCTTGCTAGAGGTGCATATGATGATGTCAGAGGTTCGGGAGAGTCACTGAAGGCCTTGAGAAATCCGATTTTGTTATGCTGTCTGAAACATCGTACAATAAATGCTTCGGTGCTGGTTGCGACGACACGGTCCGCATGAAGGATAACCAAGCCAGTCACGGTTTCTGGATCCAACAACTTGGAGAGAAGATCAACCACGAGGATCCGACTGGTGACTGAGACAATTCCTCCATCAGCGTAGATTTTCTCCCTCGCTGCCACGGTGGCTTTGTCCGTGTTTATGACACGGAGACCTTTCGCTTGAGGACTCCGAGACACGGCGTAGTGCTCGGCCAGTGCTTCGCCAATCCATTCATTTTCACGGTCCTCCGCCCCAACGACTATGACGAGGGAGTTGCCTGCCGCGTCATATGAATGGAGTAGGTTTGTGACAATCTTAAGAAGACCAAGCCCCCGAGCCAGGATGACAAGAACATCCTCGGTGCGAAGGAGCTGATAGATCTCCTGCTGAAATTGCTGCAAAAGATGTCAGCGACTATCCAATTTGCGATTGACGAATGTGTCGAAGGACTGGTACACTTAGGCATCATAAAACCAGCATAAACGTACCAGAGGAAGCGAAAGCTTGACCGGCGGCTGTGAGGTTGCCGCCGGCATGATTACATTATTGTCCTTTGTTCAAGGGGAAGTAAAGCAACTTCGGTGGATGTCGAGAGAGGTTCTAGTGGCAAACAAGTCCGGCAAAATACAGCCAAGGCTGGCTCGAGAGCCCAGGCTCCTGGGGCGGCAAAAGTATTTATGCTCCGCCGAAAGTAATACGGTGGGGCTTATAGCGGCAATATGCAATATCATTTCTCGTGAATTCAAAATATCGATCTGGAAACCCGAAGCCCCATGTGCTGACTGGCTTCTGGCTTTCAGCCGGTAGCTATGTCCTGTTTTTCCAATCCATCATATGCTCATTTGGGTATCTGAAATTACAAGCAAAGATGACCACAATCGTACAATCATAGCTTCGGCAATCGGAAGCGGCGCATTCGCATGGCATATAAAGTGCAATCATCAAGTCTCCCTCTTTTCTGACTACCTGGGGATATACTCTGGCTTCTTGTATCGGTTAAACTGTGGCGGAGGCTCTTCGTCGTCTGGATATGGCGGGCGAGGAGCACCATTTGGCCTCCCGGGTGAGATACGTTGAGGAGGATAAGCAGGATAGACATGATCGTTGATTGGTGTTTTTGGAGGTCTTGGAGGTGGTACCTGTGACTGATTGTATGTTGAGGCCGGAGGTGGGAACTGAGGTACGACCATCTTGTCATCCCTTCCTCGATACGGTAAATCGCTAGACAGGCGCGGTGGAGGTGATTCCCCTGGAACCAGGACGAACTTGTCTTGAGAGGATGCCAGATGATCAGGGTATGGAGGATTTCCAGGGACGCGATAATGCTGAGGAGGAGTCGTCGGGTACATCTCTTCATCCGCCGGCAACTCGACCGCTGACGGGTGAGACGGCACTGGAGGTATGTTATTCGGTCTCAACGACCAGCTTGACTCACGGGCGTATGCGTCTGACTGATGCTCGTATCTTCTCTTCATCAATTCAATTTTGGCCAATTTCGTTGCCATATCCATCAATGCTTTCTGAGTAGCAGGATCATGCAAATACTTCCTGGTGTTGACCGTCATCTGGGACAAATGCTGCCATTCGTTCATGGCGAATTCTCCGAGACCAACCGAGACGTTCAGGCGGCAGTAATTGTCGAGTGGGACGCCTCGCTTAGGCAGTTCTGTCTTGAGCATTTGCTGGTGGGTTTCCTCACAGCCTTCGATTTTGGCTATAAGTCGGCGCCTTGCTTCAGCAAAGGCGCCCATGCTGCCGCCGATGAAATCTTCCCACCATTCGTGTTGCCGGGCATTGGTCCCTTCGGGGCGTTTTCCTGTCCCAATGCTGACGAAGGCTCCTATTTCTCTACCCGGCCACTCGTTGACCGCGGCCTCTTCGAGTAGCTGTGGCGCCGGATTGAATTTGCCTGCGCCCTCGTCGATGAACACCGTCTGCCCGATCTGAATAGGTTTGAAGGCAAGACCCACAGCCGAAGTGGCTCTCCCAGCTTCCCAGATCTTACAGTTGTACTCAGGAGGTGGCTCTTTACGACTATCGTAGCTTCGCAAAAGGATCGAGGAACCTGTTCGGGGATTTGTGCCTTGATACACTGCGGTGACAGCACTGTTCTCAGTCAGTCATCGCTTGAAATGGTGTCGCTCCTTTGGCGGAACAGGGGAGACCACTCACGTCTTAGTTCGGTTATGACGGCTGTCGTAGAGGCTAGCATTGGCATTGCCCCAAGCTGGGAACGAGGGAGAGACAATGGAGGTGCGGAGTGGAGTTGCGGGACTGTTGATGGAATTGGAACTTCTGACGCTCATCGATCTCCTGACTGCGGTACTGGTGGTGCTGACGGGACTCGTCAAGTCTTGGAATTCGCGACCTCCGGAAGCTGTGCCGTCATTCCCTTCATCCTCAAAGAGCGTGTGCTCTTGAACACATAACTTGATAGCCTCTTCCAGTTTGGAGGCTTTGAATAAAGTATGCTTGTATGGAATGCCGGCAAACGTCTTGTCCGTCTCAAAGACTTTTCTTGTCATCCTCACATAGACAGCCTTGCAGGTTTCCAGGTCCATGCGCAGGCGTCCCAGCATAATGGCAATCAATCCTCCTGTGCCAGTGCCGCCGATGAGGTCGAAATAGTCGCAAGGCTTTGGGGTACCAGACTGTCGATCGGGTGGTTCTCCTTCGGTCACGACATAGACTCTATGCATGAGTTCTTGGAGGATGATGAGCATTGAATACCCGCGAACGCCGCCGCCATCTGCCCTCATCAGTATGTTGGGCGCAAACAAACTGGGGACTTAGAATCAAGAAATGCCCATACATACCTAGCGAGAGAACGCGCAGTGGCGGACCTTTTGTGGTGTCCTTGCGCCTGAGATTGTTCTGATCCATCTTCAGCGTTGAGAAAGCCACGGAGGGGAAAAGGAGAGTGAAGAAGGCGAGGGGGATGAGAAGCGCAGAGGGTTGAAGATTAATGAGTCGGCGGTACTACTTTGTCCAAAATTCAGCGCCTAGTTTGTTCGGATGCGTTTCTGGTTAGCAGGGCAAATCATCTTTGCGAGGGGCACTTTGCACCACGCCTCAGCCAGCGAGTGGATGGTTTTAAGCCTGACGAGTGAGACCTGTGACGTGTTGCCTTGCGTCGTTTGCCTAGCCGAGCCCCCTCCGCCTTGGGGGGGGGGGGCGCCCCTCTCTCTGTAGGCGTAGCATAAGGACTTGGAAAGTGATAGGGTCCCCACGTAGGTGCCCTGCCGAGTAAAGACGTGATGCGGCCACCCGGGAACTCCCAGCCACAGTGACACCCGGCTCTCCATCTCCGAATCTTGGTCATCCCACTTTTTCTGGTGAACAGCTCGAGGTAATCGCAGGCCCAGAATTATTTCATGAGGCATTGTGTATTTGCTACTGTACAGGTCTCTAACGCAAGACGGACGGTCCCTAGACGCACGCGAACAAGTGTGAAGCCGCCCACTAAGGAATCCGAAGGTTGTGATGTGATTGAACACAGCGCCTGAGAACCAGTAGAATCGCACTGTCCAAGCCAGAGTCTTTGTCAGGACTACTTGTAGGTAAGCAAGCTACTCGGAGCGTTGGGGACTGGGTGCGAGGTTCCCCGTGCATACAAGTACAGGTAAGGTAGGCAGATACCTAATGTTCAGCTTGCTAGGCGCTAAGTCCCTATAAGGTGCGTAAAGTGTTTAGGGAGTGGCTCCCCCGCTCGCTAGGCGGTCACCGAGCAGGTACAGGCCAAAGTCATGATGCTGTCTCGGCCAATCGACTCGCACCACCCCAGATCTCCTCTTTGACTTCCCGCTTCTCCATTTTCATTCAATTCTTCACACAACACCATCCCTATCCATCGATAATCAATACTTTGTGCTCCTATATCCATCACAAGAAGACATCTTGTTAAAACTGTACAGAGTGCACGAACGTGTATCAAATTTCAGCTGCTTCGACCGACTTTGCGCCCTCAATACCTGTCTGTCCTACTGAGGCTCAATTTCATTGCTTGCACTCTCCCAGCCTCCTTCAATCCTCAACAACCTGTTAGCCAAAGAGACAACAATTAGCTCTCCGACCCAAGAAGTCTCAAGTATTCTACCTGAGTGACTCTACGAACTGTCAAACCTTTGACAATCCCCGTCAGACCTTCATCTTCTGCTCGCTGTCCAAATACTAGATTCTGCCCAACCGCTTCCCCACGCCTACAAAGCCACCTTCCTCAATGCGCCTCAGGACTGACCTCAGTGGGCGGCTTCTTGTGCATCTTTGCTATCTGAGACTAGCTGACAAGTGTCCAGGCTATTTTCTGAACGACCCTCACTTCTGTTCCTCAAAGACAGCCTAACATGTTGTCGTTAATGTCTATATTTTGAGTTCCGTTGAGCTGTACTTCAACTCTCTTAATCTCCGCGATGCCCCGCCCCCCAAACAAAGCGTCGCAAACTTTCGCCCATAGGGTCATTTACATCTTCTGTTTACTTGTCTTATCAGGTTGATAGCCCGGACCAGGAGGAGTTCACTGAGGGATTTATCACTCGCAGCTAGCGAGTAGGCTGCGAGTGTGAAATATTCTATAACGGCAGTATCAAAATCTGGCAGACAATTAACGACCAGAACTTTACACTTGGTTACGATTCGAAGCAAGTCGTGTTCGAATCGAGGTTAAACCCCCCCTCCTCAGGACAGTGGGTGGACTGGATTGCACCTCCCGAGTGCGTGTCGCCAGTCCCTATCGACGCAAACCCGATGCAAACAATCCCGACGCCCAGATTGTTATTCTTCTTGTTGACAATTCACCGCGTTGTGGACGTTGCTTCGATTAGATCAAGGACGGCTTGATTCTTCAGCCCCACCAAACGGCTCTGCTCTTAGCGAGAACACATATAACTTTCAGTCGGATCAGACTCCACTTCCACGACATACCTTCTATTCGGGATTGGAGGCCTGAAGATATCCTCTTGTTAATTTCAAACCAGGCTCTTCTCGAACAGGACGGCGAGGTCACCGTGACAGGTATGGCCGATCCAACAGAAATGCTGCCTGACAGAATACAAGATTTCATTAATCGCGAAGCGGCCATTATCAAGGCAGAGGGCAAGCATTCCTACACTGCAGCAGCCTGGGTGGAATCCACAAATGCCACTTTTCTTGCTGCCTCGTCGACTAACGAACACTATCTCCCATTGTTATCTATGTTTTTAGGGCAAGGCGAGACCATTAGCGAAACTTTGCCATTCGCGGAACCGGGTCATTCCATTGACTTGCCTCCTTTGGGCCCGCTGGAACGATCTCAAAGTCGGGTGATCCAAAATTTCTTCAACCACCAAGTGTCCCTTGTTCATGCGCCCGCTGGTAGTGCACTACAATCTACTATAGTCGCAGTTGCGGAAGCGGTTTTGCGAGAGGCCCCTCAGACGAAGATCCTGATCTGTGGGTACACAGATACAGCGGTGGATAAGATCGCCGACGGGTTCGTTTTCAGAGAAAATCTCTGCGACTTCCGATTTCATCATCTCCATCTTCAGCATGGAAAGACGTCCAGTCTCGAGGCTTTCAGACTCATCGTATGCACATACTCATCATCTTGGGATGAATGGCCGAAGGAAGGCTGGACACCTCATGTGCTTATTGCCGCAGACGCTGGCATATTAGCGAACGACGAGTTTCTGATGCTATTGTCTAAACATTTTACCAGTCTGACGAGATTAGTGCTATTGGGTGACCATCGCCAACTCGGTCCTTATGCAAAACCTCTCAGAGGTAAGACAGATGGGCATAAGTCTGTCTTCGAAAAGCTTATGGAGGAGCGATGGCCTAGCTGTATGCTTGATGTCGATCACGTAACACATTCGGATCTCTGTTCCCTGAGAAGCAAGGTCTTCTATGGCCACCAACTGCAGGCAGCGCGACGGACTGGAGACCCCGGCCTCTTTTTGTCCAAGATGCTAGAGAGACTTGCGGCAGGTCTGCAAATCGTTGACGAGAGGGGCAAAGCAACAAGGATCACGTCCTTTGCTCACTTCTTCGACATTGATGATCCGACCGCTGTCAATGAACAACCGCAGGCCAACTTTGTGGACGTGCTTGTCAGAACCCTACTTTCTACAGGCGCCTGCCAGATGTCCCAGATCATGGTCGTATCCGGCAGCGATAGCAGCAAAGTGCTTTTGTCAAGGAACGCGACGACTGGGTGGGACAAAGTGCCAATCCATACTGTCCAATCTGCTCAAGGATTGACAGCCAACGTCGCCATTTTCTGTCTGCCGCGAAGCCACGAGAAAATGCTGCAGTCACCCATGTGCACGAACAGGGCTGCCTGCGTCATCACATCTCTCGCCATAGACATGATCCTCTTCGTTGGCAAGTGGAGTGCTGTGTTCAATCTACCCCACAACAACGATTTCCAGCGGACAATGATTCATATGGATCAGAACGTTACGGGTTTCCTGCGGAGGGTGGGAGTCTTCCCTTGGAAGATAGAAGGGCCTGCTGTCGATGAACATGGTGAGGGCTAGTAGCCTGTTTTTCCAACTCGCTCATGCAGCGAAGACTGGAGAGGGAGAATGAAACGCGATCACGGCGATACATGATTTGCATATTGTTTGTCCAGCGAGTAACGGGACTGGTGGATGATGGAAAATGCGGAGGTATTTTGTCGTTATGTTCTATATCTGCTATGCTTGTCGCGGATCCCCGTCTTGGTTAATTATGAGGCTAGGCAAAGACGACATCTGTCTGTCATGGTCACATTGATGAGCAACACATACTGGATTCGCTGGGCGGACTAATGACTATACGGGTTTTCTCCTGATAATGATCATCACGAGGATTTACTCCAAGTTCTTAGGCTACTGGATGCCGATCCCCTCGCCACCTGTCCGGGTACCTGCGTTTTCGAGTCGACCATTACATGATTTTCATTGCTAGATTTAGACTCGGCCGTGTCTCTCGTAGCTGTGGGCTTTGCAGGTGGACGAAGAAGCCATCGGGATCAACGACACGCCAGAGTCGATCTACCTGGTCCTTACTGCTCGGTCGACGCCACCCAAGGAATGAATCCACGGCGCGAACAATGCTACCGACGAGCATACGTGGGCTCGGGATGGTTGTCCAGGGATCAACGCACCGCCACAGAGGAATGCGTTCGCGGACCCCAAAAACGCAGACGGGCGTCATCATAAGATATCTAGTAGTAGCTTGTGATAGCCACAATAGCAACTGGCCACCCGGCCCAAGGTGAGCTGAACCGGGGTGACCACCATCTATCTCACTTCCAAGGTTGGTTGGTTAGTTGGTAGAAACAGGTTTATGGCGAGGCTGAAGTCAAGGCTGAAGTCATATTTCCAGCCCAGCCTCGTTCATCTGCCTCGTTCATCGCTCTCGATTGTTATCGACGAGGTAATAGGTAAATAAGCCCTACCCTGTATCTCCTACGCCGTCCTTCCAGATCGATCGTAAGGAGTGTTGTTCTTAGCCGACACACTCCCCGCGGCGAGAGCTACATCTCCTCTCGCCTGTCTTCAGCACCGTCGTCCCTCGCTCCTCCAAGTGGGCTATCGCGATGTGCTCGACAGGACGGTCTCAATCAAAAAAGGTCAAAGGAGGAACGCAGGTATTTTGCAAATGGTATTGTAACAGCAGACTCCCCCTGAAGGCCTCTCTGTCCTTTGTACGTGTTGTTGGATGATAATGTACAGATTAACCTTGTCCGTGGCCTTGTCCTTCCTCTTCCCAACCCACAAGATGAAAAAGTATCTCTCTGCCATCTGCGCGCCAATATTCTTCCACTTGCACTTGAGATCCAATCTGCTGCTGCCATTACCGCTGCCGCATCTTGATCTGGCACTCCTCTCCCTTCTCACACTGAAAGAAAAAAAAAGTTTATGGCATATTTCAACAAAGACTGCTGGGTTGGTCCGCGAGCACAGAAAGATATGGCGAGGAGCTGTGGACGCCTGGGCTCGCAATCAGTAACCTGGATGGGCTCTTGCTGTGGGCCAGTCGGTTTGTCCTTTCGACGTGGATAAATATGAACCCTCCTCCTCGGCCTTTCTCATGTGGCGCAGAGTCGTACCTGCGCGACTAGCAATCAAACAACTCACAAAGTCCCCCCTTCGGCCGTTAAAGCAATAATATGCTATTTCAGATGATCGTAAACTCCGTGGTTGATGACGAGGATGACTCTTTGGTGGATAACTTGACAAAATTACTCGACGATGCTGACAATGGTTTTCTTCGCTGGAACGCTTCGACAAATGCCGCCAGGGGATTTCGGGGGAAATGGAGGACCTGCCCACATAACACACACACACACACACATAGCGCAACACATGCAATGAATTCCGACATGACGTCCGTCCGCGCTCCCGAGGTCTCGGTGTACAAAAGAAAGATAAAATTTGGTCAGGTTGGCGTACGCGTGGTCCGACTCGGTTGGCGCACTACCGATTCGAGGAGAAACTGGAGACCGTACTTGCAGAAGGATACGTCGACGATGGGAATACCTTCATGCGCATGTGTTCCAGGATCTTCAGATCTTTGGCCAGCACCGGTGAAATGGCCTCATTCTCTCGCAGAATCTGCACTGTGCGTTCGTGCAACCGCCGTAAGACATCCTCCTGCACTAACGAGCTTAAGCCTGGGTGGGGGGAGGTGAAGGTCGCGTACAGCACAAGCATGTTCCCGAATTGTCTACAATTCCATGTCAGTCTAGATACGCCCACGAAATACAGAGACGTTTTGTACTTACGCGTGAGCTGTGCCGAAGATATTGGTTACCACGAGACGGCGAGGGACTTTGTCGAAAGAAGTCGTGCTGCGAATTGCGGCCTCAATACATTTCCTGGAGCCTTCCAGCAATTCAGGCTGGATGTAAGGAACGTCTCTCCCATATGGATGGGGGGTATTGAGATTCGATACTGCTGGCGACGTCACCTCCGAATGGTGCCCGTAGCCCGCGGGCGATTCTGAGGGTCGACTCCTGGCGGGCTTGGGGGTGGGAGTGGGATTGGGGTTGGTGATAGCCTGTGTCAGGGCGAATCGCAAGGTCGGCCGCCAGATGATGTATTTGGCACCGTAGTATTTCCCTCGCATCCGGGCTACGTTGATGTTGGGACTTTCGTGATCATTGTCGTCCCAATCCCAGTCATTCAGCATCTTCCTCCAATTTTCAAGGTTGTCATCCAAAGCCGACATGATGCTGTCGCTTGGCCTCGTATGCAGATTCTTCGATTCCCGATAGAGCGTGGCGTGGACGCTGTTCATCGTCGTCCGCAATTGGATCTGGTAGGAGTAAAACCTCAGGATGTCGTCGTCCACACTGGACTCGGGGATCCTTTCTAATGTGATGCTGGTCGGAAATTCTTTGTGCTGAGGGCTCTCATAGCGACCAATCCCGCTGAGAGGCAATTCCAACTCGGCTGCAATATCGCTCTCCAATTGCAAACATGACCAAAACGCAAAATTGACCAAATTCCGACGAGCGGGCTTCATGGTGTTGGTCACATACGGGGTCGACTCGATCAGGATTTGAGCTGCAACGCAGGCCTTGTTGATGTAGAAGTAGCTCGGTAGAATGCGTGCTAGTTGTCCCATATATAGACCCGCAAGCAGATAGGCTTGAATATGTGACACGTCGGCGCCTCCTGGCAGCTCTCCCAGGATGTCTGCAGCTATGGCAAAATAAGCAAGACCCGGGATCACGTCCATGTTCTTGCCCTGCGGATTCGCCGGACTCGAAACCGTGCCATTCAAATTAGGGTGATGGTTATATGGAGAGGTGGGCGCTGACATGGGCATCGGAAGGTCCGAGTAGAGTGCGCTATGTGGCGTCGAAGTCCGCATCGTAGCGGTTGATGCTGGTCCCGGCAAAGGATCCCGATGAGAGGTGATCTTGCCCAGCGCGAGAACAAGCAAGACAATAGCATTTGCAACTGAATGCTCAATTGGGGCCACGACGGTATTATATCCCCTGGGCTGAGGGGGTCGGCTGTTGTAATCGTCCATTGAGGTCGGTGAGTCGGTCGTCTCCCGCTTCCGCTTGTGCCCAATCGCAGTAACCTGCTGCGTAGCCCGATAGTCCCAGCTATACTTTCTTTTGAAGGACTGAATCATTATCCGAAGGACCTTTGGCTCGAGGAATGGATGATGGATATGCATATTGTCCATAAAACTCCGGAAGTATCGATCGACTGCTTCGGAATCCAACATCAACCCACCACTAGGACTCAACCCACCGGGATGTTCACGGGCGGAGTGGTTTTGATTCGCCATGGGCACATGCAGCTGTCCACTGCCCCAAACCCCGTGCGGCGAGGAAGAAGAGGTGTCATCATCCGTACGTCGCCCTTCCGACGAGTTGCTGTGGGCGGGACTCGGAGCGCCTTCATGCCCGTCACCTTTGTCCTCTCCCTCCCCGCAGCCATAAAGTCGCAACAAACCTCTGCTGGTTTCCTCGTCTAACACGTAAGATGGCGTGATGCCTCGCGGAATCAGAGGCTTGATGGATGGCCATAGGACGAGATTTTGCGCAGCCGTTGTATGCTTAGCGGGCATAGGCGTATCTATACTCTCTGTTTCCGAATTTCGCAGGTGCTGGATGGATGCTGCTGAGGGGTTCTGGGACTGTGATCCAGACCTGACTTCGGAAGTACTGTCCTGTCGGCGGAACAGTGGAGGCGGAGGCTGAGCAGGACTGGGGTTTGCGGGACTCGGATTTGCCGGGCTCGGAACTGCAGGGCTCGGAACCGCGGGCGTTGTAACCACGACCTGGCTTTGCTGGTCTGCCATAGGTACGTCGGTGTTGGCCGTAGGTGGTTCTGATCGAGCCTTCATAAGATGATCAAGTAACAGGTTGATCTTGTCATCTTGTTGCTTTTGTTGCTTGAGGAGACGATCCATCTTGTCGTCCCGCTCCGAACCCTTCGAGGACAACCCCTTCACGTCCTCGGCCAACGACTCCAATTGAGCCGTAATGGCGAGGACTTGTTTCTCCGACTTTTGTGGAGGGATTTCCCGGTATGAGCATTCCAACCCGTTGTCTTTGCAATGTTGACATTCGGGTCTTCCTTCGTCGCATTTGGCCTTGCGCTGTCGGCACGAATCGCATGCTTGAGCAGCTCGGACTGGTTTTCGTCTGTGCTCGTTATGATAGGGATACCCGTACGCGTAGGGTCCCGGAGCGGGCATGGGACCTGCCGAAGGCGGGCCATAAGCAGGCGGGCCCGGAGGCTGTCCTGGCATCATTTCATGCCCTGTCACGACGTGAAGAGGCTGGTGGTGAGTTCCGTTGAGCTGGGGCTCAGACCCTGGGTAGGCATGACGCGGCCTGTAGTCGGCTGGGGGAGGATAGTACGTAGCTTCGTGGGGATTGCTACTCACGGGATGATAAGAGGGAGGTTGTTGCGGTGGTGGAGGTGGCTGTTGAACATCGGCTGGGGACCTCGTAGGGCCCGATACACTGCCTGGGCGGCCGTAAGCTGGGTCCGGAGGATAACCTGGGGGTTCTCTACCAGGCGGGGGATGGGTGGGAGGATATTGCTGAGGTGGCGGAGGATACGGCGATTGATGAGCGATGTCTTGAGGCGGAGGACGGTGGTCCGCGGAGTCATTGTAAGGTGAAGGCGTCGGGTTCCACGCCGGCGCCGGTGGTGGCATACCTGCGCCTGGAGGAGGGGGATAGCTGTACGACGTAGGGGTCTCGGCTGGCGGCATACGGTGGACAGGATTTGGAGGTGGTTGGCCGTAGTGATGGGGTCTCTCGTGTTTGATATCCACGTCACCGACTTCATCCATTTTCAACCTGGGATCCTATGCCTGGCAGCAACCAACAAGCCCGTACCTCCCACGTCTCTATACCCAAGGGAACGTGGTACGGCAAATGCGGCATGACCTTATGCAGAGGCGAGAGCGGAACACGCGATCAACAGGACAGGCTCATGGCAAATCGTTATACGACGCATTCGCCAGGCTGCATAAAATTCCTGTCGTCGCACGTCCAGGTTCCCCTTGCGCAGTCGGTTACCTGAGGGCCAGTTGGCACAGGAAGCCTTCGGTTGGTGGGAAAAACAGGAGACCAAACAGTGTACGTCTGCGGGGCGGGTTTGCTACTTTTGCAGCTAGTCTTTCCTTTGACTATAGCGAACCCGCAGGAACACAGCGCAACTAAAGAATTAATGCTTAGGCGGACTGAATCGCAGTCCGGTCGCGGATGGGTTGGAGAAAGACGGTTGGTGTTGGAGGTTGGGCTGGGAGTGGTGGTCTCGTAATCAACAAAGCAAACACAATAACCCTCCCAGAATCCAAACAAATCCCACAGTTGTAGACTGATGTCTGGGGAATGAAAATTCGAAATCAGATACAGATGCAGAATTGCGAAAGGCAAGCCTTTTCGAGTTTGTTCGGTCCAGGGTTGGGTAGCGACGGTCGAAACGAGCTGGGTGTCGCGGGCGAGTTGGAGAGCGCTATCCGTGATTTCGAGATGTGGAGTGAATGTCGTCGCCGCGAAACCGTCTAGAGCAAACCGAGCTTCTTTTCCCTTCCCTTTGGGCAGCAAGGACAAGGAGCTCAAACTGGTTTCGACCCGTTGATGTTGATGTTGGACGGATTGTCGACCGAGCCGGGGAAAAAACCAAACAAAAGTCTTGGAGACGACGTCTCTTTGATCGGAGCTTCGGCGGAATCTTGGTGGGGAAGCAGCGAGGCGAGCGCTTTCTCAAGGGCGAGATGGATGCCCAAAAGCTACACAGAGCTTGCGGTTCCCAAGATGATCATCATTCGAGCGAGGCTGATCGGACGAATGCTGGGATGGTTCAAAACCGGGCAGGGTGGTGGTTTTGGAGAATGAAGCAAAATAGTCGAGGGATGATTTTTTTCGGAAAAAGGCGTCGATCGCAATGGGAAGAAGGGATTGAGGCCTGAAGGAGGGACTAAAAGTAGTGTGGTGACGGGTGATGGAGGATGGGGGGGTGGGTGGTGGGCAGGAAGCGGCGGCAGGAGGGCGGTCGAAAGATAACTACTCGACTGCTCAAGGTGGCAGCAGAGGATGGCAGAGCAAAGAAGCTACTCTTGTCCGGCCGTGGTAGCGTGTGTCTCTCTGTGGTCAAAGCCCTGCCCGTCGATCGGTGCTGCGGGCTCAGGGCTGGTGGACAAGAAGTGACAAGACTGACAGGGGTGGAGTCGAGTAGGTGGTCGTCGTTTGGATGAAGGATTAGAACAAGTCGAAGCTCAGCCAGAAGGGTGCAGTTGCGGGTCGGCGAGAGGGGGGGGATTGTTCAGTGAGGCAAAAGCGATGGGCAAAGGGCGTTTGACAATCGAGAAAAGCAAAGCTTGGTCAAGGTTCAGGAGCCGCCGGGGGGTCCCAAGGGTAAAGCACCTAAAAAAAATGAGCCTAATACCCAACGAGTACGCTGCGCGGGCGGCGAGGGGAGAGTCGGAGTTAGTAGCTTGAGCAGCCTAAGGAGCCTAGCAGCCTAGCAGCCTAGCAGCTCTAGCCAGCTTAGAAGGTTAGAAGGCGAAAGGGTTAGCAAGGAAGGAGACGACACCCCCCCCTGGTCCCCTTTCCCACCCGTCCAGCCCGTCTAGTGCTGGTGCCCAAAAAAACCCAAGGAGCTACCAAAGGGGGGGGGGGTGGAGGGATGGGATGGGGGGGCCCAAAACCCAGAGCAATGGCACCGAATAATCGACGTCCGGATTGTTTGCTTGCTAGCCCAGGCCTGAGGGTCTCAGCACCACCAGAGGCGTCGGAGGTCACAGCCCGGTCGCCCACACCTGCCCGCTTGTTAACACCTCTACTACTTTCGCGCGATGGGGGACCCGATGGTACGAGGAGCTGTTTGCGAAACTCGGAAGAACAAGGTTTGGCAAACAAGGCGCCGACTCGAAATGTCAGCCCAGCCCAGACCGGCTCAGCAAATCTCAGCAAGGGTTCTGGTTAGGTTATAGGTTATAGCTTCCCAAGGGATAGCAAGTTGGAGGCAAAAAAGCGATGGAACGTTACAAAGTCCAGGTGCCCGGTGCCTGGGAGAGCCTGAGAGTTCATGCTCAGGTCGGGTCTCAAGATCTCGGCCATGACGATGCAATAATACGCGTAACGGGCATCCGCGAGGGAAGGAGATGGCGGACGATAAGGGGAAAGTGCCAACAGCTGCCATGCCACTACGCTGGTTGGTGGGATGGTAGGGTGGAAGTGTCAGGTCCGCCAGGAAGAAGCAAGGACGATTGGCTACCGCCGCACGACCCGTGGTATGTTGTGAGTACTTGTGATGTGGTGAAGCAAAGACATAATTCTCGGGCATCTATGTTGTCACTCTACAAGTAGGCCAATCTCTTCCCATGTACCTGCTTGGGACGAGGACACACCATAGTAAGGAACCGCCTGACTGCTCACGGCTACAACAAATCATGAGTACCGAGTACTTTGGTACCTGCAAGTGACCTCTGAACTGCTTGGGATTCCTTCATTCCTGGCGACGGCGACACAACTCGTCACTGCGAGCCCCATCAATAATGTCAAGTGACTTCCTCTTCATGTGTCAGACCCCATGATTTTTTGGGGCTCCTCTTGGCCCACTCCAAGGGCCTGGGCCTGGGTCGTTTACCTGGCGAGCTGGTCACCTGCAACTACAACAGTACTCGGTACGATTGACTTGTGCTTGGACCCCCCCCCCTTTTTTTTACCAGCTTGATCGCAGCAGGCATTCTTATATCATCATCAGCAAGCTGCTCTTTACCCTTCTACCGACCAAGACGTTGCAACCATGCAGGTCAATGCCATCACAACCGGTTGGGGGAAGAACGGATAAGGTGTTGTTCTGTTGACTGTGACTGACTGATCCATGGGCCATGGGCCGGGTGAATCGGGCGATTGGACGATTGGGCGGCTGGGCAATGCATCAAATGAAATTATCTCGCCTGACCCGCGTACCGAGGTACCAGGTACATGCCTGGTAAAGAAAGAAAAGGAAAAAAAATCAGAATAAGGGAAATGGGGGCCCGGTGGGACTCTCCGGGGGCCTCAGACGATTAAATTCACTTTGCCTGTTATGTCGAGGTGACAGTATTCGTAATAGTCGTCGACGTTCGAGTCAGGAGCCGTCGACGTTGGTCCCGATATTCCTAGGCAATGATCTGCTCGTTTTATGTACCGAGTACCTCGTACTACACATCATATGCTCCGTATACGTCTTCCGCCCCCCTCGATGTTCCCGCTCTTCAAGGGGGCCTGGTACTTGCTGCGCGTCATTCTGCTCTTTCGATGCTGGTGATACTTGTTATCGAGTCGGTCCGTGTCCACCTGACGTGTCCCTCGCCGTCTACCCGTGTACGAGGCGCAGTTACTGAATAGCTAGAGTGCTCATCGCTTCACAACACACAATAATCAACCGTGGACTCAGAGTTGAAACCTGGCTTTCTTTCTACCTACTACTGACCCCTCCGTACCGTGTTTCGCGCTTCACTGCTCTCTCATTGCTGTCGTGTCATTCCTGTTTCCGAGGTGGAACCTGGTGATCTCATTCTTCTCCATCATACTCCCGAGCTCGAGCGTAGATATTACTACGTACATGCTGAAAGGTTCCGCGAGCCAGAATCCTTTGCGACCATTTCTGTCAAGTCCTGCCGCTGGTGGGCCTGTCTTTCCTTTGCTATTCAGGGGGGCAAGTTCTCGTTACCTGGAATCTGGGAACAAGTTGCCCCCTCCCCCCCGTCCCAGCCTCCACTGTTCATCAGCGAGTCATCCTTTCACGTCGGAGGAGTTTGGGATCCCTCAGTCGAAGGTGGACCGTTGCAAATTGTCGGTCGGCTCTCCTCGTAGACGCCCGTTCTTGATTCTTCAGGACGTGGGCGACCGCCCAAATCTCTTTTCTCCATCCGCTCCCCCAACTTGGAGAGTGGTGATGCTCTGGCACTTGACCGGGTCGGGAATGGAGTCCGAGAAGGTTCACAGATTACGGATGGAAATCAACCAGACCCGGAATCTGCCCGCCAGACGCGTGCGGCTTCCGAATTCTCCGAGTTGGTCGTTTCATCTTGATCCTCGCTTCTGCTTTGTGGTCAGTGGTCACCACCCAGGCATTATTATTATTCCACAGGTACAAGGTCTTCGGATGGGGCCTCCGTACGGAAAAGACAACGGCCTTTTTCCAATGTGTGTGGATGTGAATGCCCGCAACTGGAAAGGTCACAAGGAGCCATGGCTCTGACTTGTGTCATCCACCAATCATGCTCGGAGCTTCCCACGGGGCCGTCTTTGCGCATCATGCCTTCATTTCCGAGAAAAACGTCCTGGTGAAAACGGCGTCTTGAACGTGAACCCTCCATCGTCGAGGTATTCCGTACGAGTGTCCGTGTACAAGTCTCCAAGAAAGTTTGCTGTTTCGCGGCGGTCGACTGCAACCGGAATGATCATGCACGTAGCGACTGAGGCGAAATTCTAATCTGAAACGCCAATGCTGTCACCGACTACCTATTATACAATAATGCGTGCGGTTCAATGGCCGGTAGTCAAAGTTTCCAAGCTCGCGTCTTGGGTAGGTTCGTTTGGTTCAAGTGCTCATATGCACTCTCCGTACCGGGGAGCCCCTCGCACCCGAGCCGGAATGCCCCGGATCGTGATACAACGCAATCCGAGTGATTCGGCCTTGAGCGGTCCTCCGAGAACCTCGGGGGTTGGGTTGGGCATTGGGCGATGTGTTAGAGTTAAAGGTGGTCCTGGGCACGCTTAGGTAGATGTTGTGGTGACGGTGTCATTTGAGAAACACGGAGGGGGAACAGGGGGGCTCCGTATTGAGCTGTCAACCTATGCACGTAACCTGGGCTGTTAGCGATGGCTGGGGTTGGAAATGGGCTGTGCACATCTTCTCTGGCTGGTGCCCTAGCTGGTGCTCGAACGGGTTCCCAAAAGGTACTTGGGGTACCACGAGCGGAAGCGCTCTGATCGCGTAAACGCAAAGAGGGACTTGGTCAACCACCACCATCTGCCCGTATTCTCATTTGCTAGGGAGAATGCCCAGTGACTCTAATAGCCAGCCACCTTCGACCTCGAAATTGTTTGCTTGTGCGAGATCGGAGCGAATGAGATTCAAGGAATTGTTATCCGGAGCTGCTCCAGAAGCCCCAGAGAAGAAGTGGCCGTGATAGACATGGTGCGAGTTTGTTGGTGACCAGGTAAGTCATCGATCAACGATGGCCTCGGGAGATTGGGCAGCAATATTCTCGTCTAGTTGACCATCTACAGCATGGATGACCTTGTCCCGAGTACTTCGTCCCTTGTTGTTTCTCACAGCAGAAGGGCGATCCCTCGACTCCGGTCCCCGAGGTTGTGGATGCGCTTCACTACTCTACCCTCCCTCCCCGATCTCCAATTTAACCTTGAGTCTGTGGATATGGCACCGAAAAGAGATGGACACAGTAGTGAGCACAAGCATACTTTGCAGCGGTGTCCAAGCGTCGTGACTAAGAATCCCGGAGAAGCATACGAGTAAGACGCCGTCGCAAACGCGATAGCAATCACCTTCAGCAATAATAGGCCAACGCCTCTGTCCGTTGGTGCCCAATCGATCAACAACCCCCCGTCCGAGATCGATGGCGTCGACGTCGTTCTCGATTTTCCATGCGAGTCAGGCTTCGCAAGTCAGAGGACCCTGTTCAAGGACCAAGGGTGATTTCGTTTCGGGCCATGATTACGAAAGAGTGCGACGGAGACGAGGTCTCAGTCATCCCAATATGGAGGGGGATTTCTATGGCGGGATGCAACGGAGTGCGAGTAGCTCCAGGGAGCCATTTCGAAGCCTATTTTGCTTTCTCTCCGTCGTCCACCCAGGAAATCAGTCGGCGGTTTGAAAGATACCACTGGTGCGTGTTAGAGGCTCACGCTCCTGAGTGGCTTTTTCCGCCATCATCACGTAGCTGGCCGCCACCAGGCCCGGGTTCCCCGCCAACCTCGCCCACGTGGCGGAGGTCCAGCAGAGCGGCACCAGCGCCCAAAGACTGCTTCCTTGCAGGGTGGCTTGGTCCCTTTGGGCCTATCGACAGCATCAACGAGGCCGCCGAAACGGCGCGTCGTCCCTTTTCGGGCCTCTCCCGCACGCCACTTTGACGGCAAAAATGGGTGTCTTCCGCTCCCACTCGTTGACTCGTAACCACCGGCTGGATCGTCAGACTCCTGTTTCGCTTCGACACGACGCACAAGGGGGGACTCGATTAGCGACCCGATTGTGCATGCCCTTGTTCAACCCAACCGCCTATACCTCCCCTCCGGATCCGGAGCTGCACCAAGTTGAATCGGTGGCAGTGGGCTGGATCCTGCGACGTCCACTGATCAATAGAATCGCATCGTATCTCCGCAGGCCACAAAGCTAGCTACAAGGCTGTCCGAGATAATCATCAGCTGCCGATGGAGAAGCAATGATCCGTAAGGAGTGATGATTTTCTGGCAGGCTTTATCTCTAAGAAATCCATCAGCCATGGCTGGAGGCTGGAGGATGATACTGTGCTCCACCTCCTTTTGCCCTTGGGCGCTCAATTTCGGCTTCTAGATTATTCGAGACGTCTTCTTTTCCCACCCACACGATGGGCGCTCAACTACGAGAACGAAGTACAGAAGCCCCACCTCCCACAATGACTCGAAGCAATTTGGCTGTGGTGGGCAGGGTTACAGTGAGGTTGCACAGACCTGAAAAGAGGCCATGGATAGCCCTCGTTCCTTTCTCCAGAAACCTTCATAAGTGATCCAGAGTACGGAGTATACGAGGTATTATTGAGTCTGATCCCCTATCCGAAGTGGTCCAGGCACCTCGGCACCCCTGCATTTGTCTAGGTGACCATTTAACTGGGCAGGAATGGTTGTGGCAAACATGTCGATAGCTGTTCTCTTTGCATGACGGATTAGACTTTACAACAAAGCCATGGGGATTGATTGGGGGTGTTGTTTGCAGTCAAAGAAGAAGCAATACTCACACAGGTCGGCAGCAGACGTAGGTTCCAGTTGCGGACCACTGGAGATGGAACGGAAGGTCATCATCGAACCTTAGCTTTCATGATTTCAAGAGACAGTGTCCTCGTAGCTTTCTAGGCCCAATGGGCGGTCAGTGAGGAAGGTTTTCAGTTGGATCAATCGGACCAGAGCATTGATACTTTGGACACCGATTGCCTGGCTTCTGGTGGCGACATATCAATGCCGAATTCCCAGACTGCAGGTGCTGCTGCAGGCCGCCACAGATCGTCAAGCATCCTGGACCTGCTGAAGAGGACTTAGGCGAGGATGTGCATCTCATTGGAGGGCAACTAGAAGCGACTCGGGATGGAAACAACCTTTTTTCATCGAGAGGTGGTAAGTCACAGGGGAGTCTGAGTCTGGGTTTCCGGGGCGCCGCGGCATTGGACCCAGTACCTTGGTTCTGGGATCACACTACTTGAAAGTTTAGTTGACCGACAACTTCAATCAACAGACAGACTCTGTTGCGATGCGAGGATGGCATGATGCAGGAATCCTCAGAGCAGACAACTCGACTCGACAAGGACTTGGAGGTCACAGGGGCCGTTCACTAGTGTCCTCCGCCGGGTGCACTGTGCAAGTCACCCATAATACGAGTTCTAGTGCACCCACTTCAATCGTTTTGTTTCACTCAGACGCCCCCCCCCTAGACGCATCAGATGCTACAGATTATCATCGCAGCCGATGGACCACCTGCCTCCTCAGCCGTCGACCAGGCCGCGAATCCGCGCCTCACGATCCATTCCCTCCCATCCTCCCATCTTTATCCGTGGCCCATCCCATCAACAGCCACCAACCTTGGCGATGGGTCCGTGCATATCAAATGCCCACCGCGAAACAAAGAGTGCATGGCAAGCGCAATTTCCCATATCCCGAGAATTTGGATTGCACATAGGCTTTAGGCTGGTTTCCCCCCCGCGTCATTGAGCATTCGTTGGTGCTTGTAGTGACCACAGTATGGTCCTCCTTTTCCCCGCGAGACAATTGCAAAATCAAATGCCATCACCACCATTTGTGGCAGCGTCGCCCTCAGGTGTGGTCGGGGCAGGTTCCGACGGGAGGCTGCCAATTTTCATAGATAAAGCGCCTCAGACGAGGAAACCATTCCCCTTTAGACCAAAATCACGCAAACTGGACTCTAAGAGGGATATCTCGGAGTTTGAATTACGCGGAGGCTCGCCTGTGGTGCCTCCAGGAAATGAGACTTTCCCCTTTGCAGCTGTTTCCAGTCGTCCTTGGAAAGCCCGAACCGGTGGTTCTCACTCAGCAAAAACGAGTATCAACTACTGCGACAGGTGGATGTCGAGTACAACGTTCTGAGACGGAGCGCATAGGAAGTACGAGGAATCGGGATCCATTTATTATTCAATTAGCGGGTGGGAAAGCATCCCTCTCCTCTTACTACTGGAGCCCTTCAATCAGTCAGGGCCTCCGCCTGAGCTAGCCTTCCCACTGCCACGTGGGCCGCAGCGTCGGATCACCCCTCCAAAGCAGCTGGTGTGCTCCAAGACCAAGAGACGGTGTGATCAAGACATGGACAAATCGGCTTTGAAGAATGGCAAAGTGGCAAGACACGGTTCTGGTAGCGCCAGACAATGCGCAAAAGCAGGGAGCCTGTTGCTCCCAAACAAGAAGGAGGTCAGCAAAAGATATCAACAAATCCTGACCAGGTGAGTTGTTTTCGGATTCAGCAGGTGGACGGAGAAGAAGTTTGTTCCAGCCCAGGAACAGAGGGAGGAAAAGGGCATGGTGGACCGCAAGCGAATCCTCGACTTGCGCGTTGCTCTGATGGCGAGGAAGATCAAACAACGGATCTGAAACCCAGCAAGCCAAGGGGCAGGCCACACGTTCCAATTGGGTGCCCGGCTTATAGGCACTCACAGGCTCACAGCACATGTCCAGGCGGACGACGCCGCCAGGAAAAAGTTCTACGGGCACGCCTAACACGCACTTGCACCTAATGTAACTAGGGCCCTAGTTAAGTCCGGTCCAAAATCGGACATGACAGCATCGGTCAAAGACGGAGATCAAGGGAAGTCCGGCTTCCGAGAGGGGGACCAAAATCCATTGACCTCTTGACACCTACCTACATACCACATACTATTTGACTTCTGATCCTCAAGGATTTGGAGACCGCTAGAACTTGATCGCCTGCAGCGTTGCCTTTCATGAATGCTTGACAAGGCCAGAACATCAAATAAGGGCAGCAAAAGGGATGCCCAAGGCATGTGCCCATCATCTCTGCGACTACCTGCCCCTTCGGCAAAAGGGCCCAAGCCCCTCCACCCGCCTCATTTTTCCTCGGAAGCGCGCGATTGGCTCGATCGCGAAGCCAACCTTTTCTCACCGCGTCCTCCAAATCTCCTAACACGGTCAATATGGCGAGCATCCTTGGCTCTACCCATGATTCCGAATGAATGTCCGCAGGCGAGGACGATGAGCAATAAGTTGTCGAGGTTTGCTGTTTGCACATGATGGCCGATCTTTTCTCATCTCGCAGAACAGACCGCACAGAACTGCGGGTGCTGGTGTCTCGCCAGGCGAAACCCTTACCAGACCTTGCCCACATGCGTCCCACACCATCCCTTCGATGCACATCAAGCAGTTTGCTTCCTTCTTGGCTCAGATTCTGGCCCTGCTACCCTCCCTTTCTACGAATCGCGGTTGAGGCACGGGGGCATCATTGCTTCTTCCTTGGTCGGTTCAAGAACTGACAGCTGTTAAAAGGACCACGCGAAACTATATCACGAGACAGGTTTGAAAGCATGTTGAAAAGGGTGGTAGGTTGCTACGGACGCTTGGCGTTTTGTGACACTCCAATCGCTTCGTTCCTCTGGTCTGAGGGGACATTTTCGCAGTATCTCGCTCACGGATCCTCCACGCATAAAGTCCCTTGCTTCTGCTACAGCGTTTGGCGAGCGGATCCTGGCTCGGATGAAAGAAAGAAAAAAAAAAGGTGAGGCGAACAACACTGTTCTAAACATGACGATTCACTCCACACGCGCACTATGCCAGATCACAAGGTCGCTGGAAGGACCGTGGTTGAACTTCGATCCGAAGTTTTTGATCCGAACATCACAATGGATGGCGGTGGATCTGAGCTCAAAGTCTGTTTCCCAGTGAAACGAGGGCACGTTGCAATGATGACCCCGGAGAAGCATAGACCTGGCTGTTTTCTCGTAGTCAATCTCGACGGGTTTCCCATCCGTCATCGACGCGAGATTGACAGGTCATCCGCAAGCGCTGCATGGCGTGGTGGAATGCTGAGTGGGGAGCGCCGATGGTGACACAAAGCCACCCCGTACCCCAGTCAAACGGTGGGCGGGCGTTGAAATGTGATGTGTCGCCTCGTTTGCTCCCCTTGTGACTTCGTCATTGGTATGGGCCTGCCGCTCCACTCCAGGGCGTCTCGAAAGAGAATGCCGAAGTTTGAGAATGGATGGAGCATTCAAACTACATCAGACAGGGGACAAGCAAACAATTGTTCGGTAGACGACAGGTTCAAACAAAGTGAGGAACACCCGAAGCTGATCAACCATCACTCATTTCGACTGGTGCCTAGCGCGAGAAGACGCCTTGGGAGCCAGCTCGTGGAATAGTCCAGCCACAAATGCGCGGGCCTCTTGTTCGAATTCGGACCGTCATCATGTGTCACACTGTTCATATTTTCCCACCCCGGTCACCGCCATCACTCTCGGTGGACAAGATGAAGTCCTTGACCAGTTGAAGCGCGGCAATTGCAAATGCCACCATATTGGCCTGCCTATCACCTCCCAGCCCCGTGTCTAGGTCCTTGTTCACACTACCCTTTTCGCCCACCACTGCCAATGCGACGTAGCCCCTGTGGTTTTCCGCCTTGTGTCAGCTTCACATGCTCCATGTTGAGGCGTTGTCAAGTGTGATGAGGGTTAGGCAGGATTTGTACGCAAGGGGGGATCACTTACGGCTGCCTGTTTGGGGTCTTCCCACTGGCAGTTGGTCCTGCGGTCCCTGACTGTGGTGTCGAGAGCAGTCGAGTAAGCCAGAAAGTTTCAGACAATAGACCCATGGCTTCGCCTGTGCCTTCGCCGATGCAGCGAGATCGACTGGCGTGTAGAGGGATGAGTACGTACCTCACCAACGCAATAAGTCCCTTGCAGCTTCTCCCTCACGTTTCTAGCCAGCCCTTCGACCAGTTCGGGGGTAGGTCCATCATATTTGTCAATGTTCTGTTGTGTCCAGCCGGCGAAGGCGATCCTCGATTCCAGGGTATACAGCGTCAAGCCACCCTTGTAGATTCTACTCGCCCCAGGGGTCGAAAGCAGTGAGGCGGAGATGAGTCCTCCAGCTGCGGTCTCGGCCACGCAGATGGACTCGCCTCGAGCCTTGAGGAGGGTCGCAACGTCCTCGGCGGCAGATCTGAGCTGAGGCGGAGGGAATTCTGCGGATGACATCCTGCTGCGCTGGGAGATGTTGGTGCCGTGGAGTCCGAATGCGATAGATGGATGGCGAAAGAGACGATGCGGGAAGCGGGACTGTTGGAGGTTACGAGAGCAGATCAAATTCATCAAGGATGGATGATGGATTGATGGATTCAGGTTGAATGTATCTTCTGTGCTTTGGTTGGAGTTGGTTATCAATCATCAAATGCGGGGATTCGTGATTCTGAGATTCCAGCCTCGGGAGCTGTGAAGACATGATATTGGAGCATCCATACATACTGTTTTGCATCTTGCCAGTCTCGACGACAATCCTGCTTCGATCTAGGAATCCAGGCATTTGTGAGCGATGAAATCCATCGTCTTTCCTCATAGGATTGTCACTCGCCCATGAAACTTCGGTATACAACCTGACCAGAGTAACAGTCCGCCACTTTTCTCACAAGACTTTGTCAGATTCGAAGCCGCTCAACGACGGTTGCTCAGCCTCCGACCTCACTCTTCTCCCCTGCTCAGTGACCTTATGACCTCCCTTCCATCTCTACGACTTCTGTTTTCCATTCATCGTCTTCAACTGGCAGACTGCATTGAAAAGAACCGAGCCCTTCGGCATCTTTTTGTCCTCGAACCCAGCTCGGTCCCCATTCGATTACCTCTCACTTGCTCTTCTTTAACATCATGGCCATCTCAACAAGACCAGAGTGCAGACATTGGCTTGGTGAACATACATGCCTTGTCTTCTTTGTACGAACAGCAGACACCGGATCCTAGATCGGTCTCCTCCTCTGTCCAATTCCAACCTCGTCCACCTTGGTTTAGGCCCTCCCCCTGGGTTGTTCTCTCCAGTCCCAGAGCGCAGTTGCTGTACGAACCGCACTCATTCCAAGCTCGTTCTCATCGACACTCTATTTTCTCCCTCAATGCCCCCCCCCCCCCCCCCCCCC